GTTTTGAAAGGAAGGGAAAGATGCATTGGTCTAAATTTACACGAACAGTGTCTATTACACTAAACATATCAAACGAGCATTTATTGACGAACTGACTACCTGGTTTGTATGTGCGTATGCTTTGTTTATTGTATAGTACTGTTAGCACGATATAACAAGACGTAATGTTGTGTGTGTGCGTGTGTGATTGATGCTAAACGCAACTCGCTGTGAATGCTAGAAGTGTTTGGAGCGTGCAACTGCGCGCATCTTAGTTCTTCCTCTCCTCTCCTATTGGGAGATCTCAGTAGCTGGCAGGATACGGCGGAAGAACTTCTGGAAAGTGTTCAGTGGCTTCCGACTAAGTTTGCCTCAAGTTTTGTGTGAAGCGTCTCCTTAAGGACACCTTAGATGGAGCGTCACAGCTACATTTGCAGCTATTTGTACAGAGCATTTAGCGTAAATGCACACAGCATTGTCTTGCATCGAGCTCGCAGTACTCTGAAGAAACAGGGTATGCAAACGGACAAACGCACGAGTCGATTTTTGAATTTTTGTTGAATACAACTGGCACAGTAGAAGAAAGTGTGGAAGTGTGCCTTAGCTCGCTCCAATGGGTGTTTGGAACTGAGGGAAGGGGCAAAAACACTTAGGCGCGTCACGTTTCGTGTTCGTCCCCCGCAGGGCTCCTCCAGAGGTATGAAGTTTCGCATTGTTTCAAAGGCAAGAAGAGGGCGAGCAGGCGCGAGGGGACCACTCCCATAGCAGCGTAGAGATTCTCGTTCGGTAGTTCGTGGTGTGGTGCAGTTTGGTGCGCCGAGGAAATAGCGAATTCTGCATTATGTGCAGCCAAAATGCCGAGTTTTAAGGGCATGCAGCGGAGCAACAATGCCTTCACACGTAAAGCGTATCAGAGGCGTGTGTTATTGTACGCAGGAAGGGGGGCAGGGACCACCTCCCCACCAACCCCACCCCTGCACCGCAACACCCCTCAGCAGGGCCCCCCAGCGGCGTGGAGCGGCAGCCGTTGGAAGCGGCGGGAAGGGGAGGGGGCCCTTCTCATTGGAGTGCGCGCGCTGGGGAGAGAAATATGATTGCTTGAACCGAGTTTTTACACGCCTCCAGCTGCGGGCAGCCGACAGCGGATCGGCTGGCTGCCCGTGATCCCCTCCGGCGGACGGAACCGGGAAGCTGAGGGCCGCCTCCTGACTTTTCTGTTCCTTTTTCGCGTGCTGTCAGCTCACTCCATCGTTCTTTCTGCGTTTGTTCGGAGCGCTCGAGGATGAAGCCCCTGCTAGCGGCAGAAGGAGTGCTGGATCGGCACCCGCAGCCAAGCGGTGGAGTTGTCGGCAATCCAGCGGACTCCACGTCTTCCGCTTCAGCTTCTGCCTTGCGAAGTCTGCACTCTCTGCTGGAGGGAGGCGACTTCGAGGAGCTCTCCGACTTCTTCTTCCGCATATGCAAAGAGGGCGACTCCGCCCAAGGCGCGTCCAAGTTGCAAGGCGCGTCACGCAGCAACTCAGCCGGGGCCATAAGGCTGTACTTTGGAGGTACACGACCCTCATCGGCTTCTACCTCCGTGCCTTCGTCTTCTCTTTCGCTTTCTTCCACCTCTATGGAACACTCGGCTCCCTCCGATATCCCGCAAGAACCGCACCAGAGCCACGGCGAATGCGAATTCGCTGGCGACGCGGCACTCGGCATCTGCCACTCCGGCAACACCATCGCCACAAAACGTCTCGAGGACGAAAAGGATGAAAACAAACATGAAATCGGCTCCGCCATGGGGGGAGGCGACGAGAGGTGGTGTCCAGACACCCCAGCCGCCAACTGCAGCCATCCCCTGGCCGATGCGGCTTCCTGCACTGCAACGCCAAGGAAAGCAAAAGAAGCCGCTCCAGCGTCCTCCGAGGAAACGAAAACCTGGGGGAAAACGCATGCAGCGGAAAGCGCTTCTGCCTCTCTCGCCCGAAGAAGCCCAAGACTCCAGCGCGCAAACCAAGGAACGCCGCGTCATGAGCCCATGACCTCCCCAGCTTCGAAGAAGCAGTGCCTAGCTTCTCAGCAGCAACCTAGACGGGGGGAACACTCCTCCTCCAAAAGCTCCACAGAAACAGCAGACAACAGCACAACTCCGGGGGGGGGCGGTGGAAAACGACAGCAAGCCACGGCGTCCGGCGGGGGAGGGGGGCACTCCCAAAGGAAAAGGGGAAGGGGAGAGCTCGACAGCATGCCGATGAGTCCTCCTACTGGCTGCAGCAGCAGGTCCAGAACGAATCCTACTTGCGAAGAGGCTGTTCGAGAGGATGCCGAGGCTCTCTCGCCAATGAAAGGCGCCAGCAACAAGCGTAAGGGCAGCTGCAGAAGCGACGCGGCCAAAGCCTCTTCGGGGAAGAAGCCTTCAAGCGCGGCACAAGCGCATGGTTCAAAAGTGAGTGTCTTCGAATGGGTGTATGTATGCTGCGCTGTATGTATGGATGTACATGTATACATGTGCATCCATACATATTCCTATGCGGGGTTTCCATCGAGCTACGCACATGAGCTTTGGGGGCTTCCCAGAGACAGAGAGAAGGCGTTTTCAGCCTGTGGCATGGTGCTCCTTTCTTGCTGTGGTGTCGTTGGCATGCCCTGCGGCGCAGCACTGCAACAGGAAGAAGGCACGCGTTGACGCACCCCACAAGAAAGCAGTTATTCCTCGGGAAGCCTCCCCTGCGCAAAGCCAGGATGTCTCAGAGGCGGACGATGAGCCGATTTGCCGCTTTGCTCTGCCGTCTTCTTCGAAAGAAGACGCTGTTGCAGCGGCAGACTCTGGTCCCCCCGGCAGCTGCAATCAGCTCGTTGAGCTTTCGCATACCTCCGTGGCGGCTGTTCAGCAGGAAGAAACCTGTGCAGAGGAAGAATTGCGAGAAGATGGAGGCGATACACCTGGTGAACCAGCAGAACTGGAGGGCGCGTTGCAGCACAAAGTGCTCAGGGCTCTCCCCAAACCAACGCCGCAGTTCGACTTTGGCTTGTTCATAGTGCGAGTGGCTGCAATGTCGAAGCACGCAGACGATATTTTTCCCTTGTTAGAAGATGAAGAGGTGCGAGCAGCTTCCACGCACCTCTCATGACACCGTGCTTACTTCTCGCGCGATGCAGCTGTGTGTAGCGATGAGCATGCGTTTTGAGTTACAGGGGTGCTTAAGGCCGTTCGATGCTTTTTGTGCGCGCGCTGTTTGCTGCTGCAGCTCATGGAGACTTCTATAGTGCTACAAAAGTATTTGGGGCCTCTGAAGGAGGGCGCCAAAAGGCGCGGCGATTGCTTCATGCTCGACAAGCTAGTTGCAGATATTCCCAATGTACGCACGCACGGTTTGTTGCGCCTCTGTCCTACTGCTTTTTAATCGGCAGCAAATGTCTCTGCCTTGCCTTTACTGAGGAGCTATGCTTCCTTCTGTAAGACTGCGTTATCTGGAGCTTCCGTGATGCGCTACGTTTCAGCAAGGAGGCGTTTACAGACCATCCCTGGATATAAAGGAGGCACCGTGGTGCACAGGGCTGGATGCGGACGAAGGGAAGGTGCTGCCAAAAAAGGAAGTTTTGCGTCAGCGAATCGAAATTCAGAGACGTTGGAATCCTTTCTCCATCTTTGGTTCGTCTCCCCCGGCAGTCGAACTGGAGGATGTATTCGGCTATGAGGTACGCCGGTACCGCTGTCGGCTTTAGAGCCTTCTGCTTCCTCTGATTGGCGCCTCTTTTCAGGTGTATACGCAGTGTTTCATATGTGATGTCAAGCGCTGTGGGAAGGGTTAATCGTCATGCGCTTCGACAAAGAAGCAGTGGTGGGCATGCATGCATGCACAAAAGCATACACGTGCACAAAAATACGTAGGGATAAGACTCTGGATCTGTGGATACGTCCGCGGGGTCCTGCAGGTGTACCAACGAACGGCGCCTTCGGCTCGCGTTCATCATCCCTTGTTTCGTCGTTTATCGCAATTTCAATCGTTTAAAGATTTATATTCTTCGATTTCCAAAGAAGAGTGGGATAGGGTCTCTTCGGCGTTCCGGCACCACTGGAACAAGCAATGCCGATTAGATCTCGACTGGACAAATGATCCTTTGACCGTCGATGAAATCATGTGGATGTTGGAAGCTAATGAACAAGTACAAAAACTACGGCCGCTATTTTTTCTCTCCCAGTCCCTCTAGAACTTTATACCGTATGTGCGCTTGATGGGCATATATAAAACGGTCTTTTTCATTTCCTGTCGTTGTATGCAAGATGAACGGCTTCAGTGTATTTCCATCTCTTGCATTCTACTGCGCGCAGGTGGAAGATCGGTCTTCTCACGTCTACGAAGCGGAAATTTGCTACTGTGTGACCCCGAATCCAAACGTTGGTTTTGGATGGAACGATCCTCGTTGCCACAGATACAAAGTAAGTTTCCCCTGCGCTTTCTACGGTATCCCTATAAAGTGCATCCCGGCGTAGCAGAGCCAGAAAGGTCTCATTTTTCCGTCATTTTTTGCTTGTTCTCGGCAGGCGCCACGACCATCCATGGGCTGCCACATTTTGACTCAGCCGCCCCTCGTAGACGATTCCTTCGAAGATCAAGAGGGGGAGAATGGAAATCCAGGACTGGAGCCGAGAAGACGACAGCCGTCCTCGTCTGCATCTGCGAACCTTTTGACTGCCACGTATCCATGTGAGGCTTCTGGAAAGCCGCAGGATGGGAAGCATGAGGAGAAGGACAGCAAGCAGAAAGCCGTTGTTGGGAGATGCGAATCCATCGAGCATAAGCGGAAGCATCAGGGGGGGGCAGCTTCTTCGAATGCATTTCCTCTCAAAGTGTGCGCCAGTCATAGGTAGTGGCAAATCCAGACCTTTGGAGTTCGGCGTGCCTAAAATGGCAACACTGTTTTCTCCTCAAGCGTCGTTGACGTTTGTCTTTTCATCCGTTGTAACGGAACTGAACCCCGCCGGCCTGTGGGTTTTGCATGCCCTTTAAGCGAATTTCTAGTTGTTAGAAGGGCAGTAGGCAGCAGGTAAACACTTTTTCGGTGTGATGCCTCGAAACAAATCACCGGCTTTGAACACATTGTGGCCTCTCAGCGAGCCAGATGTGCGTTCGACTAGACCGCAGTCGCAGCGTCTACTGCGCAAAAATATCAAAGCAGCAATCTCCGCCGCTTCTTCTACCTGTTTTCTGAGCCTTCGTAGACCGACCCTGTAGGGTTGATCTGGGGTAAGTGTACAGTGGGCAACAGAAAAATGGCTAACCTCCACGTTTGCCTTTTGCGCGCTTTCTGGCACTGGGAAGAACCGTGTATCGCTGACTACTGCCTGCGGCATTACTTTTTACGTAGGCTCAAGTTGGAGGTTGAGTGACGCGACAAAGGATTACCCCTTGTAAATCGTATCTAATTTTGCTGCTGGACTGGCTGTTCATTGTGAGCTTTTCCTTTAGTGCATGAAGATGAGGAGTCTGCACAGCAAGGGCACTCGTCTTCTACAGGGTTGCGCGGGGGTCAGACACAGAGTCTCCTACCAGCAGTCGTGCTTTACAGCCATCGGTTGTTCTGGAATGGCTATACATAGATATATGTGTACAATGCATGAGGGAAAGTGTTTATTCTAGCACGCATTACCCAAGGATCCGCCTGCATTGGATCTTGCGAGCCGGCAAAGACTTTTTGCCAGCTATGATGCATTGCTTTCCACCACGTACGCCTGTCATCTCCCCAGTGGCAGCCTTGGTGAGCTCGTCTATCCGCTTTTCTTGTTGGTGCTTCGCCTCTCTTAAGACTGCCACCTGCGGCACATTTTCTGCACCGCATTGCTGCGAGTGCCTGTGCAAAAATCGTCCACCTGGCTTTTCATGGATTCTAATTTTTTTTCATGCTGCGCTCGCATTCTCTGGACTTCTCGCCGAAAGCGTTCGTCGCAAATTGCCAACTGCGGGTCGTGGATCACTAAACTGAACCTCCAGGTTCCCCTTGATGCGTTTCTCTCTGACCTCCTCATCAGCAATTTCTTTTCTTCTAGTTGAAGTCGGGAGAGCCAAGTCGGCCAGCAACTCTCCCCATTTCGCTTTATTTGCACGTCCTCAATTGTGCGAGCAACACGTTCAACCTGTCGTGTAACATTAGGTCACCTCGCTCTTCCTGCAGGCAGCAAATACTGGTTGCCTCGAGGTTCTTCTTCTGTTTCCCATATTAATAGCGTTCAGTAAGGGATTCATCGATCCATCTACAAGGTTCACTAGGATACCTTGATTGCCTCTTTTTCAGCTAAATGTGACGCTGCTGCCGTCAAGGCAGCACGCGCTTCGCGTAGTTCGTCTGTTGTTCGCTCTTTAAGAGCTTCCAACTGAGCAGCGGAATGTTCCCTGCAAAGCGGATGGTTGTATGAAAAAGTTCTCAAGGAGGGCCCAGTAACTACGGTGACTGCACATGAGGAGAACTTCCTCTTCTGCTTCCAAAAGCTTCTTTAATTCTTCAATGTCTCGCTGAACAACCATGCATTCTGCAATAAGACATCCTCATTGATGCCATTTGAAGTTGCGATTTCAGAGGTCCCGTTGCCCCCACCAGCTTGCAACTCAGAAAACTTGCACTTCGCGCCTTCTCCCATGCGTTGAGTAGACATCAACGTCATACGCAAGCTATTGAGCTGAGCAGATTTTGCAGCTGTGCAAGCAAACCACCAGAAAATCGAACCCGCTTACCTTTTCAACTGCTGCCTTTGTGGCTGCTGCAGCCACAGCACTTGCCGGTTGCTCGCAGTGGTAGACCACTTGCATTTCCTCAGCAAACATCAAGATTTGATTGCCCTGTGAAGGCCAAGCCATGGCTGCACCTGATTGCCTCTATGCATTTATGACTACCTTTTCTTGAATTGCTTCCGCGGCACTCGCGAGTTTGGCATCTACCAGAGCCATACGCGACTTGGCGGCATCTGCAGCACAGTGCAGAGTAAGCACTCTTTCGTTGAGCTTCTTAGCCTCGGCTGCAAGATGCGCAGACTTTTCCTCCGCCTTTTCAAGCTCTCTGTTGAAAGTAAAACGTAGTCGGCCGAATGTGTGGGGGATGGAAGCTAGTCAAACCTGGATTGTTGTCTCAGAGCCAGCTCATTCGATTCAATCTAACAAAGTCGGGCATTACCCAAGGGCCCCTTCACGGAGAGGTACTGGCCTACACAAGCAAGGATTTCCGGCAGAAGGCGGTTGCTTTCGTTTATTTCTTCTAGTGCTGCGTGTTTTTGCTGCGCAACGGCGGCTAAGCGCTGCGTCCCATGCCACATTGGACTCTTCTTGCTTCATGTGTTCAATTGTGCACTCTGCTTACCACTTCGATTTCTTTCGTTTCTGCGCCATTTGCACTCGCACGCGATGCCAGTAACTCAAGACAGAAACTCTGCCTGCCCAGTTGCGCCCTCACCAGGCACAGCGACGCTTCTTCCCTTTTTTGCATCTCTTCAAGGCTCGTATTTGCTGTTGCCAACGCGGAAATCTCATGACGAAGAGCGTCATTCTTCTGAAGACACTCTGCATGCGTCTGAAGCTAAGCAAGAGGTAATATACCCTGTCTAGTATAGTGTATATATATCCAGTGCTCATCGCACCAGCTGCTCAAGGGCTCTGTTTTGTTCCGTCATCCAAAGCTCATGGGCACTTTGTTCGTCATACAGCCGATTGCGCGCTTCAGCATTTTGCGAACAAAGGGAAAGAGTTTCCCGCCGGAGTTCAGCGCAAAGTTCGTTTTTCTGCTTCGCCTAATATGCGACAAGACGAACCATGGCTAGGATAATGCAACATATGTGCTGCGCACGTATTTGATTTACGAGCTCTTTAATGGGTTGGGATGTCGAATCCACATATATCTTTCCATTATGCTTTTCCTCAATGGATCGCTTTAATGCATCGATGGTTTCCTCTATCTAACATTCAAATGAAATATACGTAGCGCTGCTTTAGGTGGTGCCGCCTCAGTCGCGTACTTGTTCAATATCTGACTGATGCTTGGCCTGAACATCCCGAAGTGTGCCAACTTGGCGGCGGAGTTTATCACTTTCCTCCACCCGCCCCTCCTGAGTGGCATTCAGCCTCTCAAACACTTGTGACACCCTCATGGCTTCTCTTGTGAGCCCTTCTAAGGCATTGTTCATGACGGGAAACATATGGGTACATTCACCACGCAGGGCTTCCGCTAAGGCAGCAAGTATCTCAAAAACTGGGGAGCAGCGTTGATTAACCACATGGATAAAGTTGTCTGCTATTTCTTGCTGATGTAGAGCATCGTCGTAAAGAACAGTCAGTCTTCCCTTCGTGGCGCTAGCTGTGGAGGTACTCATGACTGGTTGGTTGTGACCCATGAGATAGATGAATCTAAACCTCCATTCTCACCGCGGATGACGTCTTGGGAAACCTTTTTCAAAGCCAAAAGGGCTTGGGTCGATCCAGATAGACATGTAGAGTGCTGTTCACATGTGGATAACGTTTTTCCCCCACTTAGTGCGCTGCCTAACTTGGGAGATCCAACACAGTGCCATTTCGCGTCATTTGTGGCAATAATCATTGTGCCTAGATTATTGAAAGAAGAAGCCACAACTGTGAGCTCATAGTCCAGGTAGCATTAACCAGAATTGCATGCAAAGCGGTAATACGGAAAGGGCATCTCTTTCATTGGGGCGCCCCGTGCATTCGCGTTGTGTAGATACAGGTTCACGCGCATGCCCGTTACAGAGTGCTTGTCTACATGGCAAAAATATAAGTCTTCGCATACCAAAATGAGCCATAATCCAAGACAATAAGCGAATTTATAGGTAATTTCAGTGCTCCCTTGAGCTTTACCACTCACCTGAGCGCATTTTGCCTTTGGCGGCTCTAGTTACTATTTCCGCTCTCCCCAGTGCTCTTCTGCACATTCGCAATAGTGGGCAGATTAATAGACGGGCGCTAGTCCTTTTTATGTTGGTCTAGGGTTCCGGGTGTTTACGAATCTGCCACCACGCAATGTTTTTTCGAGCCACGTCACATCCATCGAATCCACATTCATTATTCCTACGCTTTCTGTGTGTGCACATCACCCAATGGTACTGGAAGTTCATAGTGGAGCGAAGCGGATGAATGCCTTGCTAAGTCAACTGTTAGCCAGCGGGGGTTCAACACATGCACAACGGGTCACCGCATGCTCGGATTCGCGAGTAACCAGGGGCTAGTGCATAAATCTTCTGTGGGGACTGTTTTACCTTTTCCCTAGTCTACGATATTTCGCAGAACGATTTCTCTTTTTTGACGCCGGTCAGACTCCATAAGCTGAGGAAGTTATATGCGGAGCTCCTTGAGAGATGCATGCAACAAGCCCTAGTCCGACTGTGCATTGCGGAGTCAGTAAGCCATTTCATTCCGTTTCGAATTCAGTGGCAATTACGCCGATTTGTACGGCCAGGTCCGTCTAAGGGCGCTCTGCCCTACAGACGCTCCACAAATATCCGCCAAGCCCGAAATCGCTATGGAACCTCTTCTTCCAGTTCACAACCCTGGGAATGTCAAGGGTTCCGCGCAGTCAGCTGTTTTCGATTCATTGCAGATGCACAGCACCAAGGCAACGGAAGCCGAATGTGACGGGGTTCCCGTGAAAAGCCGACCCATCTCCGTAATGGAAACTCCCCATGGAGAGAACCACACCTCTTACAACAACAACTCCCCTGAACGCCGACTCAACACCCAAGCGGAACCCCCTTTCCGCTTAGGCATTGAATCGGGGCGTCGGTTTTTCGGCAGCTCTGGAGATATCTACGAGCTGCTGGACGCTATAGGCTCGGGAAGCGCCTCCACAGTCTACAAATGCAAATTAGTTAAAGCGAATCTGAACTCCTCAAAGGCTCCCGACCGCCCCTTCAGGGCGGATACTCTGTGCACAGCAACTGCAGAGGAGGTCTTTGCAGTGAAAGCAATAGACCTAAAGGGGCTCAGGCTGAATCCTAGCTTTGAAAATGAACTCGAAAAGCTGCGGAAAGAGGTGCGCTAGTTCTTTCCTTCTGCAATATATCTTGTTCTATGTTGCACACTCTTATGGAGACGACTGTAACGCACTCTTTCGTACATTATTTACAGCCTTGGGATCACATAGACTTATGTATGTACGATAGACTTTGCAGGATATCCTAATGCTCTGCTCTGTGTAATCGTGCACCGAATGCTGCTCAACATGGGGCTCATCGGGCCTCTTCATCAGTATATCAGAAATACAGATGCTTCACGTGGCCAGTTCAGAATCATTGTTGAGTGCACAGTGGCATCTTGTACTCTATCCTTCCGCAATTGCGTTGGACTCCTGGTGTATTCACCTTTTTACATCTGCTTTATCTAGTTCGCTGCATTGCTGGTTTTCCTGTTACTGCAGGCTCAGCTTCTACGAACATTGCGCCATCCATGCATTGTTCGTTTTATTGATTATGTGGAGACAGGCGACGCGATCTTCATAGTGCAAGAGTTTCTCAAGGGCGGCGAGCTGTTTTATAAAATAGTGGAAAAAGGCTGCCTGTCTGAACAACAAGCTTGCTTCATCGCTCATCAGGTTCTTGCTGCAATCGTGTTTATGCACAACTGCAAGATCATACACAGGTTGGTCTTCGCATTTCGTCCGCGCGATTGCATCTCTGACAAGAAGCGTCTCTTGCGCGCCCTCCCTCTAAATTCCTAGATTAAGTTCCTGAATCTTTGTTATTTTTTCTGGCTGCGTGAATGCATATAGTAATCAGCTGCTTGTGTGGGCATTAGACCACAAACACATGTACTGCATAGTGAATACGGGAAGCATGGAATCACGGAAGCACGCACCTTCACAGACTGAATCATCCCTCTGCTGATTCCCCTTTCAGAGATATTAAACCAGAGAACATTCTGATTCATGATGAGGTTGAAGACGGATTTTACCGGGTGAAAGTAGCCGATTTTGGTCTTGCCAAAACTCTCGCGAGTTGTGGCACTTTGGCAACTACCATGGTCGGAACCCCGCAGTACTGGGCACCAGAAGGTAAGAAAAGTACATCACTCTATGACAACCACAATTATCTGTATGCGCGTTTCTCCTCAAAGCGAAGTTTAAAAGTGTGAATGCGCACCTTAGGACAAGAAAACCTGCACTGGTGGTATTATTCATGCTCATAAACTTGCGAGAAAATACTAGGAGCGGCCATTCTGTTTCTACCAGGCATTTGCTCTCACTAGCGTTCAAATGGCACTGCAGCATCCACTCCTACTCACGAAGTAGGCTGTTGACATAGTAAGAAAGTGTAAACCGTTTGCCTGTGACAAAGCACATAACGTTTATCCTGCCTGTCTGATTCTGCTTCACTGTTTTTCCATGTTTTCCTCAGTCATCAACTGCGGCGCTGGCAGGCTTTCGGGCAGTTATGGCTTCGAAGCTGACCTATGGAGCTTTGGGGTTTGCCTTTACGTTTTTCTGGGGGGCACGTATCCCTTCGATGGTGCAGTAGGTCCGCTGCAGCAGATGGTTTTGAATGGTGAGCTTCGCTTCGTTTGTGTCATCATCATGGCTAGAGCCCGCATTTTTTAAAAACCTAGGACCATTGCATGTTGGCATGCTACTTGTCGGGTTACACGCTTATGCGTTTCTCGATACGGTTTAAAGGCCCCTACCTCTAGATATGCGATTCACTTGTGACTGCTGCAATGTTTGGTCACTAGGACGCTTCCACTTTCGTCACAGTCGTTTTTCGCGTGTCTCTGAAGACGCGAAAGATTTGATTCGGCAAGCCCTTGTCGTGGATCAGAACAGAAGAATAACCGAAAAAGAAGTACTTCCCGAGCACCTCCGTCTGTTTACCGTAGAAAGCGGTTTTAGTCTCACTGTTCACTGACTCAGTGCATTAGTTGGCCTGATGCTTGCACTCTATCCTTACTCAAAATAGAGAAGTGTGTAGTCGGAATATTAGCGAGTGGCCAGCCGCTACTGCTCCTACCACCAGATAGAACCACTTCCTGAATTGTTGGTGCAAGGATGCTTCTTTGTCTGACCATCGAAATCCTTGGTGACGAAGGCACATTGAGCTCTCTAATTTGGTGTTTCCTCGTCTAAGCAAGTGCGCTTTGTCCTTTTTTACGTCGTGGGCAGATATTTTTTCATCCGTGGATGACCCGGTGGCTGTGCGAGTTGGATCGTTCGCGCTTCCATCTTTCTGGGGGCCCTTCCAACGCCTTTCGCTTCATGCCGCCTCTTCCCCCGCTTTCTTCTGGAGCATTTTCTTATCCTCCGCCTTCTTGGCGGCATGTTGATCGAATGCATAACAAAAATAACCGCAGCGGTATCTGGGAGCACCAGGACCGGGCAGCTGATTTAGCGCTAGATCCTGGCAACAGCTCGAGAGCAGAAGGGGCCCACAGGAGCAACAACCGAGACACGGCTTCGTGTGCTTCTGCAGTAGCTGTGGAGCTGCGATCAGACTCTCCGGATCCGTCTAGTGTGGCAGTTGGCGCTCTTCTTCCTGGCTTTGTTCTGAAAACGAATCAACCGATTCCTCCGTTTCACCTGCCACTGCTTCTACCGCTGCAGCTGCATTTGCTGCTCTCCATACATCTGCTACAGCTCTCACTGCGCGAGTCTCACGCCATGTTTCTTCTTGTGCAGAAATTGCAAAAAGAGCTTTGGGCGCTGCAGCGTGGGGTCCACACGGCTGTTGGCTTTTTTGAAGTCACAGCGACGTCTGCCATTGAAACCATCGTCGACATCTCCTCCATGTTTGAAGGGGAGGAGGACTCGGCTAATGAGGAAGGGGGAGAAGAAGCAGGAAGAGGGGGATCGAGATGCAGGGGAGTCGGGCTGGGGAGCGGGATAGAAGCAGTTGATGAACTCTTCGCGCAAGTGCGGGGATGGATTTGCGAAATGCAGAAACAAGGAGAGCGACTGGGAATGCGATACGAAAGAGCGGAAGCTTCTGTCTCTGAGCTTATCTGCTGCGTTTTAACTGCTCTCTCCGCCTCCGCACCGTCATCGGTGCCGCGGAAAGAGCAGACGGAAGCAAATGAGCAGGCGGAACAGATACTGTCTGCTGAGAGAGATGCCACAACAATAGAAACGCCGCTTGTTGAAGCAGAAAGCGAACCCTTGCAACCTGCAGAAGTGCGGCAGCATCCCTCTGTATCTGGGATTTCACTGCCGAGTGAGCACGAAAGTGGAGAGCAGAGAAGCACTCTTGTTACTCCCGTTTGCGCTGCACTTGAAGCTGGATCGGCCAAAACCAAAGGCACGGGTTTTTTCGAGACAGAAGTGGGTGTGTGGGGCCCCAGTGGTAGCGGAGCCCGGATGGATTTGCTGCGGGAGTTTCTTGGATCGAAGCTACGACGCATGCTTTACAGTTTCATGCAGCATCCAACAGAGAATGACGCCAGTGGGGCTACTGATACAGAAGCAGGAGCACACCTGGCAGAACGAGGAGGAGAAGCAAGAGCAGGCGGCCGAGAAGAGAGCAAGCAAGTGGCTACAGGGATACGGGAATGGAGCCAAGTAGGGGCCCCAGATCCCTCTCTCGTAACAGAAGAGATTCTAGATTTTCTTTTTCTCTCAACAAAAACTGCTGCTTCCCACGCAAGGCAACTGAGGCAACCGTCGAAGGACTCTGGGGAGGGTTTAGGCTTGGGTGGTGCCTTGGGAGCCCCTATGGGGGGGGTCTTCCAGGAGCAAAGCCTTTTGCATGGGGAAGTTTTGCACTCGGAATCTGCTCCAGGAGAAATTGCGGGTTCTGCTGAAGTCGCCAGGGAGTCTCCACGATCAGCAGATGGCGAGGCGAGCCGAGGAGGAAGGGAGCATGAAGTACATCAGTGCGCAGAGCTCTCGTTCCTCTGTGAACCAGGGTTTTCCACCGCCTCGGCTGGGGGAGCTTTGCAAGCGAAGATTGCTGTATCGCGTCTGCAGCTGAAGTCTCTAGAGAAGCTGCGTCAGGTTTACTACATTCTGAGTTGCGTGTGCAGCTTCTGGTCCAACTTCGACCTGATTCTGTGTCGCTTACTGCAGCTGCAGCAAATAACGGAAACGCTGCTGCGGCACTCCAGGGCCCCTTGGGTTAGCAGAAGAGCGGTAAAACGCCTGAGGCGCTTAAAGGAATGCTGGATAAAGTTCAGAACACAGTGTAAGGTCTACCTGGAACTGTCCAATGCGAGAAACGCAAAGTTGATGGATTTAGGGCTGCACGTGCAGCTGAGGGCCGACCAGCTCGATGCTATTAGAGCCCTCAGAGCCATGCCCGATGAGTAACTGGTAGCTAATTTTATCTGTATGTATTTTAAATGGCCGCTTTATTTGTTTTGTTTCTTAATATAAGTGTAGCGGCACGCAACGCTTTAGGGAAAAGGACAGCTCAAGCTGTCTCTGTCGACCGTAATGCGCACACGTAGTACACACCTCAGGGCGAACCAAACTCTTCTGTGCTGGAGAGCTTAAATATAAGACGATCCAAATGACAGAAAACAGAGAGGATGGAATTATTTTTTTCGTTGCCACTTCGGCCTGAATTAGGCTCTTGGTATGCGAATAGCTACTTAATATAGAAAGCGGAACACTGAGGAGGAGGGATTCTAGAATATGTTGGACCAACTGTTTCGCTGAACAAGAAGCGTGAGAAAATAGCGGGAATCCTTCAGGCCTTGATGGCCTTGAATCAGCTATAGCCATCGCAAGAATATGACACATTCCTGTACTCTCTTACACCGGTGTAAGTGCGGAAATGCAGCTCTCTGTCTGCATCCAGTTCTTGAATACAGCTGCCCCATGTGCATGTACTTGTTCAGTGGTTTAGGCTTATGCCATACTCTTGCAGTTGTCTTCGTAATCTTGCCTCACTTTATAGGTGTGTCTGTACAAACGTCCCCATTCCTTGTGCAACGGGGAAGCACGAGTACGTCCACACTCTGCCTTCCTCTTTACATAAAATCGACTAAAGGTGTGATATTCCTTTAAAAAGCTGCATTATGCAGGAGCGCTTGCCTTCATTGGCTTGCTGTAGCCCCGCAGAAACGGAAAAGTACAGTGTTAACATATGGACATGATGTATAGGCCCAAATAGAGTTCTAAACATATCAACACATTAAGTGACATATTTCCCTCCAAACAAGTTGCGTTTGCGTGGCACGTGCTTATTACTTTTTGCCAACCGTTTTACAGCCTTCATCGCCATCGTCCTCATCTTCATCTCGTTCCTCGTTACCTTTAGCTGCTGCAGCTACACTTCCTTGCTGTGCGCCTGTTGCCTCATCTTTTGCCTCTTTTTCTATGCCTCGAGTTTCTCGGAATCTACGCCGGTGCCTCCTCCTGCCTCTGCCTCTTTGTGCGCCGCTCGATACTCTGCAAAGGACAATTAATAAAGTGAAAACAGGGATGCCTAATCTCTAGCCAGGGGAGAATGCGCGCTGCGGTCATGGGGTAGAGATGAAAGGGGACCACAAAAAATCGAACGCACTACCAAGGAAAAGGAATTCACAGAATCACCAGTGATTTAGGAAGATGTTACGGGAGCAAGGAGTAGAGCAGTGGAAACACAGTAGGTGCAGAGAAACAATCAAGGCATGAAGAAGAAAGAGCAAGAGGCAAGAAACACGAAGGGTAGAGGGCCGTTCTAGCGTACGTCGAAGCTCTTTCATCAGCTCCAGTTCATCGATTGCGTTACACTCCTTGGCCACTACACTCAAGAACAGAAAAAAGTCAGCCGGTGACACATCGCCATGCACGACTGCAGACAAGGTGTGTGCCGTATTCTGATGTGCAATACGTTTTCATGCGACTACTCCTCTTTCTACTTGCACGCAAAGCTACTTCTCTCTTCTTATCCCTCTCTGTCTTGTAGTATACATGCATATATTTTGCTGTCCATGCTTTGTTGAAGCGTACGCTTAGGACATTAGAAATGAGCACAGTCACAGACACAAATTACTGCGAGACAAGGCTTATCATACATTCAGAGCTGAAAGTCGAATGTTACTTGCTATTTTAACATATTCTAAAGAGCTACCATCGTTACAGGGAATCGAAAAGTTCATTACAACTTTTATTGATTTTCCACAACTATTTCAATACTTAGTGCTCAAGCTAAGCCTGAACAATTGTGGCATTGAAGCAGCAGATATTCTCCTCCTCAAGGGTTGAAGTGTGCACTGAGCGCATTCGCACTTATGTGCTGCTGTGGGCAATCTCTTTAAAAGCAAATATTATCTGGGCTTTTGCTATAGTGGGCTTTCGGATATCCGCGCATACCACTGTACTGGCATGTATCTCTTGCTGCTCACGCTTACCTGCTTCGTAGGCTAATACCTTCTTTACATGCAGCTCTAAAGCTGCTTTGTCTGGAGAAGGCTTTTTCATTTCTGCATAAAGGGCATGCAACAAATATGCACTTAAAGTGAGGAGATGGATAGGAAGTACTACACATCTCGAGAAACGTTTGGAGTGAGTGAAAAGGAAGCTTACACACATACTTCAAGAGCACATGCAGGAAAATAAGATGCGAACGCACAATTTGCGCCCACCACAAGAATACGCTGAGAATAGATAATATAGTGAAACTTTGAAGTGCCACAAAAAGAACCACGGGAATACGAAGTGGGCATAACAGGACAGTTTAAGGGAAATCTTGAAGACATTAGGGAAAACGGTATCCAAAGTTACAATAAGGAACTACACAGCACCTGAAAGCACAAGCAAACTGAGGAGTGAAATACACTGTTTCGCAAAGGCTCTTTTTCTCTACAGGAGCATACCATCGATGGCAAGGCGCATGAATTTGGTAAGAGCTGAATCAACGAACACAGGAAAGCAAAAGGAATTCGGGTGTCGTTTGCCTTATTGTACAGTAATTGGAAAGAAAACGACACGGAATGAACATGATAGAAAGGAGGCATTGGAAGATACATACGGACAAGAAGAGGCAAGATGATCAACAGGGAGGAGACATGCGAGAGAGGCCTCTTTGAAACCGATTGAAATGAGTGGCAGAGCGTTACAAAAAAAAAGGATTAGAGGCACAGGAGTTTCCGAAAGCTGGAACAACAGGTGCCAGAGGGCCTTACGTCTTAGCGCTTTCTTGTCCACTAAGCAAGACACAGCCATTAATCGAGCCGACACTAAACATCAAACAGACCACAGAAAATAGCAAGACAAAAGTACGTGAGGAAGCAAAACATTAACTAAAATTGAAAATTACGTAAACGAATAGTGTTTAGTTTTGTAGAGCAAAACACGCGGAAATTTGCACTACTCATCAAGAAAGGCTTGCTGCTATTTTACTGGCCATGGCATTTTACCCCCACACACCAATCCCCGCATTTTCATTGTACTTTTCATTCAAAACTGGGCTACTTATTCTCTGAACCGGTACGTGCTACAGAGACTAGTGATGTTCTGCAGCAACTTCCTAGCATGTACCTCTGGGAAAGGTAGCTTACCGGCACAAGCGAGAAAAGCTGTGGTAGCTACGGTGTAATATTCGTTTTTTAAATTAAATAGCTGTTTCCAGTGGCCAGATACACACTCTAGCTCAATTCAGTGCGACAGGGTTGCTTTAATTACCGATCTTTTCTTTTTCCTGGACTTTTGTGAGAAGCTCTGGCTGCTTCCCAATCTCCGTTAAAGCTGAGCCAAAGTCGAAAGACAACAGCATGTTTATGAGAAACTTGCGTTTCTTAATGACAACGAATACACCAGCAGGAACCACGCTCACTCAAACTCTCAAACGCATGACTTTAGTAGGGCTCCCAGTAAATGCTTGGAGAATAAGGTCCTTCCGTCTGAGGGGAGCTCACCACGAATTACGATGTCGTATTTTAGCTTTAGCTTCTTCAGACCCGAAAGGTCTGAATTGAACAAAGCAAAAAAGCACTTAAAGCAAAAAGTCTCGAGAACAAGAATAAATCATGAGGCTCGGACTCTTGTTCGAAGCAAACCGTACTGCAAACAAAGAAAAAGTGTTTGATGCTTGCTTGCTTTCAGTTTAACTGGAGGGCTCACCACACACGCCCGCTTGCATATCGAAGTGTAGCACTGACAAATCCAAACACAAGACACCAATAGCACTAAGAGTAGTCAAAAGTGACGGCCGTATGCCCTCCTTCATGGTGCTGCTGCACATGAAAGAGGACTTCATTATCGGCTACTGTTATCACTAATAAGATGCGATTATAAGAATCAGCAGTATGTGAGCTCCCACTTGACCCAGCTGTCGTCTGTTCCCAGAAATTGTGCAAGCATAAAGCAGGGCATTCTTGCAGTCCATTGTATATATCAGTACACAAATACGATGCTAGCAAAATAATATATGCATCGTTAGTTGCCACGTAAAAGAACAAAAGTCGAAAACCATTAAGACCCATATTTTCACTTTGCCTGTCGACATCATAGGAGACAAATGGTCAAGCACCATCTTGACATAAAAACATTTTAGCCCTGCACCAGGTACACGAAGCACTTAAAGGTAAAGCAGGCCACCGGCGTATCCCCTCACTCTCAGGAATCAGAGAAAACTGCCCAACGACGTCTGCTCGGGCTGAAGACACGAACACAAGCACTGAGGCTCAAATTCTAGACTCTGAGCCTTTGAGCTGTGTCGTAAAAGGAAAAATAGACAGAAGGCCCTCGAACTGCTTATGACTTTTTGATTAATACATTTGATGAAGCGGCAGATGCATGTGAACTATATACCAATTCCTACCGCTGCAAGCATACTTTTGCTTATTCATAATTTATTTAGTGTAGACTTTGTGCGTACCCTTTTCTACACATTCTTTGAGACACTTGAATCCTGAACTCGTTGTTTCTAGACTGGCACCTTCTGCAGGACACATCAGACAGCATATCCCACCCTCTCAGGCAAAGCCGTTTAAAGGCATAAAAAGCCCTCAACCCTGGCAGCCAGCAAGGCGTCTGCCATACGGCAGCATGACTGCATCTTCGCCAAAATCAAAAGTCAACACCCATGTAGTAAGTGCCGTTGCATACATACAGTGATACAAACAAAGTATGCCCATTATTAATTGTGCACCCGTAAAAGGCTACTGATGGTGAACATATGGCACTGTGACCACAGCAACGGAGGGCATAACCAAGCAGTGATTATCAAAAAAGGAAACAGTAATGGCCTGATTAATGGATCAACAGAAACAGTCTCAAAGCGAGGAGGCAATTAGATACACGAGTGGAGTTTACAATATGGCAAAAACCAGAAACAATGTTGCTACAGTTTTGCAGAAGCCAAAGGCCAACAAGAGGAATTGATCCTCACTTGTTATGAGCACCTGCGAGGCTGAAAGGACCTTGGCGAAAGCTGAACCGCAATCCAACAGAACCACCTTTGGCCAGTATTTTTGCAATGCTTCATATGGTTTGTGTGAACTCAAATTACTAGCGTTTACCTCAGGCACACAAATATGCTAGCTAAATGCCATAAGCTGCGCTATGTTCTACTAGGTATTATGCAGAAAGTGGTTGTCCGTGTTAATAGGATAGGTGAATCTCGCACGGGGTTCTAGCCAGGTGCCATAGTCGCCTGCAGTAAGAGCTGAAACAGCAAACAAAAGATAACGAATATAAAAGAATCACTAACTTATCGCGGCCTTGAGAAAGCAGCTATAGGCAGAAACTGCTCATGTTCCAGCATTCGGCCTTAAATTCTTTAATAAGAAGCTATGCATATCGCAAAAAGACGAACACAGTACCCAATAGTGACTCGCGTAATTGTATACCAAACAGTATTCGTATTCTATATACGTCTCATGTCGCGAATGCCTTTGACATACTCTTCATCAGACGTAAGCAGACCGGGAAATACGTAATCGCTGCGTCGAAAAAGCACAGCCCCTCATAAGCAAGTATTGTAAACAACAAAAAAGTTGTTTCTCTTACTAGCCTATATAATGCAACAAGTAAACTACATTATCAGAGGCGCAGTTCACTGGTAGTCAATGAAGCTAAGGGGCTAGGGCGACAGGGTTAGGGTTTAGGGCGAGGGGGAAATCAGTGTTCCCACGGCTTTGCTCAATTATCGAATTCTCTGTAAAGCATCAAAAGTCAGATGTACACCAGCAAGCAAAGCACAAGATTCTATAAGTATAAAAAGTTCGTCATAATATAATTTTCTACTTGTGTGTCCTAGCTCTCTGAATGGGGTAAAGGCCTTACCTGGCAAACGTTCGATATCTGTGAAGGCACAAAAAATCAAAGCCATACAAATGCATCACTTTCAACTTAGAAGTATCGCCATTTGTATAACAACAAATACTCGGCTTCTAATGTGCCTTTTTGGGTTGAATCGCAGCGCCAAACCGAAGGGGTAGAAGCCTCATTTTCTGAGAATTGTGAGTCCCCCCTGATCTAGAGTAAACAGTGTGGCTTATTTGATGGAGTAAGATTCAGTTTTAAGGACTCTCACTGCAATCTTTCTTTGTATTTATTCCTGATCAGCGGCTTAAATATCTAGCTTATTTGGTGAAGTGTTTGGATCATACCCTGTCCTATGGCGTAAGGCGTTGTGTCTTCAGCAGTACCCGACAAATGCCTAATCATCCCTGAGGAACTCAAAATCAAATATCAAATATTAACTACCGGGTCATGCGTGCATATACTTGAATTCCCGAACCATTTATCATTTTGCACTCGAAGGATGCGTTGGTGGGCGGCTATTTTCTTTTCTTCCAAACAATACTTCTCTCCATCGAACGGGGCCAGGAAACGAGACAAAAGCGAACTTTGAAACCAGGCTCATTCTTTAGAAAAGCGTAGTATATTTGCTCTCAATTTAATGCTTAGATGGCGTTGTTTCCTGTCCATGCGATGCTTACCCTCATGCATGTAATACGCATCTGAGAACATACAAGCACAAACCTTTCAAAACCCTAGGTTTTTGGTCCTCATCGCCTCTACTATTCAAGAGTTAAACATGTGTATATTATAAGCTGTGATGTTGAACTGGAAAGGCCCTAGGTTTACCAGCATCGATGCATACAACTCAAACAACAATACCATCACCTGCCCGAACTGCAAATAAGGAGATACACCAACCAAGTACAACACAAAAGACGAAAACTACAAAAATACAATGGAGTTCAAAGCAGCTTACAGCACATGTTACTAACTAGCGTAGCCAGAGGCACGAGAGGTGCTTCATCAAAACTGAAGTCTCTGAGAAAAGCCTCTAGTTCTCTTGGCTCTACTTTGGGCACCTCCTCGGCGTTGGAGCACCGGGAGCTCAAGAACGTCGCGATGGCTTCTAAACCTTTGTATGCACGCACAATGAGCAGGTAAAGCGAACAACTGTGAGAAAGTTTATGGAGGGCATTGAGAGACAGGGAAACTGGGTCTGAATCGCAAGAACATCTAAAGCATCGCAATGAGCAAAGTTTTGAAAAGGAAGCAGCAAGAGCAGGTACAGCTGCATGGCATTGAGAGGCAGCTTAGGCGATACAACGAGATTGTACTTGCACAGGAAAGGTTTGAGGAGGATAAGTGTGAACATTTTGCTACGGCTTGAGGAAGCATGAATATAAAGCGGTTTTCCTCTGCTAATTGCCGAAATGCGAACAGTTAGCTAGTTAGCAACCTGTTTCTAGTGGCACCAGCACAGAAACACATAGAAAAAGGCATTTCCCTTGCCTGCTGTATGACGATCACTGCATGAGCTGCTCTTCAGCTGCTTAGTAATGTGGCTAGACTTGTCAGGACTAGACTTAGTTACAGCGTAATATGCCCCTTTTTTCTTACTTTTAAGTGCTTTATTCATCGCTTCCAGAATTACGTTTTTGTGCATTATTTTGATGCTTGGCTGTTCCATGTGGTCTTTTTGCAGCTCAGGGACAATGATTGTGTTGCGCCAACTGAACATTGCCTTGAAGGCGACCGGGAGGCTTTCTTCTAGGCTCTCTAATTTAATTTCTTCGCTTAATGCCTTCTCCTCCATTGTACGGGTGTACACCTTGATTGCAAGCAAATTACAATAAGCTGACACGCACATGCGCACTTGCAGCCACAGAACACGTTGAGTTTTAGAAAGGCTTTGTGTCCTGATACACATGCTGGGCGTTCTGCTTTCGATGCTTTCCGAGACTTTGGGTGCCATTAGCTGTCCTTACCAAAGTGCACGCAGTAAGGCAGATACCAAAACAGACGAGCTACGGTGGCGAGAAATGAAGGCAAGCTATGTGATGTATTTTCCAAAAGCGAACGGGGAAAGGGGAAGAATCAAGACAACTGCAGTGGGAAGGCAGGCAAGGATGTGACAGGAACGGGAAAACTAAGCAGGTGAGTATTGACACTTCCAATGCAGAGGGAGTCCATACCGAGGGTGATAAGCCTGAAACTGAGAAAATAAGTCACGATGGGAAGTGCAGCAAGCAGAATGACAAGCTTATCAAGCAGCTTCGAGTGAAGCCACAACAAAAACAAGAGACACACACAAAATCGCACTATAACAAGGATGTCAAGACAAATTTAGGATTACTTTAGCTTACTTGAAATATAACCTGCGAAGTACTTATCAAGTCTTTTGATCGTTTTGGCCTCTTCAGAGCCTTCCCACGCTTTTTTGATTTTGTTTTGCACATCATGGTGCTCCGCCAAGTAATAACAATCTGTTGACAACCTAGAAATCAAGTGATACGGTACTTTTCCTTTCACAGCGGGGTGAGTTAGGGCGTACGTCAACGAGACAATAGAGATGCGGATCATCGCATATGCCAAGAACTGGCTCAGGTCGCTCCCTGCCAAAAGCAACGTAAAAAACGGGAAACGTGAGGCTAAATTCCAAGCCTTCAAAGTAATGAATGCCTTGATCAGCAAATGGAAAAAGCCGTTAGACGAATGCATCACCCAGCAAAGAACTTCCTACAATGACATATTCAGAGCAAAACGTGCAAGATGGCATGAAAATTGAGGGTTCTTACAGGTAGCACAAAACATACTCAAACTATGAAGTAAACAAACATAAACAGTAGTGGACGAAGAACCACACATCGAAACTCGAATTGCTGCTAATGCAAAAAGAATGACCGTGGACCTGTTTTGTTTTGTTTCACTGAGGCCTTACAAACGAAAGAGGTGCCTCCGAGGCTTTCGCCGTTGTCATCCTCTGCATAGAATGAACAGTGCACATGAAAGCCTTTAAGAGAAGAACAGACATAATGGCGAAAAAATAACGCAGCAATACTCCAAAGTAATTTTTTAGCTAGGGAAAATGACTTTAGCAGTAAGTAAAGAGTGAAGAAAGGGTGCAAATAAGGAACGAATGCCGACTGTCGATATCTTCGTCTCCTGAAAGTAGACCACAGAAGGAAAACAGAATTAACTGATAAGGCAGCTCTTCAGCAAAATGGATTGCGTAAAAGCACTGGAGCTTAGAGTGTGTTTAGTTTACAGTTTGTTTTTTGCCACTACCCTATTTACACCCATACCCACTTTTACCGTTTCCGTTTACCTAGTGATTACAAAAAAGTACCGGTCAGTCAGCCCAATTGTTGTTATTTAATTGTGTACGTTTATTCGGCTTTCTGTTGTTATTTTTACAATGCGTTCTTACACACTTTTATGGATTTGCTGGGACAGTTACCTGTAATCTTACATCTGAAGTCACCCACAGACGTTGTGGTGACCACTCTTTCTACTCCTAAGGTGCCATCGTTACCTGTCTGGTGTGTCACAGCCGCTGCCGCTGCTCCTGCAGCTGCTTCCGTGCCTTGTTTTTTGCTTTGAGTATCTGCTTCTGCGCCCCCTTCCTCTATGTTCTCGACTTTTTTCATTTCCTGCTTTCCTTGTGTCCATTCTTTCTGTTCTTCCATTTTCTCCTCTTCGATCATCTTATGCAAAACGGCTGCATCTGTCTTTGTTTCGGGGGGCTCTGTTACACTCCACAGGTAAAAGCCGAAGCACATGTACAGATCGGTGTTTTCTACCGCCCGCTAGCATGGACTGCGCAAACATGCGTACGCTTTGTTTACTGACACATAACTCAATCCAAACTGTTTCACGGCGTTTTCCGTAATTGGATTCACTGACGCAGCTCCTAGTTCAATGTATATTGTACCTCCTTTTGCTCTAAACGCAGCATCTGTGTTAATCAACAATTAAAAGCTAGCCTCAACAGCGTTCCCTTAACTTACTCGGTACCTGCAGCTGAATTCCGAGCATTTTCAGTTCGTTAATCATTGCTGCAAAAATATGGCACAAGGCGTAATCAAACGCATTTAGACAAACACACACGTGCTATTAGTGTCACCACGCGCACGCGTGTTTTCCCACTGGTTTTGCGTATGCGTAGTTGCCTGGATGTGGACTATTTTACTGTTAGCATTTGCTTTGATCATGTATTGGCTTTGCAAGCAGCTAGGCCCTTACTTGTTAACAGTGCATCTTCCTTTATCACGTTTAAGGAGGCCTGAAAGCTCCAAAGCAAGCAGGCAAGCGAAGAACGTTCCCACTTGTCACAGAATATACCACATATTGCACAGTCTTCTACTGCTGTACTCTATGCACGCAATGCTTTTAGGGCCTATATTTCGCATTTATGTAGAAGAGCCGCGGCAATTCTCTTGGGTGTCCGTCTGACCCAGAGACAGCTGTAGTTTGTACTTCGGGGTTTCTGGTATCGCAGTTATGGGAGAGGGTTCGTGGTACTTCTTTTGCCTACCAAAATGCCCCTTAGCATCATTTTGAATTCCTCGACTGCTAGCGCTTGCTTCATTTCCGAACCTGCAAGAGCAGCAAATGAACAAGCAGGCAAATTGTGAATACCTCATACAGCTCCTTTATGTGCGGCTCGTACTTTGTTCGTTATTTATGCCTTAAGAGCTCTGCGTTCGCCTCGCATGGTCTGCGCATACGTGATTTATTGCACAACTATTAACCACAAAAGAAGCCTACTGCTTCTTTGGCAATAGAAGAAGGGTTAGAATCATGCCAACAAAAGGATTAATAATGTTTGAAACGGGTTGGACGGAACAACAGGAGAAAACGCCGTACAGACTTACGCATTTTGTGTATTTCCCTTAGAACGATTTTGCAGTATATTGGCTTAGAGCCGCAAAATTGCATTATTTCATCGTGCAGGAAAACCAAATCCTTTAGCCAAGGGTGAAACTGCGTTTCGTGCTCGCAGATCAAAACCCCCAAAGCCTCCGGGGATTTAGTAGCGGCAAACTCCAGGAAACTGCTGAACTGGAGAAAAAAATCACATAGGCCATAAGCCTTTTTAAGGGGATACACCGAGACACCGCAGGCAGATCCTCGCTCCCATGCAAAGTAAGCAGCGATCGCCCAGCAGCAACATAAGTGGTTGCCCTTCTACAGATGCAGGAGTTTCGGTGCAACAAGCCAAACCAGTAGCATGAAATCGCAGCACGCAAACATGTAGAAGCCAAAGGTTACCGGTTATTGGTTTACGAATAGCTTAGTCTTAGCTACTGTAGGCTGCACTGTAAGGTTCGGGCTTATTGATTCAGAGGATCAGCCAGTGACGCTATTTGTTTGGGCGGGTGGATAGGGGCTTCTAGGTTTGGGACTTTTGTTTGGCACCGAGTTTTCAATGCGGGTTTTGTGCTCATTCGAGACCGTCTTTGCTTCCTAAAGTAAAGTCGCACGTTAACAGAAAGAGCAACCAAAGAGGAGAACGATGCGAATGATGGCAACGCTAAAAGGGAAGCACGACAGTTGGAAAAGGCAGAACAATGCCACAGTGATACCGAATTTGCAGGCTACTGGACACGGAGGAGCCAAAAGTGTAAGAAACAGAGTATGACATATCCGAAAGCTATTAAGTTCAAAGTCCCCTCAGTTCGTGTCTTCCGTAATACGTTGAAGAGAAAAAAGTTGCGGGCAAATAAAGGCTTGCAGGTTTGCTCTTGTTACTTACTTTTTCTGCGATGACAAATTGGTCGTTAATTTCCGAAACCAAATCCTTGAAAATTATATAACACAACAGAATCCCGGTAGTTAGCATGCAAGTGTGAACGCAAGAAAGCAATGGTTCCAAAGGAGGTTTTACAATAATGCCATTAAAATAAATGGCACCAATGTATTTTCGCCATAAAAAGTCACTAGCTTAAGTAACAACGCCAACTTTCCCAGCCTACAGCAACAACGATATTTACGGCTACCTATAAACATTTCGGAGTCTTATTACACATATTACACGGTTTGGTTTTTCTTACCACGGCAGTCAGCTTTTTCTCTAAAGAGTTCTGAGCCACAAAACAGCAATATACACAAGGGTACGCTAGGCTCTAAAGTCCATGCAGCATACTGTACACTGTATATATATATATATATACATGTCTCTATTCGAAAGTATTTCCAAAGAAAAAAGTGAATTTTTAAACAAAAATACAGCCATGTGCAGTTATATCTTGAGTACCCAGCGTGTCCATAAAAGCATATGTATGCTTCCGGGCATGCTGGAAGGTCACATGTGGATGGTTTAGTTATGTGTAACAACAGGCAGCAGCATATATATAGAAAGACAGAAGTCAGTGTTTGTGTGGTTTGTATACAATGAAAACGGACGGCGATATGCATGAAAGCAATGGAAACATATTGGTTGGTCTTGGCTAGGATGTCTTCCATGGTTTTAGTGGCCGTTTCCTCGTCTTCCCAAAACTTGAGTGATAGGAAATGCTTAACATCGTCGCTCTTTGAATGCTGAAAGACGACACTAATAGACCTGTACAGCATGGACTGCGCTAAGTCCTCGGCAGTCTCATCCTGTTTCTCAATCGCCTGGAAAAAGGATCCTTTGCTCTGAAGCGACTCCCGCAAGAAAGACCCATGACGATGGTAATTCACCAGTGAAACTCCTACAAACGCAAATAGGAGAATAGGGACACAGGCAATTACAGGGGGAGTATATGGAATGCCATTGAATGCAGTAAAGTACACCGAAAAACGACGATATGTGCATTGATGCAATTATTTAGTGCCATCAATACAAGCCACCTGTTGCGGCATTGTGGCAACCGCTTCTCTGGAAGATATTTATCATAAATCCAATTGAATATTACTCAAAAAATACGCTACGCAATAAAATTATATTATGGTTCCTCAGAAAATACCTGCCTAGTGTATGTGCACCTCTTTTCTCAATTACCACATGCAGTGCTGGGAAAGCAAGCGTCAAGAGTTCAGTGAAAAAACCGTGGTTTCAGCATACGTACTCACATGTTCCGTATGCTACTAGATATTAACCTCGTCGAATGAGGTACCATTAACTAGGTAAACGCATGCATTAGAGTAGTCCATAGCATGAATTGACTTTCTTCTTCGCCTTACCCTTTTTCAGGAGATCCTCGAATACCGACTTTTCCGTTGGATCCGACAGATCTAGCTGGATCTCAATTTCATCCTTATCCAGATTAGGAAATTCGTGATGCACAGATGACTGCAACTGCAGGCCAACCGCAACATTGCACACAACAATACACCTGTCATCAGCTGAATACCTCCAGGTTAAAGCACGTCATTTAAGCTTCTAGCTACCATACATTTCGACCTAAAGCCTGCATACTTATCGATGTTTCTTGTATTGGTGCTAGCGCTGTCTAGAGCAAATCCGTGAATCAAGATGCAACACCCTCCTGTAAAGGCTAGTCCTAGCGGTACAGGAATAGCTGTGTTACCAATTAGAAATCGTAAAATAGATAGGGGTGAGCAGTTCCAATGTGAAGTGATACTGACTTTACTGATTTTTGCTAGATGTTCGGACTGAATTTTTGACGGGGAAAGAGAGGCGAGAGCTTGTAATACAGGTTTAAACGGAAACGCAACGAACGCGAAAAAGGCCATTTCATGCCTGGCTACCACACTCCACGCCTGCATAAGGGGGATGTAATCAAGCAACAATTTTGCGTCTTGCTCTAGTGCTGCTGTCTTCATGATGGACATCACCATGAACAATACCTCCAAGAACTCGGGGCCGCTCGCAAACACTATTGGGAGGGCTTTAAATGCCGCTGAGGGAGCACATTTAGAAAGCGAACGCACCACCAACAACAAAGGATCGTTGTGTTCAAACAAGTAATACAGGTAGCAAAACATGCCCAGGGACGAGCATGCAGTAAAAGACACAGTAACAACACATGGCTAATGAACGGTTTGCTTTGGTGCATAAACTGTATAGAGTATAAAGCTGGGCATAAACAAGTGCGGAGAAAAGCACATAATAGCCAGAACAATGGAAGATAATATTATTCATTTTATGCACCCGATATTTTCTAAAAGCTGCCAAACTTCGAGCGCTTAGCAAGTGCGGCGTTTATCTCTTGTGAATGACTGCAAGCAAAAGGTCAGTTGCATGAGAGGCATTTATTTCTTATTCGAGTTCATTTTGTCGCTCGTATTTTGGTTTTCTGTTTATCAAGAAAAAGAGTTTACCAGGACTGATGCCTTCAACAGAAACAATAACCCGCTCTGCTCTTTTTTTGCTTGTAGGCTTTTGCCTAAAGATACTCCTTCTTTCGAGGCTTTTCACTTCCCATTGGCCGGTCATCCCGTACATGTGACGAATTACCGCTGCTCCAAACTGAGAGAAACGAAGCGTAATCTCACGGTAACAACAACCGCTTGATTACGGCAGCGAGAGCACGAAAGGATCTAGAAGAGAGGCGAGGGAGAAACAGGGAACACAATGACAATGTAACAGAGGGGAGCATTCAAGGCCCGTACACCAAAGCGGCAAAATGAATGCAAGGATCAGATTAATATTATCTGTGGAGTAGAGAACGGAGCATAGCGGCATTGTTGCTTTTGTGCATTTAATGCAACATCGCCAAGGCACTGCATTGTCAAAGAGGGATAGCAGCAGCAAGACCAGAAGAAGCAGCAAAAGCGGTACAAATTAAGCAAACGCACAGAGAGCATAAACAAGACTAGCAGCAAAAGCGCTCCGTACCAGCTTGGTTTCATCGTGCCCTCTGTTGGTGAAGACGACCTCTTTGGCGACAGCGATTTCCTGTACAGTCTTTTTAATATCAGGTTTGCCAATGATTGGCTCCTTTAAGCCGGCCTCATGTGCGGCGTGAGTAATGCCGCCGCCCAACCCCAGCTGCGTCACAAAGCAACTATACAAAAGAGAGAGGTGTCTCTGTAAACTCGTTGCTGTAGTGCGAAACAGGCTGTTAGGCTAGACAGCTCCTTTCACCTGCACAAAGCGACACACAAAGCTGTACTATCCGGAGAAAAAAAGAGAATTGAACAAGGAAGGAATGCTCAAGAGCTTACTAGTAGATCAGGAGTGGTGAGCTGAGCCGAAGCCATTTCAATGTGTTGCGAGTTGGAGAGTTCCCCATCTGCTGGTACGCCCTCTGCTCCTGCTTTAGCTGCAGGAGGGGGAGAAGCATGGGACCATTGAGGCAGGCAGCAATAAAAGCACAGGAACACTAAGAAAAGTAGCCGAAAGGAGCTTGAAAGCACCATAGCTGCGCTCATTCTCCACCTAGAGGAATCAACCGGCAAAGACAGAGGGGTTTGACTTTGCTGCTGTTGCTGCTCCTGCCCTGTAATGACAGTATGTGGAGAGCCCTAATTCTTAAAGCGCATTTTAGGGAAGGAAGTGCAGCAGCTGTTGGGTGACCGCCTTGTCTCCTTCATCAAATAGTGTCAACAAGGAGGGCTGCCAGGTGTACAGTGAGCCGGACGGCAAGAACCCAATAAGCTACATTGCAAAGGATGAAGTAGCTGACTGTGATAAAGATGTCAGCATGAATTTCACAATCTTGTGCTGCGTGGAGGGATGATGGTGACAAGAATCTACAGCCTTCGGCTGTGTGTACTCGAAGGGCAGCAGACACCAGCGGGAGAAAAGACCATTTAGGTAATACGTTTCACTCTTTACTCCGTTTCGTATTCATCCCCCTAGAACAACTTCTTAATGGGAGCGTAAGTTTCCAACAAGCTGAAGGGCAGACATGAATACGAGCACGCAAGGCCCCGCTTTTCCTCCTCCAAGGTCGTTCCGTTCGGCACAAAGGGGATCTTCCGTACAGGTCCTGCGAACACGTTTAGACAAAAACCTCCCTGTATGAGTTATACACAGAGTAATATACATTCGCTCAAGATAAGTTTAGGCTTTTCAGAAGATCGACTCAGGACCCTGGTGGGAGCGCTTCAGCCTGGCTGGCTTACCGCTGGTGCATGACCGGTCTCGGTTTTACAAGAGGCATTGCTCACACGTTTGGATCTATTCCCTCACTGTCTCCCTGTTTCTTGAGGAAAGCCAAAATGGTTCTTTTCAAATATTCTCAGAAATAAGCAAAGACGAGCAGCTCTCAAATGCTAGTGTGCACCGACGCACATCCAAGGAGGGGGGCAATCGTCCCGGGTTCGCGGTTTCGCATTTTCACATAACAGAACCCGGATTGTACCCCTTGAAAGATGAAAATGGGCTGTCGTAACGACCCGACTTTTCGTTTCACACCAAGCTGACTACCAGTTCCTCTCCGACTAAATTAGAACTAACATATTGCGGTATCTCAAACAATATCCTTATGACACACGGGTCACCCGATAAATGTTGAGTACTTAGCCTACTTTGGAGAGGCAATCAAGTTAGCATTCAGTAAACAGCTTTGGGGCGCGACACTACCATAAGCATGGCGTGGGTGACCAAGCCTCCCTATTTTCTGGTAGTTAAAAGTACAAAAAATACCAACTCTTCGGTCACTACATAAGACTGGAAAACGTATTGAATCTGCACATTGCTCTTAAAAGCTGTTGACCTCGAAAGAGGTGCATTACATGTACATATGAGCAGGGACGATAAGTGTAAGACTCGTGTTACTTCATGCCCAGGGCGTCACGGCAAGCTACTTCGCTAGAAACGGTATAAGATATACACACTAACAATGAGAGTGCGATATTTCAAGCCCCAAGTCGCGTAGCAATTACTGTGATTCGTGCTTCCTAGCCTTCGGATCAAACAGGGTCCACACATTGAGTACATTGGGTGCTCTTCACGGAACATGCCAAACATCGCCATCACCCAAAAGGGGAAAACTCCCCTATCCCATATTCGGCGCCCTGCGCTCACTTTCTGAGGTTGGGTATTTGTTTAGCTAGCCGTGGAGCACTAGAGGTGCGTGTTTGATGAGAATAGCCAAAGTTTATTATCCGGCTTTACAAAGAGGGAGCTGTTAGCTTGGAGTGTCTGCAACGGGAAAACTGACCCCTGGATTTCAGCTGGCATCAAGGGCTCTATACCCTGTGCCTGTAGTTTAATAGCTTTCACTATCACATTAGATCTACAATAAAATGGGAATTTTAAGTGCACCGAAGCTTTTAATTTGTGCCTTGCAATCATGTTCCGCTACCACATGCACGTGTTTGAAAAAACGCGCATAGCTACAATATTTGCCCGCACTAGCCTTGGATTAATTTCGGACAATTGACTCTTGGTATAAACTTCAGTGTGATGTAATCAGGGAAAAAATGGCAAATGAGTACACTAAATACCTACATGTAACGTCTATTTTGTCTGTACTGACACCGAAAACACCACAATGATGGTTTGCGAGCGTTCTATGCCCATGTTTTTGTATGTCGGTGAGAAAATGCATACCTCAGGTACAGCTTAAAAGTAGCCGGATAGCCAGGTACTTGAATGTCGTAGGAAATCAACTGCGGGCCAGAAAGCATGAAATGGCAAAGGACTGTCTTGTCTCTCTAAACCCCGAACTCGTTTCCCATTTAGCCCCAAAACTTGCTTCTCTTAAGTCAGGTAAAGTGCGACCAGAGCTCTCTCACGACCCGCAAGTTGATGGGTCGATGGGGGAAGACTTCGAGGTACTTATGAAGGCTCCTGCTAGAGTCCATGAGCAACAGACCGCAGCAGCACCTCTTTGAATTGCATGAATGTACTTCGTCAAGAGGTGCCATGGGGAGTGTTTCAGATTTTGGTGAGGCTGTGCTGTTCGCTGCAGGTTTGCTTGCATTACTCGCTTTCCAGGTGTAGATACACTCGAGGTCTTTACTTTGTGGATATATCCATGCATCAGCTTCTAGCCTTCTGCATCCCTCTGTGGAGAGCGTCTAGCAATTACTGTCGTGTATTACTACTACACGATAGTTTTCACTTCGAAGTAGGATTTCACAGAGTAGAGCTGCACTCCAGCCAAAAGCACTTGCATTCCCATTTGAATGCATTTCCACAAAGTTGCCCTCCGTCGAGTTGACTGCCCCAGCTCCGAATGAACGCCCAAGCGAACCATCGCATGGGACTGCTGTTCAAACAGAGAATTCGCCTGAATAGAATAAACCAGCAAAACACTAGAACAATGGAGCGAGGTTTGCCAGCACACTCACAAGGTCGGGGGAAAATTTTACATAGGATGCCTACGCAGACGGTTAAAGAAGACACCATGAGCAATAAAGCGAACCCTGTAAATATAGAGAAGTGCACATGCGATAGTAAAATGGACACATTCGCACATGTGCACAACTATTTATTGAACCCACAAAAAGCTGTACATGGATACACGTCACTGGCACCGCCTATCGACGCTCAACGAAATCCCATGGCTTTACCTTCTCCAATACATCTGCGGTCAGGGCTTTTAGCTTGAGTGCCTCGTCCTCAAGAGCGAGCTGGTTGGGGTGAGATGAGGCATCCTTGGACTGCAGGTGGAAGTCGATGGTCACCGTCTGGTCGAAGGATAGTAAATTCCGAACGCACACTGCGTATTCTCCCCGTACTGCCATCTGCGAACAACAAGGTCGAATATGAAAAATCACCAGGCTTATACGGAATCGTGAAAACCAGCAATAGGGCCACCCGCTAGTGGATGGTAGAGGCGGACAGCGATCCTGTCGCTTGTGCCTTAGCGATATCAACAGAAAAGCTGGAAAGCCTGGCAGTGAAGAGGCAGACACAAAGTAAAGGCCATATTACGTGCTTTCGATACAGTTCAGGATCAAAGACACAGCGGCAAAAGTGCGACATAGATGCCTGGGCCAAAATCGGTTTCACCGAAACAACGCGTGTATAGAAGTTCGACAACCATTAAAAAAATACGGTTTCGAGATTAGAGGAACAGAGTCAATTTTTACACATTTGCTCAGTCAGAGAAGAAAATGCCTCCATGATTCAATGTGCAAGGAGATTGCTGGAACGCGTCAGCATCGGCTGGCCTACCTCCACTTGAATGTGCCCTGATTCCTCTACAGAGGAATAAATTGGAGTTAGTTGCGGCAGTTGCCCCCCTACTCTATGAGAGGCAACCGGCCCCTCTACTGTAACCCGCACACTTCCATCACCAAAGAAGGATTGATACGACCTACGGACCCAGGCATTGACACAAACACCCCCATAGAAGCAGTGACATAAAGCACACACGGATAAAGTATGGCTTCGAACACCACCGCCCGTCATTTTGGTTGAATTATTGCAATACAACAGCTGCTACAAGGGTAGAAGAGAGGATACAGGCGAGATGAAAATGGGCTCTCCAGGAAGCAGAAACACCGGCGCGGCAACCCCGAAACAGCCCCTCGGCAGACCAGAGCTCCAGCCTGATGCGTTCACCCTTTCACAGGGAGGCAGCTGAAGAAAACCAGTGAAAGAGATCGTGCAAGGGCAGCAGGGCGCGAACAAGGGGAGCTTCACTGCTCAGTGCGCATGTGCCTTACCCCGCTAAGGCGGTGTCTTGGTTTTGGCTCTTGACGAAAAAGCACTCACGGGTATGAGGGGAAATATCAAACATCACGGCCTTTGCTGAAGGTGGGAATGAAAATGATATGCAGAGGAAAACAAACAGTAGAGGCAGGGCAAGGGCCCCCCCACTAATCGGCCTGTTGATCATTATGGCAAGACTTGGGCGCGAGACGGAACCACCCTAATCAGTAAAAGAAAGTGAAATAGAGCCCTATGTTTCACCAGCATAAATTGTGGTCCAGTGAAGGACCCCTAATGTATGTCCTCAGCGTTGTTGGGGTATGCTGAGATTGTATCGGTCTGGGAGAAAGACGGGCATACAGGGCTCCTCTATGAGTCTCGGTAAACAACAAGGAGCATTTAAAGTCGAAATTCCCAACTCTCAGACCAAAAAAATGGCAGACAACTCAAAAAGCCGCGCTTCCCACCTCGGGCATTAAGGCTACTGTACTGGGCTGTTCGCCGGCTGTCATTATGGAAGCCATTGGCTTTGCTGTGCTCGTTTCTTCTTTCCTTCCTCATCAAGGTTTTCTTATTTATTCTTTTAATGCTCTGATTCACGTTCTCTGTCAACCTGTCTGTACACCTGAGCCGTCACGCACCGTCCATCCACACCAAACCTCCAGCGGCAGCTGCAGCGCAGCCACGTACCAAGCGCTTCAGCTCGTTTCATCTTCTGCTTCTCTCCACCGACGGTAACCCCAACTTGGACTGTCGGCGCTCGCCGTCCCCCAGTCAATCAGTTTGGAGGGACGGACGCACATAGGGGACTCGCGGTTTTTTGAGGTTACAGGCGCCTTATTATCCATCCCATCGTTTAGGGTTTGCTAGCTAGATTTTTCGACTCCTCCTTCAGCGGCAGGAATTCCAGTGGGCTTTGCACAGACTGTTTGCGGGGTCTCCCGCAGTGGCAAACGAAGTCTGAGAACCTACACTTCAGGAGGCCGTTGGTAGAATCCGCAGCATAGAAAGCATACCACTGAGAGACACAATGTCTTTCGTGGCGCAGCCACGCCTCCCCAGAGTGGCAGAGCCGCTCTTTGACAAAATGGAGTCTATCCATTCTGCAAGTAAGCTTGCGGGTGTATTTCTCGTTTGAGCCCTGGTGCCACCGCTTCTCGGCACTGGCCTAGCTCGGCCGCCATGTTTCCCTACATCTCATAAGGAGGCGCTATCTCTGGTCTGTATCTATGTATATATTGGAAATTAGTAGATGAGCTTTTTGTCAATTGGCTTGTCTGCTGCCGTTAGGCTCCCCTGGCTATGATGGGATTGTCAGAACAAACATTCAAATCATCCGAGGCAACTTGCAGAGCATCGAAGCCAATGTAAGGCGTGTCGCGGGTTACACCCGTTTTATTGCTGTGTAGCTGGTTGCGGTGCGGTAAACTGCGCAGCTTTCTTTTGAGCAGTCGAATTTCTGTTGTGGCGTGTGCGGCTCCACCAGCCGCCTCGTAGAGTCCCCGATTCCATGCATAGAGTGCGCAGCATATTTGCGATGTATCACGTTCTCAGCTGCGAAACTTGAACCGCAATTTTATCTCCCGGAGAATTGTGGAGTCTCTGCACGACAAGCTTAAGCAGACCTTTGAGGTCATTTTGCAGACTGAGACAGCCTTCAAGTCGTAAGGCTTAAGGGTTCAGGTTGGGGCTGTTTGTAGAACCCTTGAACGTGATTGTTTGTTGCTCGAGCTTTCTGGGAGCTGCTGCCTGTGCCGACTTTGGGAGTTGTATGCATGATCGCAACTCCGCGTGCTTCCCGTGTAGTGTAGGCCCCTTTCCCCACATTCTTGCCTCGCGATTGCTGTTGAATAGAATGAGAGCGACACTGTTCATGGCCTTACACGCCTGCTTGCGCCTGTACTGTACTGTAAGGGGCTTTGTGTAGATCTGGACGAGCCTTCGCATTGGCTGCCCGCGCGCGCCGTTTTCGCGCTTAGCTACCGATTTTGCAGCCTGGTGGATACGGCTCTATAAGGCCGGTTTCTGGTGTTTCTCTGCAGGTGGCTGCAAGAGCAGCAGCAAAACGGAGGTTCGGGGAAGGAGGCCATGGACAAGCAACGAGACAAATTTCTGTTTGAAAAGCTTTTTGCACACTTCCAAGCAGAGGTAGCGTTTAGCGAACCCCCGTCTGCCACAGTTGACTTAGACGTCGGTGTCGCGCGCCGCCGTTCGGCCTTCTGCAACCTCCCTGTCGCATTTTCATCAGAAACCTAGCCATTAGGGGCATTCATTGCCGACTGCTTGGGACTGCTTGCGCCTCGACGATTTTTGTTGTGCTTTTTTTGAAAAAAAATGTGCTCCAACAAACTCGCGTACTTTATTTTGCACTTTTCCATGGTTTGCTGGCAGATCAGGAGGGTGCAAGACCTGTCCGATCAAGTCCGAGCCGCCGCTGAACGAGCGGCCGACCCGACTTCTTCGCAGGGAGTTGAATCCACGGGTGTCATCCTCGATATGGAAAATGTGTGTCAAGGTGTCAATTATATGCAGTCTGTGGCTTAAGCTTTAGGCTTTGTTCGCGCGCGGCAGCTTTTTATACGGTTCATCCGGTCCCCCAGGGTGGCGTATGCTCTCTGGCTCTAAAGGCGTTTAGGACGTCTAGGGCGTTGATCCTTGGATCTCACGCCTGTAGTGCTTGTCCGTGTCATACGTATTCGTGGGTTCTGTAGAAGTTTGCATACCTAAAGTCAAGCTTATCAATGTATGTGGGTGTGTCTCTATATCATTCTGTATGCATATATACACGTATACGGGAGGGTTTCCTGTTTGTTTATGCGTTTATTGCTTTTAGGCTGGGGCATATGCGGATGCTGACTCCGATAGTTTGTTTATTTCCGAAGATCCCCGAGAAATCGCGTTCGTCCTTGTTTCTTTCTGTTGTCACTGGCTTTGGTTTCTGCGTTGCCCGATCGGGTGTTTGTGAACGCACGGGGCGGAACTCTTAGAGGGAATCTTCATGGCCTTTTTGCCTCTCACCCTGTGGCTTGGCTCTGTTTGTTTGCTTTTTTGCTCAGGGAATTCGATTTTGTCTCAGAAAACGACGCACTCCTCTCCGTGCGTCATGCCTACCGCCTTTCTGTGTTGCGTTGCTCGTTGGCCTTCCCACGCCCCTCTTTGTTGCTGACTTCCGTGTCTTCGTTGCCATGGGCCCTTGTTTCTGTAACGTGCAGGTCCTTAGAAATCTCTGCTACCTTCTGTTAGTTCATGCGCTTTTGCTTTAACGTGTGTGCCTTCTGCTATGCGTGCGTGTGCTGCTCCAGCGTGCAGTAGCAGAAGAGAGGTTTCAGGGGATTCGTCGCATTCACGCCCAAGTGTCACAGGTGGGTGATGGTTGGCGTTTATTAAGTTGCGCTCTCTCGCCGTTTGCTTCCCTGGAAACAGCGCCGCGCATCCGGCTGCATTTGCATTTCAAGGACGGCTGGCATGGGGCAAGTCGCTTTGACTCAGGCAAACCACATCTTCAAAGATCTGGCCAATCTGATCTTCTCTCAAGGGGAAACTCTTAATTCGATTGAGACACAAATGCAAGACGCTCATGCGCACTCCAAGTGAGTTGGGTTCAAGCATGCGTGCAGCTGCAATATATGCGAATCTCTTCCTGGTTCCGGTGTTCATGTGGGAAATATGGTTACGATCTGTCCGCTTGACGGTCGAATTGTGTACTGTGCCCGTGTTTAAAAACTAGCTTAATAGCTTAGAGTACTTTTCGAGTGGGCAGCTTTTATCTAGCACAAATGGACAGCCTGAGTCGTAGATCCTCTGCCGTATTCTTGAACTGCCTCTTGTTCTGGCAAAAGCGAGGGGCATATGTAACATTTCTGTATCGGTGAAAAACTGTCACAGTGTGGTCTTTTCCTCCTGTTGAATTTGGAACGAAACAGAGAAGACTTGCATGGCCCCTGCGCAAGCATGACACGCACAAATCGTCCATATCAGGAGTACCCAGCTTTTTTCATCTCCTTTTTCCATCCTTACATATTGCACTTGTATTTTGCCCTTGCGGTATCTTGCGTATGCCTTTTCGCTTTGAAATCCTCGTCAGAGCTGCAACATTGGAGCTCCGCCAGGCGAGCCGCATGCAGCAGCGCTCGAGGCAAAGGTGCGTCAAGCCCCAATGCGTAATGTGGCTGCAACTGTGCTGGCAGCGCTTGTACCGCCACGTGGTGTGCCTTTTTGTACATATGTGCGTTTAAACATGCGCACTATCTGCACATTATGGCTCGCATAGGGGGTGCTGTCTCCATTCTTAGCAGAAGGGGCATTGCTGTGCGACGCCTCCCCCTTTCGGCTGCAGAGCCGTTTTATGCTTTCATGCAGAATGACGCCAGGCGCCTTTGCCAAGGCTTCCGCTTTCCGGAAATAGGGCAACGCATGCGGAGCGCGCTGTATTTTTCTGCGCTTCTCTAGTCTGCATATTTGATTTCCATCTCTGCGACGCTGTCCATTGTTGTGCGTTTGCAGGCGCTGCTTCTTGGTCTTGTTTATCGCCGTTTTGGTGTTTCTGATTTTGTATTCCTTAAACGTCTTCTCGGCTTTCGCCTTCTTGCGCTCTTCCACGGTTTCGACGGAGCCTCTCCGTGTAGCAGTAGTGGAGGGGGAGGGAGCTCCTGAAGGGCCCGGGGGTGTTCGTCGTAAATCCTTACTCACCTCTTCGCTCGCCAACGGTGCAAAACGAGCACCTAGCCTTGTAGAGGTGTCTTCTCTGGGAGCCACTAAGAGTTCCCCGGCTCCTCTGTCACCTCCTGAAGGGGCGCTCTCAGGTTCCTCCGTGGCTTCTCCAGTGTCTTCAGATCCAGCGCAGGCGGCGCGAGAGACAATGGAAGCAGCGTTTAGGCCGCAAGTGCCGGCCCCCTAAATCCGAGGCTGCTCTTTCCAATATAGCTAGCTGCCCCTTTGTACCTCATTGTCGCTATCGATAATGCTGGCTCTCTTGCTTTCACTTTGTCTCCGCTGCTTGTTCTCAATTACACTCGGGTGGAGGAAGGGAGGATGGAAGGGAAGGTGTACCTGCTGAAGTGCCTGCAAAAAGCCCTTATCCCTATCCTCCCCTTGCCACCTTCCTTCCACTTAACCGCTTCTCTGCTGTGTGCACTTTTCTCTCTTTGTCGCTCTCATGAAGGCTCTTCTCCCCTTGTGAGGGCCACTAGATATCTTGCGGGCTTTCTCGTCTCCGTGAGCCGTGCATCTTAATGAAGAACGCTGGATGAGCGCCAGGAGGAAAGTAAGCAACTTACGGTTCTAGTTTTTTTCGTATGCAGCCTTGTCTCTTGCTTCGTCCATTTCTGCCTTCCGTGTTCTCTTTTTATTGCTGCATGAGCGCCTCCTCGCAAGGCTTATATTTGTCTGAGAGCTTCGCTGCAAAGGGAAAACCAATCGTCCTTTGTAATTATAGCAAAGCGCATAAGCACAGGCTTTGAACTCGCCAGTATAATGCTTTAATGTGTGGTGCACGAGACCGAATGCATTCTGCAGCTGTACACTTTTCCGGGCACTTGGAACCATGCTTGCAAAATAGTAGGCAAGCGTACGCAATTAAGCACACACACATGCGGGACGTTGTGGATGTGATCTTGGATGGCCCGGTACTTCTTTTTCCATAGAGTATGAGTGAGTATGTGACATCCTGCGGATAGAGCTACTGTTCAAACCTAAATCCTAATCAAGCTTGAGGCAAATCTATGGAAAATATCTCTGAAGTGCTCCTCCTTGGCCTCAACACAGGACTGAGCCCGGAGAGTAGGAGGGTGGGAGGGCGCCTGAGGTGCGCGTCGCAGCATCAACTGAGCACTCTTAACATCCGAACGAAAAATTGCTCAGTCAATTTTTAACCAATTACCAATGATATATGACCAGAGTGGGGGAAGTACATAGATGTAGCTTTTGGCGTAGTAGGAATTCTGAATACAAACTTTCCTCTCAACACCAAGGGTATTAGGGTGCATTTCCTACGGCGCTCACAAACTTAAAAATTACGAGGAGCAGTCGCTTTCCATAAAATGGTGGTCTTCTTGGAATTTGTGTCTCCATGCGCAAGCCTTATGATAGATGACTGCGTTGTTTGTCTTCTACGCCTTGGGAGATCGAAGTCTATATGCGGCTGAAACAAGAAATTCCTACAAATTAAAACCCTACCCAATTGATTATGAGCGAGAAAATTTAGCTGGCATTCTAGAAAGCCTCTAAAAATGGCAGGGTCACCTTGAGTGCTCTGCAATGAATCGACCCTCCACGAGCTGCCCTGCAAGGAAAAGTAGGAACCTGCTCTGACAAGATCGTATTGATTGGTGATTATCTTCCTTTCTAGTATGTTATCTAGACGATTCAATGACTTGATGTTCACCTAGAAAGTCCTTGGTCACCTAGCCGATCATTCGGTGCCTCTACTAACTTTTCTCCTTAAATCATCCAATAAGCGTAAATGCTGACTTTCAATCATATTTTACTAGGCATAAGACAATTGATACAATTGTTCCGAGAAAATAGCCTGCAAGAGGGAAGAATGCAGAGCGTCAAGCGCGTGCCGCCTGCCCTCTAGTCTCCCTTACCTTTCCATCTTCGTGCCCGTGTCAGGTGCTGTCCTTCGCCTCGCGTTTCCGCCACTGGGATGATCACAAGCTATTATACCTTATTCCTTGTAAATTATTGACCCTGAATATAAAACAAGCTATCGTTGTCGCTTTCGTAGTGATCCACTCGCACGCAGATCTCACCCTTTTGTCGATATCTATCTGTGCATTCCAAGTAAAACATATACATCACTCAAGGGAAACCCACATTTTCACTTGATTCCTCCTCTCTTTCCTTACGTCCTGGGATCTTTTGCCCCTACTTCGCTTTCTTCTCCTACTTCCCTCCTTTCCCGGATTCCCCACAATGCCAAGTTACCAGAGCTTACTAGTTCCGTGCGTAGTAGCATCACTGCTGCAGAGTCAAGCAGTGCTCGCTGACTCTCCCCTTCAGGTTTTATCAAATGCCTTCAGCGAGATAACCCGAGTTGTCTCTATCCCATTCAACGCAGTACGAGAGTGGGCAGCAGGGGTAAGGCGCGTCAAACTATGTAAATTGGAAAAATAGCATAGGGGCGTTACGTGAAGCTACTGTGCCAGTGACAGGCTTTTGTCTAAAATATATGAACGGAACTACTTTAAGTACGGTCAGTGACAAGTATGCTCGCGACTGTATATGGAAGTTGGCGAATTTAGAACCAGAACCATGTTATTGACACAACATAACTTGCTTTGGAAGTTGAGGTGTAGCTGTATCAGATGAACCGCATGCACATCGTTTAGCTGTTCCATATGAGCCTAATTTGCGTGACGCAAGTAAATCGTGGTTTCCTGAGCGTTTTTTTGCGGTGTTCTTATACCAGTGCATCAATCATCAAGCACACCTTGCGGCTTGCACATTTTTTGCTTTTGCGCGATTGCAGGACCCAGAAGAGGAGAGTGCCGTATCTCATTCAAGCGCGGTAGATGGAGAAAGAAAGAGCGCAGAAGAAGCGGGCACGACGATAGACGCTGCCATTTCTGGTGCCGCTGAAGGAGGCATGCATCATGCAGGAGAGCTTTCTGAGCAGGTGGAAGAAGCGGCGCCTTTTGAATCGGCTTCAGTCAGTGCATCGGAACAAGTAGAAGATGCAACCAAAGATGTAGCACATCACACATCCGAACTGAGTGCACAAGCGGCGAAAGCAAATGAAAGTGGAGAAGCGGGAGAAGATGAACGGTTCCCGGGCCAACAACACGCGGACGGAGAGGCAGGAGGACAGCAAGCACTAGGTGAAGATGATCTAGCAAAGCACAATTCAGCCATAAAAGAGATCCAAGGCGCGATGAAGGAACATTCGCAGAGGGAAGCAGACAGACACAAAGGGCATGAACAAGGAGGTGACGAAGAAAACGAGATAGCAGACATCCAGGAAGAAACGCGGGACGCTGTCGAAAGTTTCTTAGGGAGAACTTCAGAAGCAAAAGACTCTTTGCTTGAAGCTGCAGAAGACATAGGTGAGGATTTGAAGGAGATGATCCACGATGCCGCCTCATCTGTCGAGGAACAAACCGAAGAAAAGTAATAGATGCTAAAGGAGGCATAACCTGTGGACGATGATATAAGAAAGGTCGCACAAGCGGCCTATGGGCCGTCATAAGAACCCACACAAGAAGCCAAATAAAGGCATGAAGAAGCAGAAGAAAAATCCCCATTTCGGGAACCCCCTAATACGTGCTACATTTCCAAAAATTATATAAAGTGACGCACGGTAATGAACCACCGTGAACGTTGAGGTGTAGGTACACCACGATGGTTTGCCTTCCCCGGTCATTTCACACAAAAAAAGGTATCCGGATAAAGCAGGCATTTATGCGCTCTATCTAATGAATGAAGATATCTTTGAACTTCCACTGCCTCTGCCTTCTCTTTCCTTTCCGTTTCCTTCGTTTTATGACACGCGAAGCAGCGGAACTCTGGCTTTTCATTAATAAGCGTTCATGGCTAATAGAAGAATCAGACTATTTTGTACGAACCAGTGCATAGTAAAGTGGATGCATATTTGAAAGAAGCCATTCAAGCGGTTTTATCAAAGAGCAGAGCAACAGTTGCTGTCGCTGGCCATGCGCTTCTTTCTCATAGTAGAGTTTACCCTCGCTTATACATTTATATTTTTAAATCAATCAATAAATGGGGTGCGGAAGTTTTTTTTGTATACGCGGGCTGTGAAGTACACTGGATTTAGAGTTCGCGCACGCTTCAGGGGATGCTCGCCTTTGGCACATATTTTGTGCTATCATTGCGCAGCGATGTGTGATCTACGTGCGCTCTTATTACGGATTGGGTGTTGTGCTCTTTTTAGTAAGGTCCTGGCTGTTTATTCCCCTGATATGTCACAAGACTATGAGGCCAGCCTAAATAATGTGCATATGCCGTGATGGCAGTCTGTACTGCTTTAACATATAAATAAATCAGACGCCTAAATAAAATGTGTAGATTATGCTAAGCAATTAAAATCTATGATGCAAAAGGAGAGAATGTGTGTTTCTTGCTGAAACAACAGCCCCAGTGTCGACCACACCACCCCTACGATCTCGAACACACACCCAGCTAGTATTCTCCTCTTCCTCCAGCCTCCTCTACTCTTGACTAGCGTTTGAGTAATAGCCCATAAGCTAGCGAAATATCTAAGAAGTTGTATTATGCTGCGACCTTTATTTATCCATTGCTTATTATCAAGGTGGCCCGAGAGTACAACACCGCAGCCGACAGGGGGGGTGTCTTGACGGAGCTGCATCTCTTTCTTCTGTTCTTCCTGTTTGCTCGCCTCCGTCTTTTTCCGCGTGCTTGATAATAATCCTCTCTATAATTTTCTGTATTCGCACGTGGTTCGCTCTTTGGTTTCCTCATAGGGCGGGTTCGCTCACCTGTGTGTGCCTTTGCTCCTCTCCCACGCCCGCTCGCCTGCACAGGGCGGCGGCCCCCGCCAAATGCGTCCACCCGTGTCTGCTGTAAAGGCGTAAACGGCGAGGTGGCTCGTGTTTAGGGGGGCAGGGGGTGGTGACCTGAGGGAGGGGAGGAGTCCTACACGGACTCTAGGCCCATGGAGAAGCCACCACGACAAACCGTCCACAACCCTTGATTCTGGGCGACAAAAAAGCCAATTTCCTCTTCGTGGTGCCTCCATGACTGGAGATCTTCCTTCTCGTGAAGGGGATGCCATGGGGCCTCCAGTGCCCCAAATCGGGGGCCCGGTGGGGGGTGCGCCATCTGACGACCCTCTTCCTCCACTGACTGCTGACATGTTTTTGGACTTTGTCGACTCGTCGAGCTTGTTGCTTCTGCCTCCCCGGAAAGCGGCAGAGGCTCTTGTTGCGCAGCACAGGGAGCGCCTCAGCCTGGCGAAACAGCACAAGCAACGGGGTCTAGCTACGTGTCCACCACCTGCACACAAGCGCCTTCGCGGTCCGCGGCGTGCTACCACAGGCTGTACAACGCGGCTAGTGCCTCAATCTGGGGGCCCTTCTGCAGCGGCCCCTTGTGGCAATGAGGGAACCCTTGCTACGCTGGAGAGAAGTCTGGCTGCGAGGAACACGCTGCACAGGCTACGGCATCAAGTGCTCGAGCTGCCAAAGCCCAACAGGCACGGAGTGGGGCTGATATACGGAGCGAGAATGAGCAGCGATGATGGCCACGATTACAGGCAAGGAAGCTCAGGAACTCAGTTCGAGATTTCGTAGGCTTTGGGGTCTAGGGTTGGAGGTCTAAGCCCACTTTACTTGCGGCGTTGCTTTGCAGAGTAATTTACTGGGGTGAGCTGCACGGGGCGACGAAAGAGGAAAAGGCCGTAAACAAACGCAATGCCCAACAGGTACACTGCATCGCGCCGTTTTGCGACCTCTCTGTGTGTGAGACACTGTCGCTTGCCTCTCTCGCTGCGCCTCAAACAATGGCTGTTTTGTTGATGAACAGACAGAGCATCTGGTCTTGCAACGCGAAAAACATCCACTAGCGCCGTCTCAGCTTAGCCTGCTTGCTACGCATCTACAGGCCGTGGGCAATGCTGTCCGTGCGCCGTCCTTTCCGTTGGTGGCGTGTTCGCAGTTTCGCTCATTGATTCGCTCCTTAGCTGAGGCATCGCCAGATAAGTGCCTCACAGTACAGCAACTGGTGCTGGACCTCGACGTCAATATGAGCAAAGGATGGATTCATTTCGCGAAGCTTGCGTTGCCTGGAAAGTAAACCTATACACTGCCTGCACCTCAAGTACTCATGCCCTCTTAAGATGCGCACCGCAGTGCGACGCACCAAGCAACCTATAGCCCACAACGGGTACTCGAATACAAAAAATAGCCGTAGGAACCTCCAAGTCTCCCTATATTAGGTTTACATGCTTTCTTGCGCCTCCTAGGAGGAACCTTCGCTGGCTGTGGTAGCTGTATGCGCCTTCAGGCATGACCCCTACAGCGAGTTCCTCCTTAGGAGGAAGCGCGAAGCTCCGCAGACTCCATCAACGCTGCAGCAGCAGCAGTAGCTCGGTCCATTGCACCCCTACGATCAGGTGTTGTGTCTCTCTACTGCTGCTTCGCCAAGAGCCTCCCCTGAAGAGCGCTGCTTCGTGGGGTTTGGCCGGCATGACCTACACTCATGCGTCTGCCCTTCTTTTGTCGCTTTTCATGCATTTCTGTGTGCGCTTATCAAGAGCGCTGCATGTTTGAGTTGTGTCGTGCCTCTGCTGTATCATGACTGCGCTGTGTCTCGGGGTGGCGTCTAGAGCGTAGCAACGAGTGCGCGTGTGCGACAGTGCAGCCTCTTGGGCAGTACAAGTTTTTTTCTCGGTGAGAAACCCGCGGCTGCCGAGGGTTGAGCTATTGTAATGCCGTACATACTTCGATGCAAACAAAAACGCTGCTATGGTGTTTGTTATTTGCAAGTCCAATCGCCGCACTGGCGGGTATCTTTCGACTGGCTTCATAAAAGGCGGTACTTTTGCTTCCGACGCAAAGGATTCCGCATGCACGAGGACATATAAGCACGCACATAAAATATATACAAAATACACTTGCATGTAGCCACGTTCACCCGCTGTCACCGTAGCGAATAGCGAGGGGAACGAAACTCGCCTAATGAAGGCATCTGCAAAGCGTGCCGCCATGGCTCTTGTTTCGATGCGATGTGGTTGTAAGAGGTGCTGCTGCGGCAGCGACTGCCGCTTCCTCTTACAAATGATGCTGTCTCCTCATCTGCCGCGTGAAGAGGAACTGAGGAACTTTTTTTCTCAACGCTGAAAAGCTCTCGACTTCCAGGAAGGGGAGCGTCTCCTCATCCGTATCATCAGAGTCGGGGCAGTCTGGTTCTTCCCAAGGCAATCGGCGGGGCTCATAGCCGATGGTGTCGCCTATGCGAAGTCGCCTTAGCCGAACCCGTGCAAGAGCTGGCCATCCCTTCCCACTTATAATCAGGCTGCGGGGAGCTTCTTCCTGGGGGGGAGAGGTGGCCTCTGAGGGTGCCTGCGCCCTTTCATAGGGAATGGCGATCCCGTTGGATACGTTGCGCGTTTCGTCGTGAAGCTGTAGATCACTCGCAAACAAGAGCGGCGGCAAAAGAACAGAAATCAGAAGACATTGTGCGCAGAGGCAGAGCAAATAGGTAGACAGAGCGGAGGCGTCGCTAAAGGTCGTTTCCAGTGCCCTCGTGCGACACACAGTGCAGAAAAAGCCTTCTCCTTCATAGTCTGAACACGCACCTGTTCAACCAGAGCAACTCCCGAAAACGAATAGAGGGCTACACATTCCCCTGAGTCTGGACGGATTTCCACGGCTACAGGGAGGCCGTAGAGGTTCGCTATGAGAGACTGCCGCTTCTTATTGTACTCCAGTTCGTTCAGACCGACCAAAACTTGGCCTAAGCAATGCGCCACTGCCGCCTGTCTGATGCTCAAGGAACCCAAAAGAGTGCGGCAGGTAGGAGAGGGACGCGTTATTGTGGGGAGGCTTTCCTCTTGGTTTTGCTGCGAAAACTGCTGCGGCTTTTCTTGCAGTCGCTTTACAGTCGCCTTTAGCTCGGCCTTTCTTGCAGCAAGTGGCGTCTCAATGGAGTGTACAGACACCTCCACCAATTCGGGGCCCCCCGTGGTAATCCAGAGCTGCTGCTTCGCTGCGTGCTCTAACAAGCGCTTTTCTGCTGCCGCCAAGTCTTCTTTCGCCGCCGCTGCAGCAGCCATCGCGGCAGCTGCTGCTTCTGCTGCTGCGTTGTTAGAGGCTAAAGAAGGAGCATGCGGTGTACTGTTGGCACTTTCAGCGTCCCACCTACTCGCTGCCGCTGCTGCCACAGCCGCAGCGGCTTGCTTTTGCGCTTCCTTTAGATCCTCGTACAAGGCTAATTCGAACGAGGAAGTGAAGCCCCACCCTTCGATTTGCGGCACCGCAAAGGTTCCGATACACTCGAGCGTTTCATAGTCGATCGCGTAGACCGTATTGGACTCCCACGTGAGCACCAACACCAGCAGCCTCTGCAGCACAGTCGAGTAGTAAAGGCTGAAGCCCTCAGCGAAGTGGTTATTGGAAAGGAAAAACACTCTCTCCATCAGCATCCTCGTCCCCGCTTTCTGTTCGCCCTGCCTCCTAGTCTCGCTCGTCAGTCGCAGCTCACGCAGGTAGGAGCGGCCGTACAGTCCGGAGCTCTGCAGCAAGAGGCTCTGCCCTGCCGATTGCAGCCCCTGCACGAACGGGGGCCCCCAGTGGGGGCCCCTTTGGGGGAAGCCTCTGGGGATCCTGGGGTAGGGGATTGTCTGCGTGCATGCATGCACCACTGCGTACAGCTCGACGGGGGCCCCCCTCTTTTGAGGAGTCTCCTTGATGAAGGAGAAGGCAGAGGCCGGCGCACTCAGAGCCCTCATCGGGTCGAAGGTGAAGGGAGCGTCTTCGGAAAATCCGATGGTGGGAGACGGAAACCACACCGTCTTAGCCTCTCTGGAGGGGGGGGAGGGGCCCCTCTCGAACGTTTCTTCAGAGATCCCCAGGGGCCCCCCGTCGAAGGCCGTCTCCGTAGTCAAAGAGGCGCCCAGAGTGCGGCTCCGGTAGTTCCCTGCTGCACTCCACACGTCAATCGCCGCTTCTCTCGCCCCCTCATAGACAGCAGGAGTTCCCAGCTGCACTCCGCCATCCGACTGCAGCGAAGGCATGCGGGGTAGCGATAGCCAATACACAGAGAAAAACAATGTGGTGACTAGAAGCCCAACAATGGCTTGCAGCACCCGCGTGCGAACCGCATAGGGCCCCCAAGAGAAGCCGCTCCGAGGGCCCCCTCTGGAGCTCCCCTGGTCGGCAGAGTGACTCTGTGGAGACGGCATATCCAGGAGCACGTGACACCAACCGCTGCTCTTGCTCTTGCTGCTTGTTGTGGGTGCTGCCAGCGCCAATGCGCGTGCCAGTGCTGCTGCTTGGACTTCCGGCTGTGCAGAGGCTTCTTGTGCGCCCAAGAGAGGGGACGGCGGCGCACACCCACCGTCGCAGTCCGGCTGTATGTACAGATGGGGGTCCTCAGCAACTGCTGCGGGGGGCGAAGAATTGCGGGGTGTCCCTAATACTCTACACGCTCCTTTGCTGTTTATTTCTGCATATTTACAGCGGCAGGGAGAAGCAGCATGTCGAGGAATGCTCGAATCTGAATGCGTGGTTGCCCCCGCTGCCGACGGTTCCTCCGAGAACTCCGGGTAAACCGCGCATGAATACGAGAAATCAAGGGTAATGACAGGAAGAAGGGCTGGCACGCTGTTCGCCTTTGACAGATATGCAAATAAAAAGAGGGGAGTTACACGGTGTTTGTTGAACGCTGCTGAACTTCGGCAGTCCATCCGCGTACAGGGAGGGGCAGGGGGGTCCGTAAAAATGCTGCGGTGTGTCGACGGCAGAAGAGCGACCAACCCTCTATTCCGTTATCCTTCCCCCCCTGATTCTAATTTCCTTATCCAATGCCATCATTGTAGCAGGCGAAATCTCATGTGGAGGATGCACAATCAACGTTTGCGGGCAGCCACCCAAAGGATGTGAAACGGACGAACTGACCTCGACTGCATATTGCATGAGACCACACCTAGCTTACCTGCCTTCTTGCTGACGCATTCAGCATGCTGAAGATAGCATACAGACCTGCTTAACAGAAGCTGACACTCCACTTACGAATTATCGAACGGCATGATGTAGATTTTCTCGTTTTTGAAATGGAAGTAGAAGCGGTTCGTAAAGGCCAAGGTTAGAAATCTTCCAGCCTTATTAACCAGCTCAAGCGCCTCTAATAAGAATTCCACATCCTGCCCTACCAATAGGGCTTCCTCGCCTTTGCCCCCGCACAGCAACGTGACAAAACACAGCGGGAAAGGAGGCACCCAAGGAGCAACAAGCCATGATGCCTTCGCAAATGGTAGTCCTACCAGACGCCACAAACTTCATAGTGGGCACACAATGCCGAATATTTGGCTATCAAATGGCTGCATAGCGCCTAAAGGCACAGTTTGCGGGGAGTCTAGTGATGCTATGCAGTGGGAGGCACTTTGTAGGTTCTATAGCCTCTTCGTGGTGGAACGCAAACATTGCGTGTGCATCTTCCCAATAAGACTTCGCTTGTTACAATGATAGCACCAGATATATATACATATATATGTATATACCTACACAAATATATATATATATACTTTAGTAGGTTGATTGTATCCCGATTTGTAAAAGCGTTGCTGCCCAAGGAACACATCACCAGATTCTTCTCACCGCCTTTTCAAGTGGAAAAACGGCGGATGAAAGTCTCTCAAGAGGATTCGTAGCATAGAGTCCCTGGCTGCATGGACACTCCGACCTCGCGCATGCAGCATTTGAAGTAAAAACCGCCTGCTCCCGACGAACACCCTGTACACGCCGGCCTGTGTCATTTGATGAGCAAAGAATATGGGGAAACTGCTATGGTTCCCGCATTCGGCGCGTGTCGTGGAGCGGCTAAAAGTAGTGGAAAGAGCGGTCTCTTAGCGGCAACTAAAATCCATTGCTCCTCCCCGCTAACTTTTTCCCAAGGACCCCGCCTCCATGCCGCACTCACCATTTTCCCCACTCGCTTCCTTCCTGGTGCTCGGCCACTCAGCATTCTGCAATTAAATATATGCATGTAGGCTGGCAAATCGAAGCCTGGGGTGAGCCAAAGTGTGCGCTCTCCCTAAAGCGCACACTATAGGGTAGATACACAGAAGGGCATTCCTTTCTGGTCGCCCCTCCTACCACGAGGCGCTACGAGTATCGATCTCAAGTCCCTCATTTTTTCTCGTGCAGTACACAGATACCGCTTTGGGGAGGGGAAGAGATGTGTATGTGTGTTTATGTGTGTATGTGTAGTGTTTTCTTACGGGCTACCTAGATGGGGCCTAGCGCCAAAAGGAGAACAGCAGCAGCTCTGCCTCTGCCTGAGGATGCTGCGTGCGTTGCTATGCCGGCGCACTGGGCCGCTACGTCTCAACGCGAAGACTCTACGCATCCAGAAAACAAAATTGAGCAGTTGCATGCGCGCTGAACGTCCCTCTCGGGGGCCTTAGTGCCACCACCCCTCGCACGCAACCAGCATCCCACATGTTACGTCCAATGCCGCTCAAAGGCGCCCAGCAGTTTCAGCCGGGAAGCTGCATCCAGCAGCGACTCTCCTCAGGTGCCCTTCAGATCTCGTGGATCGATCATAAAGTGCTCAATGAGACCAACGCTCTTCAGAGTCTTTGCAAGGGCCTCCCTCTGCTGAGGGAGCCTGGCTCTGCCTGTCAAGGTCCTCAGCTGCTCGTCACAAACGAACGCCTTCTTGCCTTTTTCGCAGTGCTGATGCAAATACTGCCGAACCGCTGCCACGCAGTCCGACTCCGTAAGTGCTGCTGTGCCACGCGGCCCCCCTACAGTTCCGCTGCCCGTACTGCCGCTGCTGCTTTTCCTTCTCCCGCTGCTGCCACTCAAGACTGAGCGGCTAAATGTCACGAGTCTCTTGTCTAGCAACGCATTCTTGTGTCTTATACCCACCAAAACACGCCCTCCACAGAACACCTTCTTGCCATCCTGAAGCAAAGCCTCTAACATCTTTTGCAACCCGGGATGCTGCTGTTGCAGCTGCTGCTTGCTCTGCTGCTCATCCTGCTGCGTCAGATTCTCCTTCGAGTGCTCCTTCTGCTGCTTCTCGGTTAGCTGCTGCTTATTACGCTGCTCGTCGTTTAGCTGCTGCTTACTCTGCTGCTTATTCGGCTGCTCATCGTTTAGATGCTGCTTACTCTGCTGCTTATCGGCCTGCACCTGCTGTTGCTGCTGATTCTGCTGCTTATTCGGCTGCTCATCGTTCAGATGCTGCTTACTCTGCTGCTTATCGCTCTGCACCTGCTGTTGCTGCTGATTCTGCTGCTCGTTTTCGTGCAGCTGCTCTTCATCGTCGTTCTGTTGTGGCGTCTGCTTTTTTTCCTCCCAGTGCGCTTCCTGCTGCTGCCTAGAACTCTTTCTGCGTTTACGGTGCTTCTGAAATTCAAGAGATTTTCCTGACCTTTTCTGAGAACCCTCAGAGCGGCGCAACCCCCCAACGTTGAAGCCGTTCAGCTGATTTTCCTTCTCCTCGGCATTGAGAGACGCTGCTGCTGTTACTGCTGCTGCTGTTGCTGCTGTTGCTGTTACTGCTGTTGCTGCTGCCTTCTCCTCCTCGCACTCCTCCAGATGCTCCTCGTGCTCCTCGTCTCTTGCTTCAGCTGCTGTTGCTTCTTCTTGCCTGTTGAAACAAGACAGCCGGAAGGCTGCGCCACGCTCTACGCAGGCCGTTGATGAACTACACGCTTGCGTGGGGGAACCGCCTTCCAGACACCGCTGTGTTTCTTGCGTGTGATCGCCCTCTTCCGAATCGGAGGAGAGAAAAAGCGCTTCGCTGTCTCCTCGCTTTGCTCCCTTCTGATCGCCAAGGCCTCCTACGCTTTCCTTCGACACTATCGTGAAGTCAATTTGCAAGATGCCGTCATCATTCACAACCTGCTGTTGCTTTTCCTCCTGCTGTTGCTCTTGCTTTTCCTCCTGCTGTTGCTCTTGCTTTTCCTCCTGCTCTTGCTTTTCCTCCTGCTGTTGCTCTTGCTTTTCCTCCTGCTGTTGCTGTTTCTCGTAGGGTCTGTCGGCGTCATCGTAAAGGGAAAGGAGGTAGTTTACGTTTCCGGCCAAGTCAGAAGGCGGGAGAGCGCCAAGGAGGCAGAGGAAGCGCAGTGCGTCTTCGCGTGCAGCATCGACTAGAGAGGGCAACGGCTTCCTTTTTGGTTTGCCTTTGGGAGAAGAAGCTGTCGCGAAATTCTCCGACGCTCCATGCCGACCGCCGTCAAGGCTCCCTCGTCTCTGCTCCTCCTCTGGCAAAGGCCCCTCGACAGCGTCGCTCGCCAGAACTGGGAACGATCGGACGGCATAGCTCTCCGTGGTAACCGTCCAGAGAAGGTTTTCTCTGTCGAATAGCAGCCAGAACGCATGCGGCGCAGAGCGCGGGTTCATTGGGAAGTACTCGGTGAGCGAGGCGTCGATGCAGTCCAGAGGTGGGAGGCTGCCGTCGAGAGGAGAGGCCCCTCTTCTTGCGAGATTCCGCCCCCCTTCAAGCCGTGGGAGCTCCCCCTGCGCTTCCGCCTTGCTTCCTTCCGCGTGGTGCTGGGCGGGAGCAAGGCTGCTGCAGAGTGCGGGGCGCAACGGCTCTTCGACTGGGCAGCAGCTCAGGAGCCAGCGGAGCTGTCGGAATCTGGAAGTCCACTCCCTGTCCGTGAGGTGTACGTACGCCCCGTTTTCCCCGCCGATGAGAGCCTTCATGTGCAGCAAAACGAACAAGAAGAACGCGACGATCTCCTCGCACAAGAACGAAAACCACGGCGGCAAGAGCTCCAAGACGCCTGCCCCGCCAACAGAGGCCACAAAAAAGACAGAGCTCCCCGGAAGCAGATACCAGAGACGGTGGGCGAGGCGAGCCACAAGATACGGCAACGACACAGGAGGCTGCGAAAAGCAGCCGCTCGACTCCTTGAAAGCGCTCTCTGCAGCCCTGCTGCTGCCGCTCCACTGCAGGCGGCAGGAGGTCTCGCGTTTGCAGAAGTAAGAGAGACACTCAGACCACGCCGTCCTCTCTACCAATTCCATAGGGATGCCAGGAGGTAGACACTGCCGCAAGAGTGCGAACCCCTCAGCCCGTCGAGCTGCCTCTTCTTCTATCCCACCCATCTTGGCGCACTGGCGACACCCTTTGGAGGCCAGACATCCTCCTGCTCCTCCCGCCGAATCGCAGGTCGAGGGCCCCTCCGGGGGGGGAGCTGCCGAAGGGGCCCCCCTTTCGGAACGCCGCTCGAGGGTGGCAGGGGACGTGAACGCGCGAAGAGCCAAGGTGCGACAACGCCACCGCTCATACATCATCATGTCGGCTGCGCCGAAGGGAGGCGCCCCTCCCCACGACGCGTAGAGGAGGCTGAAGAGCGGGAAAGGGTCTGCCCCTCGCGGAGGGGGGAGGGGCGAGCCAAGAGGCGCTGCGGCATTGGCAGGAACGCACCCACTGCTCCCCCTTAGCTGCTGAAACGGCATAGGGACGGCCAGGGAGCCCCCCTGGAACCCCTCCGTACTACGGGGGCTCCCTCCCCTAATGCTGGGGGGCCTCCTGTTGCACACACACGCACTACTTCGGCGGGAAGCAACACACCGCGCAGCGCAGGAGCGGAGGGAAGGAAGGCCGCATAGCGCACACGCTTGAGAAGCGTATGGATGGGGGGATGGTAAACACAAGGATGGTTTTTATGTAGGCTTAGTCCACAAGAAAGAGGGTTCGTCGGCACGTATATACGGGGAGGATGTGATACGCAAACAGAAGACTGCGAATGGCACTAATTGAGGTGTCTTGGCAGGTCTTAAGGGTGAGGCCGCCTAATAAATTGTATTAATTACTTCCTTTAAGCAAGAGACTCCACAAACCGCCGTCTCCCTATGGCAGGCAGGCTTACGTTGTTGATGCTGCTGCTTTTACGGCGGCTGCTGCCGCTACACCCCCCCCCAGGTTATGCCGCCGCAGTTTGTCTCAGAGCACGTGAGACAGAAGCTCACTACTGCATCATAAACACTTTCTGGTGTTTGTTTTCTTCATTGTTTCTTTTCTGTCTGTTGTTTGTGTGTATTTTCTTGCCACTTGAAAATGAAGCGTCATTTGTTCCTGGCTCTGGCGCTCGTCGCCGTTCTCTCATGTCTTTCTACCGGCGCAACCGAAGCTCCGGCTGCTGCTGAAGCAGTTGAAGGGGAATCTGACGTTCTTGTTATGACAAAAGCAAACTTTGATGAAACTTTGAGCAATAATGAAGTCGTTCTGGTTAAGTTCTACGCCCCATGGTGAGCATCCGCTGCAGCATTGTCCACTGTGCCTCCTGCACACCGACGGATGCTACGGGTGTCAATCTGCTCATTTCTGGTTTTGAATACAGGTTTCTACGCGAATAATGCTTTGTAATTCTTTTGCTCTGTCGGATAAGGCCGAGACGCGGGCAGAGGCCGCAGGATCACCCCTGTTCGTTGGTGTAGGGGGTCAGGCCATCTCGCGTGTCTGCGGTTCCGCATGTTGTTCTCAGGTGCGGTCACTGCAAGCGCATGGCTCCAGAATACGCATCTGCTGCAAAGATCTTGAAGGAGAAAGGCAGCAAGGTCGTTTTGGGTAAAGTTGATGCGACAGCGGAGACCGACTTGGCAGACAAGAACGAAATAAACGAATTCCCCACTCTCACCCTGTTCAGAAATAAGAAGCCTGAGCAGTACACGGGTGGCCGATCCGTAAGTAATTTCTGCGTATGCAATTGAAAAATGCGCCGCCGTTCCTGGATATGCTGTGCAGCTCGTTTGTGTTGGAAAGGGACGGGGTGGGGGGAGCGCATGGCACAGATCTCCTGTCAAGCCGTGTAGAAACATCTGCAGAGTGAGGTATAGGTTTGCTGCGTGCATCTTTTGTGTATATGCCTTCCTATTGGAGGTGGCGCTGAAAGCACGGTGTAACGTGGGTAGTGGTCACCCTTAGTCGCTGCGCCCTTTCATGAACTCTCTTCATGGCCGTTCGCCTGGTTCTGGTGCGTGCTTATGACGTATGGGTAGGCGATTTTTAATTAGGATCGGAAGCCTGCATGAGTGTGCGATTTCTTCTGGTTGTGCTCCCTTCATGCCTTCGCAGTTTCTGATGTGCTGAATTTTCTGATCTTGCGCGTGCGCTGGCGTGTTCAGGCCGATGCGATCGTGCAGTGGATTGAGATGATGACTGGCCCTGCAGTGACAGAGATCGAGGGTGACGTGAAGGACGAGGTTACTAAAGATTCTCCAGTAGCATTCTATGGCGAATTCAGCTCGAAGCAGTCTGACGCTGCAAAGATCTTCGAGACCGTCGCCAACGAGTCTCGTCAGCTTGGCAAGTTCTACGCAAAGTACACTGGCGAAGACAAGATTTCGGCGGTTAGATACGAGGAGGGGGCTTACCCGTTCGAGGGCAAAACAAGTGACGAGTTCAAAGCTTTCGTGGAATCCGAGTCTTTCCCTCTCTTCGGCCCTATCAACGGCGAGAATTTCCGCAAGTATGTTCAGAGGGATGCGTCTCTTGTATGGTTTTGCGGAACGGAGAAAGACTTCGATGCACACAAAGCGTCTATTCGGGAAGCCGCGAAGGAGAGCCGAAACGTCTACTACTTCGTGTGGCTCGACACCGATACGTTCAAGGGCCATGCCGAAGGCGCACTTGGCGTGACTGAGTTCCCCAGCCTCGTTGCACAGACGAAGAAGGGTCGCTTTATCCTCGAAGAGCCATCTACCACCATGAAGGATTCAGCGAAAGTAGCGCAGTTCTTGAAAGATGTGACTGACGGGAAGGTTGAGCGCTCTCTTAAGTCCGACCCGATCCCCGAGACGAACGACGAGGCCGTCAAGGTGGTTGTGGGGAAGACTTTCGAGCAAATGGTCCTTTCGGAAGAAAAGGATGTTTTCCTTGAGGTGTATGCACCGTGGTGCGGCTACTGCAAGAGCTTTGAGCCCATCTACAAGGAATTCGCGGAGAAGATCAAGGATAACGAGAATGTTGTCGTCGCAAAGATGGACGGCATCACGAATGAGGCGCCTCTGGACGCCTTCGACTGGAAGAGTTTCCCCACAATTTACTTCGTGAAGGCTGGTGAGAAGACCCCAATGAAGTACGAGGGATCTCGCACAGTCGACGGCCTCATGGAATTCCTGGAGAAGAACGCCTCCAAGCCTATTGCGAAGAAGGCAGACAAGGGAGAAGAGCTTTAGATGGCTACAGCCGTTGTTTATTTGCCGCGTTTATGGACAAAATGTTTTGGACTTCATAGCGCGTACATCTCGTGACGACCCTTGCACTTTTACGCTGCGTGGTGCATTGCAAGAATTCACTACGCTTTTGGCTCCAGTGGAGCTGTGCGACTGTGGCTATATATATATGTCTGCCGATACACATATGTGTACCACAGTCGGCGTTTCTTCCGATAGGCCTTCAACGTTGTGATTCTACGACGAAGGCCGCCTCCGGGGGTCGCCATTAGTGCGAACAACGCAAAATATCTTTTGAACGCCATCTCTTAATTGGTTTTTGCCTTCTTCCACGCCAGTCGGATAGCGGTCGGGCGTTTAGGCAGTCGCTACAGGGTTTGCTGCACTACGATGGACCGTTGGTATGTAGCAGGGGCAGATCTACAGGTTGTGCGTGGGAGTATTGTTTTGCATGGTAGATACGGTGAGCCTTTTTGAGTATATTTTACGGGGGGATTACGGGAGCGCACCCTGTATAGCAGGGAAGCGGGCCGAAGAATGTTAGCGCACCTCTACAAACCTGTGGATGCACAATCAAGTCAACAGTAGACTGGTGGCGCTTTTGTTCAGTAGAGTCGCCGGTACAACAGTCGGGGAGGCAACAGTGGCCAAGGGATCAGTGGCTTCGACCTACGAGTTGGTTTCAGGTGTATTCTAAGCAGATGCAGCAGCACACCCGGTGAGGGTGTGGTCAAGGTTGCCCGTTCAATCAATATATGCACTGCCTACAGATGGAAAATTTTGGTCACTTTCACCTTCCACACTGGGGCGTTACTGGAAATTAAATTGAACGAAAGACGCGGAGCATGTTTGGCATTGCGGCACGAAAAAATACAAGGGGCGAACTTGACAAGTTCCGGAAACTAGAGGCGGGTAAGTAGTGGTGCGAAAAAAACTGTCCGGTTTTGCAATGTCTATACAGTCTACTGGGAGCTTAAATAGAACCTATACTTCTTCAAAGGTGTTTGTTCGTTCTTAAGAAGCAGACACAGGGGGAAAAGTAAGTTCAGGGGAAATCAGTTGAAAACGGAAAATATTTATCTATTGAAGACATCTTTTCTTTTTTGTCAGCAGCGGAAAGAGAATTAAAAGAAATCAAGATTAAAACAGCTAACAGCCAGGCTGCACTAATTCAAGGTAGTTTCCGAAATGTGCACTCGCTGTACCTACTTGCGCGTAAATGTCTGCGTGGCCCTTCGCGTTTTCCCCTTTCCGTATGCATGCGCCTTGTCTCTCTCCGTGGTGTTGGTACAGCTTCTCTATACCCTAAAAGAGCGAATTTGTTCTCATGCTTCTATTCCGTAAGCCAGAAGCAGAAGAATCGGATTCCAGAAATCGGAAAAGGACCGAGTCTGCTGCAGCGGTTGTGGAGCACATAGGAAAACAAGGGGTAAAACAGTCAGAGAGCTGGTAATGTTGAAAGCAAAGGAAAGCCCCTCTGCTCGTCTTTCATCGCTTTAGTCCCTATTTGCGTTCACCTCGCGTTAAAGGAAGGAAACCACACAGCCCTCCAGGCTCGCTCCCTCCAGCTTGAGGAGTTGAATGGAGCGCTGAAGAAGCGACAGTAATTAGCTACACTATTCATGATATGGTTTCAGATCGGGTGCAACAGGCGCATTCCCGTTCAGGAAATAGGTAGCCATGAAGCAGAAACTTGAGCTTGAACTGGAAAGGCAAAATGAAGGAGGCAGACGGTTCGCCTGTTCTGTGCTCTTTTCGGCATAGCTACGTAGCCATCTCGGCAGTCTCCAAGAGCAAAGAGAGTAAAGAGGACAAGTAGACGAAGAACAAGTAATGCTGCTTGCTTCCTCTAATAAGAAATCTAAGCCCCTTAATACTCCCACATGTGTGCATTTTAGTCCGAGAACGAACAAGGTGTTGCTGCTGCTGTTCCTGTGCTAGCAATAAACACGCTCCGATTTCGTCTGTCTGCCTTGCAGCAGGTGTCTGCTATTTCCTCAATACCCTTAGATAGAAACGAGACAACACGCCAAATACAGGAGTGTATTGCACCGGAAAATAGAAGGAATCCCCTCAGCCTGGAGCATCAGCTGCACCAGCAGCACGGACGGAGGAAACCCTTGGAAGCGGCAAAGCCTCCCGCTTCTCTTCATCGGAAGAAAACGAATTAAAAGCAAAACATCTGCAGCCACCCCTCCTTGCCAACTCACTGAAACATTTTAAAGCGTTTTACTAGAGTAAAAAACTGCCTCCGCCCTCCCCCTAATTCATTGCGACGACTGGAAAGAGACGGAAACGCCGAAGTAGAGCGATGGAAAAGGGAGGGAACAACAGGCTACTAAAAATTCAGAGACGCGGAAGTGCTTAGAAGTGTGCACTTAAGAGGACGGAGTAGTGAATAGGACGATATGTAATAGAACCCACGTGGGTATATAGCCACTCTAAAGCCTCAAGATCTCAGGACTTGGAGTGTTTTTTGTGCTTCTTCTTGTGTTTGTGACTGCTCTTCTTCTTCTTCCTCGATTCGTCTGAGCTGCTGTCTGAATGGTCCCTCTTCCTCTTCTTCTTACTATCTCTTACCTTCTCCGTCTCACGCCCTTTGTGAAGGTGTCGACGGGGATTCAAAGGGTCCAGAGGGTTTAGAGGCGGCATTGGCTGCTTCAGAGGAATCATATTAGCGCCAGTAGCAGCTACAGGGAGAGATGAGGGAAACGAAGAAAATGATGGGAACGGAAATGAGGATGCAGACGTGGAGGAGGAGGACGAGGAAGCACACAGAGCGGCCATGGCGCTACCCTCTTCCTCTTCGATCATTTCGTATTTCTTTCCTGAAGACATAACAAGCAACAGCTCGCATAACATGACAAAAAAGTATAACAATGCCCGTTACCTTGTATTCTAGCCTCTGCTATCTTGTATGCAGAAGCAGGTGCGCGTTAGATTAGTGTAAGGGTGCACGCAGGCACTTCTGCATCAAATTATGCAAACCGCCATACACAGAAGAGGGGCACAGCGACACGTGTCCCCTGCCCTCTCCCCTTTCGGAGGGAGGCCAAAGCCGCGTTTGAGATGACAGGCAAGCCAACATGAGGCAAAGAACCCATTCCTCTGTTTTCTAAGTCCTCAGACTAGCTACATTTTTTTGGCTACTCCCGTTCCCATAGCTTACCCGCTTTGTTGAAACATTCATGTGTCATGTGGCCCTTCCTGCAGGCACCAGAAGCCAGCTACCACGGTGCAACTTTGAGAACTGCCTCTGAGCTTTGGGTTTCTGGTGCGGGGATAGAAACTTTGGAGCCGCTAATGCCACCGTTTCGTGCTTCGAATTTACCCGCCACATCTGGCGCACGTTGCGTTGACGACGGCCTGTAGAACGATAGCTTCTTGCCTTAGCGATGTTGGCCTGTGCGTTTTCGTTTTCTGCAGATTGTTCGGATCCTTGTCAGTTCCATCGCTTTGGCTAATGTCCCTCATATCCAAGGAATATCGGCCTCCTTCATCTACTTTGGTAACCTGCCCCCGAAACAAAGGAAGAAGGATAGAGAGGAGGATTATGGGCGACGCAAAGGGCCGAAACATGAATGCTGGTAAAGAAGGACAGAGTGAAGCGCACGACACAAGAAAGGAGCAAGTATGAGAGTGGAAGATCCTCAGGAGTCGACAACATTCGTGTTGCAAGAGAACACGAGCGGTTCTGATTCCTTGCAGTGAGAGCGCGCCCTAGAGAGTATGTGCAATGTACCTTGACCCAGACTTTATCCCCCACAGAGAGTACGTCTTCCACCTTATCGATCATGTTCTTGGATATGGCTGAAATATGTAGCAGCCCATCTCTGTCAAAGCCATCCAGCTGATCGAACCAACAGAAGCAGCACAACGAGCCAACCGCAGAAACACCCTCGTCACGCATAGCCTCGTGCATAATACTCATCTGAACGTGCTGATACGTATTCATAGAAGGACGTAGAGGACAGGCAGAAGATGCGAAAATAGAGCAGTGCAGCTGCAGAGGAAGGCCAACGAGAGAAAAGGCATTGTATTCGAAGGCAGATGAGCACACATGGAAAGAGGCTTATATGCATAAAGAGAGCTAGAGGGAAACTGGCGCCGATCCAATAGCCACGAGAGGACAAATCAGTATTCTACGCAGCAAAAACCTCTTGAGACCGCCGACAGGAGATAAATAGAGCCCAAACACGAAAAAGCGCTAGCACTACGACTCCTGGAGTAGCTCCCTCAACCTCCGGAGCTGGAGAACTGCAGGAGCATTCCCCGTCGTAGACAAAGGCGATTCCAAACAACACTACAGTACAACAAGCCATGGCCGATTTTTGAAGGCGGCACTCTAAATTCTGAAGTAATTATTAATCGAGAAGCGTACTGCCACAAATGCTCCAAATGGCTGTATCTTCTTGACCGTCCCATGATGGATCGAATGAAGTTCAGGGATCCTAACGCCGCCTCCTGTCCCTCTGTGCTGATTGAACGAAGAAAACGCGTTGGCGATTTCTGATCCGTCGTCCTGGTTGACTTCCTTCATCGAGACAGCGACCCGACCATCGGGTTCCTCCCTGATCACCTAAAAGTGAGAGCAGGCAGCGAAAGAAGGAATCTTGATGAACGAACAGGTCGGTTCAAGCCGCCACGTGCAATCAAACGGGCCAGTTGCCGCTTGCCTTTTGAGCCTTCAGAAAAGTGCTCTGAACAATGTGCCAACTAATTTCATTCGGGTGGAAAATGGAAGAGATAGCGAAATGCGTAGACAGGAGAAGTCACCACGTGCGGTAACGGAAAATTTAGGTACCTTTACCCAGACTTCCTGTCCCATCTTGAGGTGATCCTCCACATTCTCCACGCGGTGCTTGTTGATATTGGAGATGTGCAGAAGGCATTCTCTGGCATAGTCTGAAGTCTTTTAAAAATCGCAGAAAAGCGTTTAGCATACACAAAGGGAAACAGAAGGCGAATTAAGTGGGCAGAAGCGTCTCCTCTGCTGCGTGTGGCGAAGAGGTGTATAAACCAGCAAACACACAAGGCATCATTTATTCAATTGATTCAAGGGGCCACGTCCAGAGCTGAGCCTGAGATTTCGATAATGACAGGTGCGGCTATCAAATTACCTGAATGAAAGCTCCGAACGGTCGAATGTTCTTCACCACTCCCTTGATGATTGTGCCAACGCCGGACGTGATTTTCTTTTGTTTTTGAGGGGAAGGAGAACGGTCATACCTGGGGTCGAACGCATCGCCCTCTAGGCTGTCTCCCAGCATTTTCAGAAAAGAAAAAAGGAGTTATGGGACGGTCTTGTACAGCCCGCCCAGTGAGGGAACCCCAGATAAGGCGGAAAACAGGCGTGAATGAAAACTATGCAAATGGGCTTGCTACGGCATAATGCAAAGTCGCAGGAAGCAGGAAGAGAGGTTATGCAGCTAATTACTCCAATCGTTACATCAGAAAACTAAAAGCAAGGTAAATCGAGAGGCGCGAAATGGGTAACCGATAGAGCTATGCGTAATGTATGCCCCAGAAACAATCTACCATGGATCAGCTTGTGTGCTGCTTTCTATATCTTTCGTTCGGGTGCCTTGAATAATTAGTTTCATGCGATGTTCCCCCTGAAACTGCAGTAGGCCCCAGAATCGTGGCATGCACGCATGCGGTGGCTCCGTAGGGCTCTTTCGAGGGCACACAGTTTTTGTCTGCTGCATTCATACTACCATTGATATGTAATTTGACTCATATATATGTACTTGTACTTGCTTTCTCCTTTACTTACAATTCCAGGTGGGAGGCGGAGAAGGATATAGCAACGCTACGAATCCTTCCGCGTGGCCTCCGTACTTGGCGCCGTTCTTCTTTGTTTTCCTTGGTTCTGTCTGTCTTAATTTCCCCTCATTTCGTATTCTGCATGCCATTATTCCTGCAAGATATGCCATTTCTGAGGCATCCGATCCTGTCAGCCTTTGGTTTTGTAATTGCGTTTTTGTTGCCGTTTCGTATCGCACCAGAGCAGTTCAGAGGAGAAAAGTGCTTCTTCTTCATCAGTTCTTCACCTCGTGTGGGAAGGCGTGAACACGACACTTTACAGAAGTCGTTGCGTTTCCATTCCTCTTCTTTCCCCGCTGTGTCTCCGACTTCGACTGCATCTTCGTTTCTCGCTCCTTCCTACTCCGCCACACTGGATGCCTATCCCCGTCCTCTTGATTCTCCTCTATGGAGAAGGCTGCAGCAAGCTCCTTTCTTCGTCGAAGTCTCGGACAAGAAGAATACTGGCAAAAAGGAGAGTCTACAGAAAACAGAAGAAATGGAGGAACAACAGCGAAAGTTGCTGTTTCCAGTGTTGAATAAACTCGATGCCCTGTGCACACATCTTCTGCTCGAGGGACAAGTCTCGGCAGCAGATGAAAAAGCTGACGAAGCAACGTCGGGGGAAATATGTAATGGCAGCTTTAGCGGGGATGCTAATTCATGGGGCTGCTGCACGCTTATGCCTTTGGCTCTTGAGTATCTGACAGGAAAACATGCAGCAGGGGAAGGAGCACAGTCCTCGGGCGGACCGCTGCTAGGAAACGACCCTGTTCTAGACAACTCAGAGGAAGAGACGCTGCGGCGAAGGCGTGACAGATTCATCCAAGGCAAAGAAGGAGAATCTTTTTATCATATGCTTGCGCATTTATTGTCGAAAACATTGGGCATCGGCCCTGTTCCTCAGAGAAATTATTCTCTCTGTCGAGAACTCTCTCTGAGAACAGCGCTAGAGACGAGAGACACGGACAAGCTGCATGCAGCAGTAAGTGATGCAAAGTTTTCTGGAGGTGGGGCGGCGGTGCATGAGAGCAAGAACACGGACCATGCAGGGGAAGCGAATGCGGAGAAGGCGTCACTGGCTCTACCTTCAGATGAAGAAGTTAAGTATATAGAACGGCAAATCGGGAGGTTTCCATTCGGATTGCTGTCTGTAGCGCGAAGAAGAAAAGACACAAACCCCATGACGGTTTCTTCTTCATGTGCTCCCTCGAGTTCTCTTGCGTCTGCACCTTCTGGTAGGGAGCAGAAGCTTTCTTCATCCTCTTCGGATACGCATGCGGCTTTGCGAGCAAGAGGCATTCCGCAGGTTCTCCTTGTTTCTCCTTTGTGGGTTGGCGATCTTCTGGAGAAAAAAAGCTTTCGGGCTGCTCTTTCGTCTGCCCATAGTCCTAAGCCTAGGCAGCGGCTTCTTCAGTCGCTGCTTAGGGTGGAAGGCTTTCTTGGAGCGTGTTCGCACGCCAAGAAAGGGGCTTCATGCAGAGGACTGGAGTTGAGTGGCGTAAAACGCGAATGCAGAGAAGAAGAAGAAGCTACAGAGGAAGCCGCGCCTACAGAGGCACGAAATCTGGACACTGTTGGCGAACTGACGCCCTTCCCTACTACGTTTTGGTTGTCAGATCCTGTGCTATGCGCAAAGATTTCGGAAGTGGAAACTACAGGTTTTGTGAAGGAGACGGAAAGCGGAGTTCTTAGGAAGGACAGCGCGTTGCAGCGAAAAGTTATTGAAGACAACATGCGCTTTATTGCTTTGAGATGGCTCCTCCTCCCAAAGTCGGTGCTTTCGCACTTCTACTCTGCCAACAAGAGGTGCGCCCGATGCAGAAACGAAATACCAGAGGGGAAGTTTTCTAGGCTTGGGAAATTGGAAGCTATCGCGACACAGAGAGATGCAAACTGCTCACGAAACGAGGACGGAAGCGAAGGACGGAAGGAATACAGAGCTCAAGGGGCAGAACCTTGCAGTGAGGAAGGAGGGATCAAGACTCAGGTCATTCAAGGGAGTAGAGGCACAGGAGGGGAATGCAAAGAATGCGTGATTTGCAGCTGTAGACTCTGCAACTTGCTGGAATGCCATCGTTTAAGGGGCATTGGGGGCTTATTAGACTTCTGCAGGGTGCGCTGCATTCACATGCAGTACGCATTTCACCTTATTTGCCCGACAACACTGGGAAACCTAATTGAGGAGCGATTTCAGCTCTATAAGTGGGCTGGATAGAGGGGTGATTAATTTTTCTCCAAAAAACCTTTTGCGGAATTGTCAGTTCCTACGCTTTTGGGGGCATTGTTGCACCGTCCTTGGTGTCCACAGGCGTTGCTTGTTCACATCGTATTGCTGGTCCTAGTCTTAGTCACTCTGTGTCCTACAGGTCATAACACACTCGTGCTTGCAGGCACACCTCAGTAGGCGGAGCAGAAAAGTTGCTTGCTTCCGTCCTTTTCCATCTATTCAACAAATCGTTGAAGGGAGGAACCAGAATGGACGGGTGAGACATGACTGCACCTAGTGCGTGAACACTCCCATATCCCATCATAGCGTAGATCTCTGACGATTAATGACTATCAACCTCAAATTGCGAAGAAATCAGCCGAATCAAGCACATGAAAATCCCAGGTGACTCGCTCCTTATCATATGGTCGGCGTGTCTCGTGGGCTTCCTCAGTTGAAACAAGAGTGATTCCATTGCTTGATGATTTGAATCGATACTATAGGAAGTTTCAAACAAAGATTATTGGGTACCAACGATTGAGGACGCAAGAAACTATTGATCTGTTAGGGCCACGTGCATGCATGTACAGAGGCACCAGGACGGACAGGGTCGAATGCGGAACGAAAAGTTTGCAGTGCTATGCCTGAGATCGTATAAGTTCTATTCCAAGCTAATATAAATGATTGCTTGTTTTTCTTTTTGTGTGATCTGCGAATGCAAAAGACTCTCTTTGTTGGAGCCGACCGCGGTTGCTGGGAGGCGTGACTGGGTGTCTGCGCAGAAACGCGAGGAAACGGTATCCTTTACTTTGAAATAAGGGGAAATACACGTGGGTAAAGCCTAAAAATAAAAATTTCATTCTTCGATATAGGATTATGCATGATCTGGTACGTTCTTCCGTTAGAACCCCAGTTCGTTAATACCTCCAAGGGGCATAGGCATTTAGGACTTCGCGCCCCTAAAAATGCAGAATATGGGTGTAGAGCATCTTCTCCCGGAGGCCTCCGTGTACCGGATGTCTGAGCTGGACTGCGCCTCATCCGATCTTGAGGTAATCTAAATGGATGAAACTAGAAGCACGCACCTATGAAAGAGCCAATGAACGTAAAGCATAGCCCACGAGAGGCTAATAACGGCTAGCCACTCAAACTACAAAAGGGAATCAGCCGAATAAGGATCGTAAATATACTACCCGGAAATCCGGCGTGTGCCGTGATTCCATCTTCAGCAGGTCCAGTTGCAATAAGCCAGCTCTTCTCCTGTTTCCCTGTTCTAACACTTAGGGCTCGAGTGCAACCATTCAATGTGAACACAGGTTGATACGGACGTATCACTATTCATGCAACAACAAGCCCAACAACATCGCGAAGAGCAGTCGTATTCGTCTTCTCTTTCATCTTCCTCGTTATTTTCTTCCGAGGGGGACGAATGCTTAGAAAGCAAAATAAAAATAACAGGCGAAAGGCTCAAAAAGGAAAAAGGGACTCAAAGACAGGCGGCAAGGAGGAAGTTTAGAAAGTATACATGGGAGCAAACCCTGCAGGCTCTGCACAAGTATCGGAATGCCTGCGGCTGCTCTTGTGGCTGTCCCCATTGATGTTTGTGGTGCTACCGCTAGTCGTACAGGAAGTATACCGGCTGTTGTGGCGAATTTCTTGCTGCTATCGATATTTTTGCTCCTGACACTCTTTTATAGCCTCTGCATCCGCTGCTGCTGAAGTAGTTGAAGTTGCTTTTGGTGGGCCTGTTGCGACTGCTGCGGCAAAGGCTGCAATCGCTGCTTGCATGAAGACCCCTCAATGCGAGCTCTTTGTGCGGCTGTACGAAGGTGGATCTAGTAGCTTTTCTATCACTGTATGCTGTGTTTTGTGCCACGCGTTTTATTGCTTTCCTTTACGTTGTTTTCTGATCTGCGCCTCCATGTAGCCGGTGCTTGTGCTTTGACCTTCCAGCGAAAAGGCCTCGATGCTGTTGCCAGACGCTGCAAGCAACAAGCCTTTGCATGAATTATTGGTCGGTACTTACTGTATGTCTGCTTGCCGGCTATTCAGCTCTTATTCCTCGATGCCCGCACTGCAATAGCTCTATCTCGGTCTTCTCGCCCACTTGGCTGCTCCGCACGTAGTTGCCTATACCTGCTGCTGCAAGCAATGTTTGCTTCTCTTCCCTCCCCCTCTCTAAGGGTCTAGTTTTGTTTAGCTTCTGCCCTTGAAAGGGCCTGCAACGAATTGGTATGGATACAACTGAGGGTTTGGGGTCTGCAACTTCTTCAGAATGCACTGGACCTGGACAGACAAAACCATCACCTAGAATCGCAGCTGGTCATCCAACAGAGAAAGTAGGACTCATGAAAACGCGGTGCTGTCTACAGTTTACCGTCAAGGTTTCAGATTCGGGGTAGGAGGTCTCTGGCCTCTGGTTGGGGGTTTGTGATCTACGGCTTGTGGATACGTGTTTGTGACTGATGGTTTGTGGCATAGACACGAGGCAGAGTTGTCTGCCTTGCGTTTGGCGGCAAGTGAAGAAGTGGCGGCGATGGCGAAGAAACTGCGGGATGCAGAGACCGCCCGCTCTCAGCTGGAGGCCTTGAACCAGCAAGAAAAGGAAGTTTTGAGGTAAGCAAGCGAAAGATGTGCAGGAGCAAGAGCAGTATACAGAGATCATGGGTTTACTGCAGGAAATCTTGAGCGTCACATGGGAAGCAAAAGGCATCTTAGTCTTCCACTCCCAAGAGAAAACTTCGATCTGCACTCCCTGTCTTGTCTCTTAAGCTCCACGCGGATTTTTCCATGCCTAATTTACTCATGAACGTGCCTCACTGTTGCCTCTCCATGCACCCATTGGCTACAAAGGAACTTGGAGATTACAGACAGGCGATACCAAGAGCTCTCTCATCTGCCCGAGGATGCGATCTCACTTAAGGACTTCGTTCAATTGAGGGTCAGCGGAGATATGAGGAGTCCTCTTTTTATCTCCCCCGCTCCATCACTGCCTCTCCTGTAGTACTCTTTCTTATTTGAGCATTACTATGCGACTGCCCTTTTCGACATTGGCAGTTGCTCGCCAGCAAACATGGGAGCCCGCTTGACTGGCCGTCGGTGCGCAGTTGTGTTGCATGCCCTGCGGCCGTGCCACCACCTATGTTGTTTGATGCTGTTGCCTGTCTTCCCCAGTATATCCCTGAGGGAGCTATGATCAACGTAAAAGGTTGCAATCCTGCCCTCGGTCGTTTGTCTGTCCACTTAGGTATACGAACTCATCCGACCGTACAAGGAAAGGCTGGAAGCCCTTCAAGCCGAAATTCTCTGTCTAAGGTATACCTATACAAACATATGTGTACATACACGTGAGTAGGTGTCGTTGGCACGCGTTTCGCTGTTGAAGCTCGTGGACTACCTGGTGGAACCGCTTCTTTGGCTACGCTTGCTGAGGTTGTATGCGTGCTTGTGAACTGCAGGGCGTCCGTCAAGGAACAGTCATGCATGCAATGCGAGCTTTCAGCTTTGGAAATTCAAAGGCTTCAGGTCCTTAAACCCTCTAATCGAAACCTTAAAACCATAGACCTCAGTTCTTGAGACTCAAAGAGAGCGGCTTGTAAGAGGTGGTGCAAATGCTGCCAGGCATCTCTCGCCCTGCTGCAAGAAGACCAAAAGGTTGCCACTTGCGCTTCCGGGTAAGCGAAAATCTTAAACTTGAAGCCATGATGCTGAGAAAGGGTAGGCCAAAGGGTATCATGAGTATGCGGCCTTGCTTCCTCTTTGCCGTTGTTGTTTTTGTGTCAGGAAAAGGCAGGAACACACAACGAAGCAGAAGGCCAGTGACGAGGTACTGCGTTTGATCTGCTAGTGCGTCTGCCCTATCGTTTCTAGTGATCCTGTCCCCCCTTTTTATTTGAGCTTCTCTCTTTGTCTCCTTGCGCCTTCCTGCAGGCCGAGGAGCTGCAGAGACGCCTTGAAGCAGCGGATCGCGAAGTGGCGTCTCTCAGGGTGCAGCTAAGGGAGGGGCAACTGGCAGCCGAGGCAGCTGCACAGAAACAAGCAGCACACCACCAGGAGCAGATCCTTCGCGTAAACGATTATGTTTGGCATGGGTCCAGCATTCAGGGTTTAGCTTCAAGAGGTGCCGTGTAGCTGAGATGGTTCGGTGTTAAAGAATGGCGAGAAACAGCCATTATAGGTTCTCCGTGTGCAAAAGCAGCAAGTGAGTTTCCTGTGGTATGACGGGGTTGGGCCGGACTTGTGTCGTTCTGAATCTGTTGCAGCACGAGTCAGAGAAAATGGAGTTGCGGCGTGAGTTGGAATTGCAGATGGACGCTCGGGAAGCTCAACTGAGACAGACAGCCGAGCAGCACACTCTACAGCAAAAACTGCAGGTCCCTTCCTACATCTTAAATCGCGGCACTTTACTCTACCGATGCAACTCTATGCTGTTATTTACCGGGCCGCATCTGTGTAGCTTCAAGAGCTAAACCCTTTGTTAGTGTGGATTCTGGTTAAACCTCGTGAAGCCTGCGTCCATTCGCCTGCTGTGTAACGCCGCAGCTGGAGGCAGCTGAGGCGAGTGTTGCTGGACTTGAGGTGAAATATAGGCACTCGGAGATGCGCTATGAGGTCAGGCCTCCTTCAAGGAGCACCAGTAGCACACCCCGATTTATGTCAGATTCCTTCCTGTTGCATATGTTTGCCCGCCGATACGTCCTGTTGTTGTTATTGCAGGAGGTGGCTGCAGCTCTATGCAAAACACACGCAGCGCACCAGGAGTCCCTGGCCCAGCTGTCTGCACAGGTAACTCCAAATCGGCTATGAAACAGCTTTCTTTTCGTACGTTGACTGGCGTTTGCTCTTTGCTAATCTGGTTTTCGTATGTATGCATGTATATATGAATGGATGTGCATGTATGTATGTGCGTGTGTGTGTGTGCATATATGCGTGTGTGTGTGTATTTGCGTGTGAGTATGTATTTGCGTGTACATGCGTGTGTGTGCATGTGTGTACATGCGTGTGTGTGTATGTGTGTGCATGCGTGTGTGTGTATGCATGTATGCGTGTGTGTGCATATATGCGTGTGTGTGTGTATTTGCGTGTGAGTATGTATTTGCGTGTGAGTATGTATTTGCGTGTACATGCCTGTGTGTGCATGTGTGTACATGCGTGTGTGTGTATGTGTGTGCATATATGCGTGTGTGTGTATGCATATATGTGTGTGTGTGTGTATGTATGTACATGCGTGTGTGTGTATATGCGTGTGTGTGTATATGCGTATGTGTGTATATGTGTGTACATGCGTGTGTGTATGTATTTGCGTGTGTGTGTATATGTGTGTACATGCGTGTATATATATATATATATATATATATATATATGCGTGTGTGTGTATGTGTGTACATGCGTGTGTGTGTGTGTCTACGTGCGATGGCGTTTGATGGCGGTCGGGTTGCAGCTGCAAATGAGCGCCACGGAGTTGCACCGCATGCGTTGCGCCCTGGAGTCGACGACCTCAAGCAAGGAAAAATGTGAAGAACAAGCGAAAGACCTGCAGAAGCAACTAATGAACTCCCAAGCAGTACAGTCTTTGCCCATTTGGAGTTTTAGCTCCTGAAGCGTAGTGCCATTTTTCCCCCTCATCCCACCGTCTGCGTGGGCTCCCTAGTCCCACATGTGCCTCTCCGCTGCCTGTGTTTCATGTGAAATGCCTTTGAAAAGCCCCTAACTGCCGTCTTTTCACCCTCTTACTGCACACGGAAGGCGCGCAGATGATACCCTTGAGTCGCTGCCGTCGGCACTGCGTCCTGCTCTCACCCCGCCGCTCGCCGTGTAGCTACAAGTGCCTTTTTAGGAGTGTCTCATTTCTCGCCCCTATGGCTATTTGCGCCTCACACGTGTCTCCTTCAGGAGGTCTCTTCTTTGAAGGAAACAGAGAAGCAGCTCACGCAGCGTTGCGAAGAGCTGCGAGTCGAAGTAGCCTCCTTTAGCCATTTAGACGCGCGTGTACAGGAGTGCTTGGACCTGATCACTTCCTCAGGTCCGTATGCGACAAACTACACACACACTTTAAAGTCTCTGTTGCCTGCCCTCTCGTGGAAGGAAGCCCAGGGGCCTCTGCACGCCGCAGTCGCAGCTGCCTTCTTCCCCTCAGCAGGCGCAGCGCCTCTGTTTATCCACAAAAAGGGATCTATGGCCATCATATGCGTCCATGACCACGCGCATGCGCGTTCACCCGTGTATCCTCGAAATTCCCCAACGCGTGCAAGAGACTCGCAGCGCTGCCATAGTCTCTGGTGCGCTGCTACGGGCTCTTAGGATCCTGTCCATCAGCAGAGCTGCTGCTGCCGCTGATCGAAACTAAGTTGGGTGGCTATAGACACCTCCAGAAGACGATTGACATTGCGTTTAAGCTTAGAGAGGCATCTCAGGAGCTGCAAGACAAGAGCGTACAGAAACACAGAGGGCAGCAACCCACGTATTCGAGGTTCTAGGGGCTGCAGCTTGAGGGGATAGGCACGAAGGCACTCGCCCTCCATTTTTCTTCAGTGCCTCATGGTGCCTGTGGTACCTGTTTATCGCGTTCGCATCTACGCGCCCGCTTTGATGTTGATGCCGCGCCGACGGCCTTCCAGTTTCGTGTATGCCCTCAACCCCACCCCTCCTCCTCCCCGTTCAAGAGATCATTCTGCCACTGCTGCTTTACTTTCGCCGTTTCTTCAGATACAGCTTCACCAAGCTTTAGAGAAAAACGCGTGGCTTAAGCGTTTGCTGCAGGCAGAACGCAACTGCCGTGGCTTCATGGGGAGTCCTTTCCCCGCTCTGCGAGACCGCCTTTTGCAGACGGAGGCACTGCGTTTGCAGGCGGTAGAACAACTCCAAAACGAACGTGGAAAAGTTCAGCTGCTTCAAAAGCACAAACTGATGCTCATGCAGGACCTCCGACGGTGCTTGGATGCCAGAAAACAAATGGGAGAATGCCTCGGCAGCGCCGCTCAAACGCGCTGCTTGCATACCAAGGAGCAGCAGCACGGGCAGCAGTGCCCTTCGGCACACGACGTCTCCAATCGTCTCCCTCCTCAGCCGCATCAGAGCCAGCGGCCCCCTCAGGAGAGACAGCAGCACACGGGCTGTACGGCGATAGACGAGCTGACGCAGGCTAGCAGCACTGCACAGCGCACGAAAGCTGGTCCCTGCAGCTGCTGCCGTTGCAATCTTCCAACCGCTGCCACCAGCGCGCGTGCCACAACAGCAGCTGTGGCTCCTCAGCAGCAGTACAAGTGCTGTTCCTGTGAAGGGCAGCAAATACGCACACAGGAGTCTGCTGCGGCTGCCGCTGGTTCGATCCCACAGCAGCTCGGAACGCCCCAGAAACCTCTCCACTTAAGGTGCAGGGGACCGACAGCACAAGAGGAAAGTCTGAGTGCTGCAGCGGCGAAGTAGTTATCAGCCACTGCTGCCGCCTTAGTGATGGACGCATTTTTCAGCAACGAAGTCGTGGCAGTGCTGTAGAGACACTTCACTTAGCAGCATAGCACCTGCTATGTCGCAAAGGTAGCAGCTAATGCGACAGCAAGAGCAGCTCGTGCAGAAGCGTTTCCGCGCCATCTCTACCCCACAGTGTCGGCCAAAGCAGCCGCCGCTGCTTCGGAGTCGCTCTGTGCCCCATACTAACGAGCTTCTTCCTTCGTTTGTGCATCTGCCAGCCTCTGCTTGGAGACTCCACAGTTGCGCGCTTACGGAGCCGCTATCGGTGCTCCCGGACCCGAAAGCAGCCGCTTCAGTAGCTCTACCTAATGCTAACAGCTGTAGGGCATAAACGGGGAGAAAGCGAAACTGCCTCCGCCACCTCTTTTGGCTCTAATTCTTTTGCATATTGCTTGCTGCATGCGCGATCATTGGCATGCCACGCTTTTCGCGTCGAACCGCCTCCCACAGGCGCACAAATGCCTTTAAAAGAAGTCGATCTGTCTCCGCATAATACCGAAGAGGCTGATGATGACTCGCTCAAAACCATTATGTATATCTGCATTACATCCCAAAAGGAACATGTCGTCCCTCTTTCCCTCCTCTGCCTGTGCAGGCAGACGACAAGGGGGAGGGACGAACCGTACAGAGACGTTCACACGAGCATTTACACAACCATTCTTGCTGCTATTGCTGGTTGGCTTGGGCTGCTCCGCTGGTTTATCGTGCACAACTAGTGCAGCACAAGCCTACCAGTGGTCCTCGGAGAAGTGTTTTCCTCCTGTAAAGGACCCTGCTCTATTTAAGCAGCCAACAAGCTGGGAGGGGGAAATCCACATACACACATACGTATCGGAGCTTGCCCTTTCCCGCATATTTCACATAAGGGCTTCAATTTTACCACAAATATGCCGGGGGAGGAAGCGACAAATGGGAAAATGCCGCTGCCACCACCTCGCCCCCTGTGCAGAAAATGTAATGGACAGCAGAAAACAAGTACTGCTGCTGACACACACTGATTCAGCAGCAAAAAAACTTACTCCTGCGAAAGGCAAGAGAGAATAAGCCAGAGGCAAATTTTAGCATCCTTAGAGCTCCTCTCGACAGCCCATCGAAGCTCCTACTGGCGGTGCCCTCAAGGGACCTGCCTGCCCGTCTGCATGCATGCATGCATGCATAAAAGGAGGTGTAAACGAAAGCCAAAACGCAAGAGGCAAGAACACGGGTGTAAGGAAGAAGGCACACGGAGGATTCCTGTGTGATGCAGAAACAGGAAAGGCACGGCAACGCCGCACCGATTCTGCTGCTCGGAAAGGCTGCAGCTCACGAGGCATGCGGGATACTCTCTTGCTCTGCAGTACAGCTGAATGATCTCTGGCTCTGCAGTACAGAGGAGCAGAGCGCAGCAAGCAAGGCGCAAGAGGCTTCCTCGGCGTACATCGACCTTGGCGCTAGCTTGTCACGATCGCTCTTCAGGAGTCGTTATTCACATATCCAGCGGGCTGTGCTCCGCCGTCGCGGCTGCAGCCGCTGCTGCCATGAGGCATGGCTCTGAACTTGATGCGCTGTGGAGGAGAACTCTCCCGACAGAAAGCTGAAGAGGAGTCAAGAGAGAAGACTCCGAGGGGGAGCAGCACCATATTGGCTCCCGTGTGCCCTTCCCTGCAATGACGCCCTCCTTAAGAGAGCATGGCTGCTGCCAGCTTCTCGTCCCTCCGTAAGTCTGCATCCTTTGCTGTTGCAATGGCGACTCCGGAAGGGTTCGCCCTTGACTGCCGGCGTGCATCGCTGCCTCCCTAGACGGCAGAGGCGGAGACGTCACACGGATCTCGCAGCAGCGCCGCTGCAGCCGCTTCTTCTTCTGCAGTCACTTCGAAAGGGAGTATGAGGCCGTTTGTGAAGCCTCTGTCACTAGGGTTCCCCGTGACTGCCGCCGGTTCGGCAGTTCCCCCCGTCTCCATTCCAACGTCGTCTGCCTCCGCTGCCTTGTACCAGTCTCGAAGAACGTCCATGGGGAGGCTCCAGCCATTTCTGGCAGCGCCTGCTGGCGGGGTGGGAGACGAAGGGGTGGAGGGGGAGGAAGGCGAAAGCGTGACGAAGTTATCCATTCCGGAGGAGGGGCCCCCTACTAACACCCACGCGGAGGGAAGGGGCCCCCTACTAACACCTTCCCACGCATGCCGCTTTTTATCCACGACGCTTCCTCCCCCCATGGCTCTCTGGAAGCTTTCAGGGAGGAAGCCGTGAGGCGTGCCGCCTCCCCCAGTGCCTCTCAGAAGCGACGCAGTGCCCGAGCGTCGAACACCCCGATGCTCCGGCATTTCCATGAGCCGCTTGCTTCTGCATCGAGCTGCTTCAGGGGGGGTGGCGCACAGACTTTTGCCACTACTGCGCATATCGTGAGGCGGCGCTAAGAGCCCCTGCAAGGAAGCAGAAGCATGAAAGCCTCCGGAAAAACTCGCGGGAAGAGGCCCCTTGGGAGGGATAGCAGTTTTCCACACGCCCGAGAGTTGTATTAGGCTCCCCCTTTGAGGCGCTGCCTCGTGCTGCATCTGCCTCTGCAGATGCGGCTGCTCCGCAGCCAAAGCCTCTCCACTGCCCACGCAGTAGCCTGAGCCTTGGTGGTGCACTAGAGCCCCTCTATTTGCTGACGGGGGGGGTAATAACGTTTGCGGATGCAAGTAGTGGTCGTTGCGGAAACACGCGCCTCCCCCTTGCAGCTGCTGCTCGTATTGAGGATAGTGAGGAGGGAGGCTATGGTAGAGCAAGTGCTGCGGGTGCAGCTGAACGGAATACTGGTGCTCTAGCTGCGACTGCTCATTCGTCACCAGACGTTCGGGAAGGCACAAGCTTTCCTCCGTTCCTCCCCCGAAGTGGCTGCTCCCGTGGACGGGGGACTGACTTTCCGGAGAGATCGCAAGCGAAGGGGAGGCTCCCAAACGGCTGTCTGTGCAGCTGTCGCACGTGAGAGCGGGGGAGACAGCCAAGGGGCTGCGCGGTGTTGCTGCTGTTGCTGTTGCCACGACGCTGGCTCCTTTTGCTCCTGCTGCTGAGTACTTGGGAGTGAGCTCCAAGGACGAATAGACAACCTTCCCCTTCGTTTCTGAACACACAACAAGTTCACACACGGCAACGTAGTTCGTCTAGGAGGCGTGTAAATTTCGAACCACCCTGCACCCTCCCCCTTCCGCCATTCGACTGCTGCGCTGCTTTAAAAGACAGACGAAAGCCTTCCTCCGCCTACTGCCTCCTGCTACTCCCTTCCTCCTGCTACTCCCCTCCTCCTCCCTTCCTCCTGCTGCTCCCCTCCTCCTCCCTTCCTCCTGCTCCTCCCTTCCTCCACACCCCGCCCTCCACACACAGCCTATACACGCCTTACCACGGATGGCTCTGGTGAGGTTCGACCTCTTGGGCTCAGCGCTTGGTAAGGCTGCGTCTGTCCGGGGTCTGTTTAAAAGTACCCACTTGAGTACTGCGGGGTTAAGAAAGGAAGGGCCCCCCCTGTACGGGAGGCCCCCCGTGGATTCATCTGGCTCGGGGATCCACGAAGGAACGTCTTCGAAACGGCGGGGGAGAACAAGGCGGCATGCAGAGGCACACTTCAGCACTAGAGCCAGCGTTGACCGCTTGGCGTCCTGAAACGCAACAAGCAACAAGCGACGCAGCAAGAGATGAACTGCGCAGTGGCACCCACACTCTTGTATGGCACCTCCCCCGTTGTTGGTTGCCACGCTTGCTCATGAGAGGAAAGATGTGCATGCAACGTGCAGACGCGAGACAGGACCTCTGTGCAGTGCAGAAAAGGAGTGCAAGCAACAGCCAGAGAAAGCATCCCAAACTAACGCTACGACACTGAAAAATTATGGATTCCCCCCCTCCCCCCAGGTCTGTGCGCTGTAGTACACTCTCGTACCGGAACAAAAAAATCTATCGTCTTTCGCTTGCGCTGCCTGCTGTAGTAATCAACAGACCAACAGGGGCGATGCCTATTGAAATATAAGCCAGTAAGCTCGCTCTTTGGAAGCGTTTCTGGCTCGACTCTGAAGGCGGCGTTCTTCAGCACTCGAAATTCCTCGGGTGTCAGCATGCGGCGTGACCACCTGTGCACCTCCTGAAAGCACGTACATTGCATGAGTATTTCGAGTAGTAAAACGGGAAGATTGTTAGGGAGGAGGAAACACACGGGAGAGAAGTAAACAAGCAGCCCTCATCGAGCCACAGACAAAACCGATAACCCGCACACACGTACTCGTACGCCAGAAATCGAGCGGCCCAGGGGAGATAAATGCAGAATCAGAGGAATACCTCGCCGTCTATCAAGATCCATAAATCTACAAATGTTATCCTCACCCTGGTGGAGTAATCATGGGGTTCCAGAGTTGGATAGAGCATCGAATACGAGATGCCAAGCTCTGCGAGCGCCTCGGGACTGTACGGACACCCGGAGTCATTCGGTATGCCATTATCCCATGGTGAATCTTCTTCTCCTGCAGCCACTCCTTCCGTGACTGCTTCCTTTCTGTTCCCATCCACTCCATTGGATGCGATCATACTGGTGTTGCTGCCGTGCATGTTGTTGCTGACGGAACTACTGGCACACGCTCGAGGAGACTGTATCAGCATGGGGTGCCGGGGCGTGGGAGGCTCCTCTATATCCTCAGGCCGTGAAGCATCAGCCTCCCAGTGGGCAGGATGCGCGTTGAATTTTGCCTGCTGGCTGACCATGTTTAGGCGATCACCGCCGGCACAAATACCATACGTGGACAATGTAGGAACTTCCTATTAAATAATCAGTAGGAGCAAATCAACAGTCTCCTGCCAGTGATCGCCCTTTATCGCCGTTTCTCGCTCTTTAGGAGCCTTGCTGCTGCCTCCTCTGCCTCCTTTGAGGGCTGAAGAAGGGGGCAGGACAAAGAATGTGTAGACAAATGAAGAGTAGAACAGACAAATAGGAAGGCACGGCCCTCTTCTCCCTTGCAGTAAGTGAATTTTATGCCGGAGATAATGGATAACTCTCCTTTCAGAAAGTCGCTGACATAGCAGCTTACACGCTGACTCAAATGGGCCGCGGTGGGGCCTCGCGCTGCTGGCTGGGAGAACTTCCCAATCTGCCTCTCTTTTTTCCTAAGGAGACGTTAAATGTGGCAGAAGCAAGGTCTTCCTCCCTCCTCTCCTCCCATGTGATTCTCCTGAAGCTCGCTTGCCGACGTAAACAGTCGGACCAATTGCGCTAAGCAACCTTACGAGGATCCTAAAGGCTGTGCAAGTGTGAGCAGCTGAAAGAACGAAAACTTCTATGAAAGAAAACGCTTGGATCAACGCGGAGGAAACAGCAGCCGCAAGAGCTGCTGTGGGAGCTCAACGACCTAGGTTCTCGGAGAGCAAATGGAAAGCCAGGACAATGCTGCTACCTGCGTTGGCATCCAACAGTGGATTATTGCTGCAGCAATCACCGCTCGTTGTTTGCTGTTCTGCTGTCCGCTCTGCCGTCGCTCCCTCTCCCTCTGGCACGCACTTTTCCCTACAGAGAAAGCGTGTGCGCCACAACGGGAAAGGAAACAGCAGCCCAAATAGGGGAGGAGACAGTAAACGTTAATCTAAGTACGCTTCTAAAAGGCAAAGAAAGGTACGGAATCCCCTCGAGATGGCCCTATAATGTATGGCTCCCACAAGCTCTCCATTGGTCATAAACCTCCCCTATGCAGCATCCTGCTGTAATGACATGATGAGAAAGGACGGTTTGAGGTTTCAAATACCGCAAAAAGTAAGTATGCAGATGTACAAATGGAATCCTACAGAAATACTAACGACAAAGCCATCAAAAATGATGAGGACGCATACTCATGCGGCTCGGGAGAGGAACAAGAGCGATTTGCTAACGAGAGGGGGGCAGAGGGCAGCGAGCTGCGAATCAGACTTAGAAACATGAATACGAGACTCAGTGAGCCTCAAAACGAGAGAAGGAAATGAAGAACACCCGAAAAGGATACCAACACGAATGAATCTTGCGGGAACATAGAGAGCGGCATTGCAACTCTCGATGGCTCTCACTCGGGGAATGCTCGCTGGTGGGAGAGGGAGCGACTGAAGCGTATTCCGTCACAAAAGTCGCTATTTTATGAATAACTCCCTCTATTTTATCGTCAGTATCATTATTTTTTTGTGTATCTTGGTGTCCTCGCTTTATTTTGGAAGGAACACAGCCCATGCTGGCCAACCCCCAGCTCCCAGATGCGCACCCCCTGCGTCTCGCTGCTGCCTCCGGTGATTTTCTCTCTCAGTGTAGACTCTCACTCTTTCTGTTATACAGATTAAAAGGAAAACAAGGACGTATCTCTTTTTCGTCTTTCGTTTAGTTGAGCCCCCCTACCCCTTCTCTGCGTGTACACTGCTCACTCTGCTCCCCTATTTGAAGCAACGTGTGGTGAGCTGTCTGATGCTTGTACAACATGAGCATTTTACTTTATGGATAGTATATGCATTCCAAGGCCTCGGGAGGCTCCAAACTAAACGTAGGTCTCAGCTGTCGAAAGAGCCATGCCATTACCTTGACCACGCACCGAATACTTGCTAGCTACGGGTTCTGTAGCATGCCAATTAAGTCCTCCAACAAAGCCCCAACAAGCAACTCACTTAGGCATATGTACTTGCTATCTAATGATGAAGATGGGCTGCGCGGGAGTCGCTAAACTTCAAGAGCCGCCATCCTTCCACACCGGCACTACCCGCGATGTTTCATCGGTGGGTTGTGGTCAAGATGACTTACACGAGAGTCCGAGCTGGGGCATATTTAGCGTCAAATAGAAACAAGGACAGTGTTGCACAGCTCATATAAACTAGCGAAGGCGAGCACAGCACATCCAAAACCAATGATGCCTTCAAATCTCGGGGCTCTCAAAGGCATTAAAAGGGAGGCCGCCTTCATGAGGTCAATTATCACCGACCCAGTGTAAAAGCCTCAGTGCTGCGGTCGAGGTGCAAAGGGTTTTCTGAGGTCCAGTAGGGGCCCTCAAGCCATCATATGGAGAAACGAACACAACCGCGAACATGCTGCTATTCGACTTGGTACTTTTTGGCTGAAGTGCCCTTGTGCCGATCCTAAATATGTCGTTGTTTGCAACCAAATGCATTTAACATCCAAATGCTCTGCTCTACGTAGACCCCTCACCCCTGAGTAGCTACACTTTTTCTACATTCAGGTGCAAGTACACGCACTCCGTGGGCAGGGCCCTTGTGTTGAGTGTCACTTGCCCTCATTCGGCTGAACACCTCTAATTGATGGTGCAGTGACCTTTTGAAACAAGGTTCAACAGCTAACACGAAGCCTGCACTTTGCTAGGGGTGGTTCAGAAGTAAGCATTGCCATAGAGTATTGAACCCCGAACATGTACGTGCAGGATTTGAATGACTCCGATTTTTGGGTGGAAGCTGCGCAATGACTCACGTGAAACAGCCTGATGGAAGCAGTGGGGACGTACGTTAACAGGATGCAGTAGTACGGCCTCTGCAATTCCGGCGATGGTGTGTTGTTGACTAGCAGTGGGGCTCGGTGTGTTGGTCCTCCTGCTCCCCCCATGTAGCCTTCGTTCTTCCTACCCCACTCTCGTGCTCAGATGTCTCTGCTGCCCTCTCGAGGCCTCCGCATCAAGAAGGATAAAAACCTTATGGATGGGAGGTTAAAGTGAGTGACGTATCTCCTCTCACAAATCGAAAATCCAACAGAAACCTGCTTACCAGTGACCAACAAGACGTGCACATGACTGCGAGATCAGAGGGCAGTGGGAGTGCCTAGGCATTTCCTGAGGCGCATTTAGGAACTTCCATATGCTTACATAAGTCTAAGTTGTGCGGCAGCATGATACCCTACGGGCTCTTAACCGCATGCAAAAATGTAGGTTGCTGCACATCCAGCCACAACCAACGGCCTGCCTCACACGGACGGCCTTCTAAAAGGAAGTGTGGCCTCGCTGCGCCTTTCTCCAGGACCTGAAGGCGCGTTGCGTGAGCCTAAGGGCCCCAAATCGTGCGTAGGTCGTGTCTCAGGTAAATGCGTGTCAAGGGCCCTCGATGAGGGTCCATAATGAGGGAGCGCCCCTAAACGCGCCCATCACGCATTGCCCACCGCCCACACACATTCCTGCTCTACACAGTCTGTTTCAAGAGGCCAAAGCACAAGGATCGCCCTCTGAAGGGTGAGCATGCGCGTGCTATGTGGGCAGGAGGATGCGGAGGGCGCAGGCCTTTTGTGTTTTCGGTACTTGCGCTGCACTGCCTCCTGCCTCTTCTCTCTTTCGCACATACGCCAAGAGAGAGGGACGAACGGCGAAGACCTCGTAGGCAAGCGTACACAGCAAATTGCACGCAGAAAGAAGCAACAGCTGCCGCCGCAGTTGCGACCGTAGAGGTACCAACCCCAGCCAGTGGAAAAGAAGCTTCCTCGCATTTTCGAAGCCCCCCCAAAGGGCCCAGGCGATGTGCGAAAACATTGAAAAAACAAGATTCCCAGATGCTGCCTCGTGCGCCGGGTCTGCTACTGCTGCCCCTGCCTCTGGGGATGCCCGTAAGTCAGAGGGACTCCATGGACTGCCGGGAGGATGAAGCAAGAAGGAGAAGCAAAGCCCGCCAAGGAGGGCCATATACAAGACACATCGACGGTTTTTCGTTAGACCTGCAGCAGCAAACAGCAGCGGCAGGCAGGCGCCAAACGGCTGCAGTGTGGGGCATGACTGGTTCTTCCTCCACTTCAGGAGTAGCAACACGCCAGCACTACCGCGAGCAGAATCAAGCGAAAACAATGCTACCTTCGCGCCACTGCAGTCCCGAGTTGCCCAGTGCGGCGCAAACATAAAGGTACTGTAAGGCGGTAATTAAAAACAGCGAACTGTTCGCTGCGCAGGACAGGCCTGTGCAGAAGCACACCGAGACGCGCATGCGAACAAACGCAGGATGCGAGGGATAATGGATGCCCGCGGAGGCTGCCAGCATCTAATGCTGCTCATGTTGCCAAGAGTCCCACTAGCTGTACGCCAAGGCAGAAGTTGCTGCTCCTGCAACCGCAGCATCGGAAGCACCGGCAGCAAGAGCAGCACAAGGGAGTGCACACTAACCGTCCGAATGCTTCAGGTACGCATGCGGCATGCAGAGGAACAGCGCGATGAGCTGGAAGGCCACCTGGATTACCCCCTGCGGTAGCACCGCCACACCACCACTGGCAACAGCAGCGCCCTTAGTATCAACCACTGCACCACGGACATGAAGGAATGCGTGCATGCAGAGAGGCAGGCTTGAAGAAGCCGCGAGTGACAAGAAGAAACGGTGGAGAGGTGACACAGGCGCGCAAGCAGCGCAACAGGAAAGCGTCATGACAGACGGAGCAGTGACAGAGACAAGACCATAGGGCGGGAGCAAGGTGGTAACTGCGAAGAATAAAGGCGACGGCAGAGAGGATGGTGAGTAAATGGAAGTAAAAGCGGCCCTGTGAAGAGACCGAAGGCGGCACAAGGAGGCGGTCATCGAGTCATCGATGCATACTTGTCCAACCACGGAAACGATTACAGGCCGTGCAAAGAGACTGGATGGCGGGGAGAAGGGCGAAAGGCGCTGCGGGGCCTCTGTTTGAGAAAGAAAGAGCGAGAGCGGCATGATGGTTAGCAAGTCTATCCACATGTACTGCGCGCATAGCAAACAGTTAAGAGGAAGGCATGTGCGGGGAAACCCTCCGGCTTCTGCTGCCCCGCTGCGAAGATCGCCTCGAAAAATGGCGGCAGTCGTTGGCGGCAATATGAAGATGCACCACTAGAAATTGCAATAGGAAGCCTGAACCCCTGAGGCAGCCTGAATGCGCGCAAAGGCAGGCTCTTACGCTCACCTGTGCATCGCTGAGATTCCCTCCAAGCTGATACAGACACACAACCGAAGTCAGCTGGATCAAGGAATAGAGTGTTATAAAAAGAACGGTATTGATGCTATTCTGCAGTACACAGCGGCCCTCTCGCAGAAGTTCGACGCAGCCGGAGAGCTTTGGAATTGTGAAGTACGCGGCGAGAGAGGCGCCCGCGCCCGCTGCAGCCTCAGATGGCTGCCGTATTGCACCCTGTGCATCCTTTGCCGGGGAAGGGATAGACGTCTCATAGGGGGAAGAGAGGGACACCTGAGCACCAGGGGGAAACATAACAGACCGCAGAGCCTTTCAAGGGCGCTAACCGCGGAGCTACAGAAAGCCAACACACGGGCGAACAAGAGACTGCATCCTTCCCTGCCCCCAAATTGCTTTGTGTTTCTGATACGGGTAGTGCTGCCGCTGGTGCTCTTACTCCCATATCTGCCTTTTTGATTGCCACGAGATCGTTTGTCCCATCTCCAATCATCCCCACAAAGGGACAGGAGGGCAACTGCTGCAGGGCTGCTAAAAAGTCGCCCTTATCCTGAGCAGCAGATCGACAGCAAGCAAGCTCGCTAGCACTCCCTAAACCATTTCTTTGTAACTGTGCGCGCTGCCCAAAATTTGTGCATGCAGCTGCACGCGACGTAGACTGGTTGCAAACGCGGGTTCTCCCGCGATGCAAGCAACATGACCAGTGCACCACTTTTGCTGCTGACGCTACCAGCAGACGCATACCCGCACGCAGGGTAGAGGCGGGGAGACGGCGAACCTCCCTAGTGGGGGAGGCATGCCAAAGGCAGATATTCCAACAAATCCCAGTCCTTACCTGAGAGTTCGCTCTGCAGAGGAGCGCTGTCCTTCGCAAAGCAAATTCGTAAACAGACATTCTAAAGTGCTGCAGAGCTCCTCCCGCCTTGCAGCCGGAGCAGCTGGAGCCGTGGCTGCTCGCACAGCTCCCCCCGCTGTTGGCGCTGTTCTGTGTGTTGCAGCAGCAGCTGCTGTTATTGTAGCTGGTGCTGCTGGCACTGCCGGTGCAACCACCTTCTTGTTGAACTGCAGGGGAACAGCTGTCTCTTGGAGCTTCCAAGACTTCAGGAGGCTGGCTCTCGCAGCTGCAACTGCTGCAGCAACGGCTGAGTGTAAATGTAAGAACCATCCCTTCAAGTGCTCGCACACAATTCTCATGGTGCAGCAGATCTCCCAGGTTCTCCATGGCAACAAGAGGCCCCCCCGCGAAATGCCCAAGGCTTGGCTGGGTCTGATGCTGCTGTATCTGATGCTGCTGTATCTGCTGCTGCTGTATATGATACTGCTGTATCTGCTGCTGCTGTATATGATACTGCTGTATCTGATGCTGCTGTATATGATGCTGCTGTATCTGCTGCTGCTGTGTCTGATGCTGCTGTGTCTGATGCTGCTGTGTCTGATGCTGCTGTGTCTGATGCTGCTGTGTCTGATGCTGCTGTGTCTGATGCTGCTGTGTCTGCGGGTACATCTCTTGATGCGTCTGCTGTGGCCTTGTCCGCTGCTGCTTTTTAGGCGGCAGAAGAGGTTCATGCAGAGACTCTGACACCTCTAAAGATGCCTCACGAGTCAACGCAAGCCGGCTGGTAAAGGCTCGCATGTGCGCCATAGCCCAATTGCTGCTGCTGCTAGGCTGGTCGTGGCAGCGGACAGCCGTGCTTACAGAAGTGGCAACGAGTGCAGGCGACCTCCACGGGGAAGGAGCAATGCGGCTGTGTCGTGCGGGCCTGAATACGCCAATAAATTGCGTAAGGAGTCGCTGAAAGGCCCCTGGGCGGACAGTGGAGGTGCTACCAGGGATTTCTTCGCTAGCTGCTGCTTCTGTTTGTTCGGCCCTGTGGCATTCAGACTGCTGCAGCAGCTCTTGCATTCTGTCTACTCTGGAGAGGGATGCATGTGCTGCTGCACTTGGCAGCAGCAATTCTCCTGGGTGCTGCTGCTGCAGATCCCCTAGGTGCTGCTGCACTGCATCGTTTGCTTCCTGCTGCAGCAGTTCCTCGTCTTGCTGCTGTTGAAGGGCCTCCCCTCTAGGCGACCTGCTCACGGCTTCCGCGCTTATCCACGGGCGAATGTTGATGCAGCATGCCTGTTGTTGCTGCTGCTGGACCACGTCTGCTTCCCCCTGCTGCTGCGGCAGCAACTGCAACAGCAGAGGGGTTTGAAAGAGTAAGTCTTCTACGGTATCTCTTAGCTTTTCAGCATGAACTGCCGTCCGCTGCTGCTGCTGCTGCTTTCGCGCATCCTCTGTTTCGGGCTCAAAAAGAGAAGGGCGCAGTAGCTGCAGCAACGGAGATCCCACATCACAGCGGGTAGAGGTAGAGTGCCTCTCGTGTTCCCCATCCTCCGTTTCCTGCTGCTGCTGTTGATGTTGCTGTAGTGCCTGCATCTGATGCTGGTGCTTTGCAAGGACTTGCTGCACAATCTCCGCACAGCGCTCCGAGAAAGGCAGCCCCAGTAACATGTGCAGGCGCGAGAGATGGCGGAAAGCCCGAGCTGAAAGACAAAGAGCAACAAAAGCTCACAAACATGCCTTCCTTCGAGCTGGAGAGCGAAAGAGATCTACCTTCAGAGACAGATGGGTAGGCACGCAACCAGAGAAAGAAGGAAGCGGCATGCGCAGAACGGATCCATAGCTTGAAATGGAAGGCGCTGTGCATACATGAATGAACATAAACATAAAGATATATATGCAGCTGCTGCCTACCGGTAAGGACCAAGACAGCGCGTCGAGAATCTGGTAGCAAGGCCAGTAACACGCGAATATCCAGGGAAACCAGTGGCTGTAGGCCACCTGCAGCCTTATCTTGCTGTTGCTTCTCTCTCTGCTGCGGGTTTCTGTGCTGCTGGCTGCCAGACCTCCGCGGCAACAGCAGCAGCGACCAGACAAGAAACTCTCTACGTCCCACAGCATCTTCATGGCGGGAACATACCTCTCCCAATATCAGCGCTCTGCAACAGCAGCCACAGCAGCCACAGCCCTGAGCGTAATCCGAGCAGCGCCAGCTGGAGGAACGGAAGCAGCAAGACAGATGCGGGCAAACAAGCAAAAGCAGGAGGCATTAGCCAGACACCCCTGCTGCGCGTGCTAAAGCCCCTGCACATCTTCAGGTGTGTGTGTCTCGGAGTGCATGCGCGGGATGCCGTCAGACGCGTCACACAAGGAGCAAGCGCAGCGAACGCCACTTCGAAAGATTGGACTACAGAATTTACCGGTGGGTTGAGGGGAGGCACTTTAACTGTTGCTGTACTTGCTGCCGCCTCAGACGCTCCGCATGAGGCCCCGTTTGTTCTTCGTCGGTGGAGGAACGTCGCGAGCCAGTACCCTGTGTGTCATACGCGGTTGCACCCGCCGATTCTCCTCCCTTTCTTTTAAGAGTCTCTTCGGCTGTTACGGAGTAGCAGCAGCGGCAGACTGCGCGGCCAGCGGCGTTTTCATGACTATCCAAAATACCGCATTCTGATGCGACGCCTATTGCGGTGTGCAAGGAGTCTCCCGTAAGCATTCGGATATCCAGCCGCGCTTCGTCCAGCGCAGCAATGGTCTGCCTCGCTTCAGGCTTGAGCTCATTCACAAAGATGAGAAGCCCCAAGAAGTACAGGTTGTGCTCGGCCTGATGACGGCGTAAGGTCTCCCAACATTCGCCTTGAGCTAAAGGACGCCATGCTGCAGCCAACACCCTGACCACACAGAGGCAAGGGGGAACGCAGAGACGCAAGCATGCCCGGTGTCATGTACCATGACAAGTCTGGCTGGCGAATTGAACGCATGACCTTCAGCCCACAGAAGCGGCCATGCAAGACTGCAGAAAAGCCGGTCGCTCGATGAGCCCACGCTCCTGCCCTACTCCTACACATGCCCAGCGACAGGCGTTCGGGGAAGAGGAACAGGGACAAAGAAAGGCACAGCAGCAGTGCTTCCACCCCTAAGAAGGAGCAGCAGCAACAGCAAAAGCCGCAACAGCAGTCACAAGCTCAGCAAGCGCACCTGTATCCGGAAGCTGCAAAGGTGGTGATGCGCTTCTCGGTCCCAGGAAGGACAGATTCGCCCTTACAAAGTGGCAATATACTCTCAGGGCTCCCCTTTGAGTAAATCTGCAGGCACCGAATCGTCAGCAAAATAAAAATTTCACAGTCAGATTTTCACTTGCATTTCCGCTTAGAGTGCTCTCGCCAAGATACATGGCGGTCCTGGTCTACTTCCCTTCCTTGGCCTCTACGATTTTACACTCTGGTGCTCCCCCCGTGCGCAGTCATTCATTCGCCTTCGCTGTGCCTCTAGCAGCCCCTGCCTGCACGTCATGAGAATGTTTCTCTGACTAGAAAGACAAATAGACAAATAGATCACTGACTAAAAATAAACATCACGCTAGAGAGCTCGATGATAGAAAGCCATGCACCCTTCTCCCTCCCTGGATCGCTCACGAATACTTGTTGCGTTCCCATCTGGAGGGCTACAACTGACATCCGCATCTCGACGGAGCAAAAGAGGAATCGCCGCAACACGCAAATGCACCGATCCTGCAAACGTGCCACAATAAAATGCCGGCGTCTCATACCGCCATGCCCTGCAGTCCCCGCAGCGACCCTGCGAGCAGCGAGGGCGGTGGAAAGACACCCCAACAACAATTTCGGGAATACCACAACACCATCGTAGACAGAAATACCTCTTCAATCTCCGATATGCTCGTTTCCTCTTGTCGATGCTGTGGGAAGACGAAGGTCGAAGCCTTGGCAGCTGCTGCGCCCCTAAGCTTTCGCTTCAGCAGCGTGAAAGCGTCCGCTGTACTTCCTCGGCACTCCACTTCCGTTCTTGCAGCAGCAGCGGCACCGTCCAGCAGGCGCCATCCGGAGGCGGCCAGCAAGCACGCCTCTAGAGGATCTCCGGCTATGCGCCCACCAACATTTGCTAGAGAGGAGCAGCAAGAGATACACTGTAGTAAATGCACGCGGCAGGAGCAGCAGGAGGAGCAGCTGCTGCTGCTGCACGCCTCCAGTGCGTACGGAGGCAGTAGAGCATGCTCTCCATGCGCATCTGCTCCTGCATTGGGGACAGGCGCCTTTTGTTGGTCGTTTATACAGCGGCTGCCCTTGCTGCGCTTGCTGCAGTGGCAAGCAGGCAGGCAGCCCAGGAGAGAAACCCCCTCCTCAGTAAGGGTTCCCGTCTTATCAAAGCAGACGCAGCGCACGAAGCCGCAGGTGTTGAGGCGGCCGGGGGATAGAACTGATATGCCGTACGAGGACGCAATGCTGAGGAAACAAGAGACAGCACGCGGGGAGTCGCTCAGGATGGAGGGGCGTTCGCAAGAGCACTCTCCAGGCAGGAACAAAGTCCAGAGGCAAAGCAATATGAGGCCTCTGAGTCAATGGGTAGACTCGAGAGAAAGTAGGAGACGGCTAAATGCCACAAAGCTCTAGAATGAGGGGTACAGCGGAGAAGAAGAAAAGGCCAAGCAATAACAGCACCATCATCGGGGGCAGTAGTAGCAGCAGATCCGTAGGACACATACCGTGCAGCAGCGGAGGTTAGAGAAACGCTGAGCGTCGCTCTCAGTGCGGGCGGTAGAGCGTCCGTGAAAAGATCAGCAATGAGCATAAAGCCACTCTCAAAAGATACGTTCCTGCTGTAAAACTTGAAGGCAGTATAGGAGGCTGCCAAGCCAGTCAAGGCTGCCAATGCCAAAAGAAAGGATAAAGACTCTGAGAGCCAAACGTATGGCAGCAGCAGACAAAAGAAGGCAGGGAGGCAACAAAAAGGCATGGGGACACAGAGGACACGACCGACACACAGACAGACCCCCGCTAGGTATACTATGCAACTACGCAGGCTGCTTCAGACTGTGAGTGATTGCATGTGCACATATACTTTTAAGCCTACCGCCATCAAAGTCCATCCTAGGTGCCGACGGGAAAAGCAGTGAACGAACGGTTTCCCCTTGTGCAGTGGCAAAGCCCACACGGCAGACCGCGCCCACGGCAAGCCGGCTGTTCTCTGCAGCAAAAGGGCAACGGCAATACTAGGCTCAAAAGCAACAGCGAACACATGCTCACATGCGTGCAGACAACATACCGAGGCGAGGGGAGGATTCAAAGGAGAAACCCTGCATTTTGCATGCTGCTTCCTCATGCCTCAGTTAGTTTGCCTTTATGGCGGGAAATTCTGCGTGTGTGCGCTTCTGCCATCGCCCAGTTGGCTCCCTGCCATTGCAGCTGGAAGCCAGTCGAACACCCATCCTGTTTGCGTGCATGCAATCAGCTGTTGCCCTCGTCAGTGCAGCAGCGCACGCCCTGCAGCCCCTTATTTGGAGTCTCCCCTACTACTCCCATATCTCCCTTCCCCCGTCCTCTCCTGACCCATGCAGTGCGCGAGAGACTCCCCTAGCCCATGGCTACTCTGCCTTCTCCTCGCATGCCCGTATGCCCTCCTTCCCTTCTCCCCTGCCTTCCCAGCCGGCCTGCTGCCGCCTCAGCACTGAGCGCTCTTAGACAATATCAGGGCAAGGCCTTCTCACCTTCTGTTCCCACGCCGTCCTGCGTCTCGGCACCTCCCGTTGAGGCCAGCACGAGGGTTCCCGCAAACACCATGTGCGCAGACTCCTGCAGCAAGCTCGGCAGCAGCAGCAGCAGCAGCGCGGATAAGCATGCAGCGCGTGAGGAAGGCCTCATAGATCGCCCAAAAGCGGAGACAGGGGCACCTAGAAGCACTTTCCATGCAGGGTTACAGCTAATGGAGGGAGGCTTTCCGAAACACAGAGGCCTCCCCACACTCAGAGAAGAGCCGTTTCTCCGCGAAACTCCTGGCCAGCAGCACGCCCCCACATACCTGCTCCAGAGAGATGCAGTTGTTGCTCTGGTTATGAACTGGCAAGGGCCCCTTCAGCACCGGATAGCACTCTCCCGTCAGCGACCGCTCGTCCAGCACAACCTGCGAAAGAACACAGACGCGCTCCTGCCCTCACCGCTGCTGCGAAGGCGCTGCAAACGCATCATACAACGTCACGCGCCGAAAAGCGCCAACAAGACACCTTCTCCCACGAAGAGCAGGCGTCGTGAGCAGCAACAGCTTTGGCAATAGGAGCTCCTGCCGCTCCGCAAGCGCACCGTTCCTTGCAAGAGAAGTAAGTCGCACGGAACTCTCATGCCCGGCTTCAGCAGCAGCAGGTCACCATTAGTCAGCGAATCAGAAGGGACAGACATCCTTTCCAGCCCCTTCCAGTCCTGTCTTCGACTGCTGCTGCTGCTCGAGCGGCACTGGAGGCGGCGAAGCACCTCCACTGTAGACACCATCTCAGCCACCTCCTTGAGGCGCAGAAGGCTTCGCCTGAGGGCACCCAACAGGTTCAGCGCCCGCGTAGCAGCCGCTAAGGGCAGCAAGACACGGTTCGAACCTCGGACGGCAAGCGGAAGCCAGTGGCAGCGGGCGCCTTACCTGCGCGACAAGACATCCGCGATAGTGGAAACGGCGGTAATCAAAGAAATGACTGCCGCATAAGAATAGTACGCGTCCGCTACCCACAAAAGGATGGCCGCAACCTGACAAAGATAAAAAGGCTGCAAGACCTCGGCTGCGAAAAGAGAGAGCAGCGGAGGGCATGCAACGTGAAGACCACTTAAGCCAAACACTTGCTGCCGCTGCCGCAGCAAACACGGACAGGCAGCGTGCTGCTGCAAGGCGTGCAGCAGCAGCGAGGGCGGCAAGGCGATGTCAAAGCACACAGGGTGAAAGGCCTCGACATCCGACCTAAGCCCGCAACAGCACAGCCAAAACACCTGGTCGTGTGTGTCTTTGTGTTGCAGCACGCGCCACGGCTGCTGCTGCTGCTCACGCCTTCCACGCAGTGTCTGCTGGCCGGAGCGCTCGAGCGACGAGTCTGAGGACGCGTTTCGCAGCGCTCCTGACGCCTGCCAGGCTCAGTAGGCAACAGCGCGTACTCAGCGGATGCCTGCAGGATCGACAGAGCCTAGAGGCGCACAGCGAACGGGCAGGCAGCCACACGGAAAGCGCAAGCATACGCACTCTTCAAGGAGGTATCTCATGTGTCTGAAGGTGAAGAGAAGCGCCATGAACTTTACGGGGCCTTCGCAGCCGCACGAAGCACATGCCGCCTTCACGCCATCCACCTGCTCGACTGCATAGGAGCCGATTGGCTTGCTGCTGGCTCTGTGGGATCGCTTTCTCCTGCCATTGCTTCTGCTGCTCGTGCTGCTCCTGCTTCTGCTGCTCGTGCTGCTGCTTCTGCTGCTCGTGCTGCTCCTGCTTCTGCTGCTCGTGCTGCTGCTGCCGCCGTCGCTGGTGCAGCGCCTGCCACGCCTGACAGTGGCCGACAAGGCACACCCCTCCGGAAGGACCTTCAGAGCCGCGGGAGAGAATGGCAGTCTTTGCAGAGACGCGAAACTGCGGCAGCAATGCACATCGGCAGGCACGACGTAGCCTTCAGCCTTTGCCGCTGCACTGTGTGTGTGTCCATTCGGTGGCAACAGCAGCAACAGCAATAACAGCAGCAACAGCAACAACAGCAATAACAGCAGCAACAGCAATAACAGCAGCAACAGCAGCAACAGCAATAACAGCAGCAACAGCAATAACAGCAGCAACAGCAAAAAGAGCAATAACAGCAGCGACTAACCCGTACTGCCCCCCTGCAGTCGATATGAGAACGTGCGTTGCTGCACCGAAGGGACAAGGGCTGTAAAGAAAGCGGAAGCGCCTCAAGGGATTCCATCTGCCCAGAAGGAAAAAAAGGCCCCCCGTGAGGATCGAAAGGGCAGCAAACAGCACAGCGCAGGGAAGGTTGAGGCGATGCCCTTCCACCCGCACCACTCTGCAGTACAGCAGCGCAAATAGACACGCAGGAGCAGCGGTCCGATCCAGGAGAGATCTTTTGAGGCCGCTTCTAGCAGGCGTAGCGGGTGAGGCAGAAAAAAGGAGGTGCGGAAGGCACACCGCAACAGCTCGCCAGAGAGGCAGCCCCCTAGTGGTGCCCCCCGGCAAGGCGGCTGCAGAAAAAAGACAAAAACGAGCGGCAAGCGCAGCGACAGAAGAGCAGCACGAGCCGATTGTTTCCCCCTTTCTCGCAGCTGTGAAAGCGCCGCAAGGACTGGCGCAGCAGCCAAACTGCGTGCCGCCTTACCTCTCCTCGGGGGCGAGTTCGGATTGCTCAGATAGATGGTCGTAGTTTACGGAGGCCTCTAGGGCCGAAAAGGCGCCCATTGCCTCCCGCGGAGAGTTGCCTGCACCCCCGAGGTGGTCGTCTGCATGCAAGAGTAAACACGCAACAACCCCCCACAAAGTCTGGACTCCAGCCATCCCCTTGCGCCCCTTGACTGGCCTACGCCGCTGAGGAGAGGGAGCGCCGCACTGCCAAAGCCTTTGGCATCACGCCTCTGCCTGGAGGGCGTCCCCGTCTTCCTGCGAAGGAAGGAAGGGCTGTTGCGTCGCTGCCGCCTGTAGAGGCAGGCCTTCCCTCCGCGCTGTGTCTGAGGGGTTTATTGTGCTCGGCGCCTTGTGCTGCGGCGGCGCACGCGGCAGCAGCAGCTGCAGCTGGTGCTGCCGTTTGCTCTCTTCGAGAGACTCACAAAGGTCGTCCTCTTGAGCGCGCCGGAGGAGAAACGCTGCATGGTGTCTAGTGCATGGCTCCCAAGGCGCCCTCCTCCTGGAGGGCCCCAGAACTTGGTGGAACCGCCACGCTAATACCACTGCCTGGGAAGCTCTTCTCCGACAAAGCGCAGCCTCGTGCTCTTGCGGGGCAGAAGGAGGGCGGAGGAAGGCGACTCGGGAGGTCGCGTGATGCCCTGCGTGGGCGGAGGTCTTCCAAGCCTCAGAGGCACGGAGAATCGTGCACAGGAGTCGCGGGTTCAGCAGCAAATAGAGAGTAACGAGGTTCTATTCAAATACCTCGTGGAAAGCTGCCGAAACTGCAGAAGAAAGCTCCGAGGGGGGTGGCAACGAGGCCAGAGGCACCGACGGTCAGTCCGTGAGGCCCTCACGCCTCGGAGCACCCCTTCGCCTCATTCGTGCACAAATATTCGATCAAGAAAATTCCGCATAAAAGATGCACACCCTATACACTGCGCCGAGCCAGAGCGACAACCCGCGAGGCCGCGGCGGAAGGGAGTCGCAGCAGCGGGATTCGTGGTGTACATCCACCCCTGGGTGGTGCAGTTTGCCGCCCCTCCTCCTTGTCTGAGTCCGACTTCGCCTCCTTCGTGCAGTGGATTTGCACTGCTAAAGGGAGAAAAGGCATAAATTCCCGTTTTAGCGAGTTGGTCTTTGGCCAGAACCCTTCCCGTGTGGGGCCCGGCTCAGGGAGGAAGCTCCCCGATGAGCTGCCAACTCGAGTGGTCTGTGGATTTGGCGCATGCATCTCACGGATACGTGCAGCTGCCAAGGGAAGGCTGGGGGTGGGAAGAAGTTTCGGGCTGTACGTGTGCGCCGCAGCATGAGCGGTCGCCCTCTAGGATCGACAGACACCACGGCAACCACAGCAGCTGCTGAAGTGGCAGCAGTTGTGCGAACCGGAGTTCACAAGGCGTGATCGGCTGCCTAAAGCTGCGTGAAATGCGGCCCTGAGTCTTCACAAAGGACCGCAGTGGAAGAAGGTAACTGGCCATTCAAGGGATGGAAGGCTTCCAGCTTGTTACCCAAGAAGAGGTAGGCTTGCTCGGCGGCTGCATCCGGCACTTCGCCAACCGTTTTGAAGGGCCTGAGGCCTAAGGGGAAGCAGAAGAGCACATGAAGTCAGGCTGCCGCTACTTGTGGCGTAGTCGCATACAGCTGCACACACGTTAGACCAGACCGCATTCAAACACCACGAGAAGGGTCCTCGGGCCGGAAAGCAGTGTAGCTACAGAGTTTTTGCTTCTAGGACTTCCCGAAGGAGACTTCTCTACGTACTAATTGAACGAAAAGCTTGGTAGAAGGTCCTTTTAAAAAAGTGTACTTCCAACAGGCTCCCCAATCGCCTCGCCGTCTCCCCGCTTCACAGGGTTCCGGCGGGGAAGGAGAGGCAGAAGAAGCGAGTGGTTGCTCGCATGCATGGGTGCTGTTGACCCTATAGAAATACTCTCCGAGCAGCGTAAACACCTATTATGCCATGGTAGCAACGCATGCGTCGTGCCGACGGGCATTCCACGTTAATGCCTGTTGTCTTGACAGCTGCCTAACACTACGGTGCAGTGCAAGTAGCCTGCATGCACAACTAACCCCAATAATATTCTATTTATGGGCTTCCACTGAACTAAACTAAGGCAACAGAGGGGACCCAAGCGATTTGTTGTGCCTTCCCACTTCTGTATCCCTCCTCCCCAGAAATGATCGCACTCCCCCGCATACGCGCCTGGCGGCTTGCCATACTTTCTTCATTTCTGGCCCTCATCACAGCTGTGCGCCTCAAGGGACAGCGGTTCAAGATGCGGCAGCGGGTAGCAGCAACGCGACTCCTAGGGCCCCCACAAGGAGAACCCTTACAGGAAGACAGTACCAACATGAACAAGAAATTGTCAAGTGACCCCACGCAAATAATGCCTTCTCCCTCTCTTATATCTTGCCCTCACCTTCCAACAGGGAGGGAGGAAAGCGGCATCAAAGATGCGCGCCGCTGCGTCCTCTGAGAACTCGAGACTCTCATCTCACTGAAGTGCTCTTTGCGGCTTTCAGTGCTCGAGCACACAGCGTCCTCTCGCACAACACAAAATCGAACTAACCTTACTCTGCAGCCATTAGAACACACAAACGGCCAAACAGCCCCGCGATTAGCTGAGTGTTCACCAGATGTGACTCCTGTCGCAAAACCTGTTGCCGCAGTGTGCGTGCCTCGGCCCTCAAAAGCTTGGGCAAACGCTAAAAGAGAGCCTCAACGGCAGTCGAGCCAATGTACAAGCACGCGCACAGACGTGATGCTGCTGCACTCCTCCGAGTGGGAGGCACTGTCTTAGTAGAGCCACAGGACTACGGGTCCTTACGAGGAGTGTTCGAGGGGCACCTGGGCAGAGTTCACTGCTGCAGTGTAGCACACCCGTCTGTGGCATACGGCCTGGTTGCGGTGCCTTCATGAGGAAGGAGAGAGCCTCAAGCCTGCGCCGACCGTAGACTCGCCACAAAAGAAGAATGTGGCAGCCCAGGGGTGCCATCGCCTGCAGGACGGCTGGCCTTGAAGCCCGCGAAAGCTGTCCTGGCTGTCGGTTGCACAAAATGGTCTTGCATGCCACTTTGCTAAAAGGGCGCTACTGGGTTCTACGGTTACGGATGCGCTTAGAACTTCTACAAACGCCTCTAGCAGGCAACGGGCGCTGCAAGCACGGAGGCACAGGGGAGGACCTTGAGGAGCCACGCCTACGAAGCGAGCCAGTAGGCCTTAGCTGTAAAAGCGTGGGCATCCATCGGTCTGCGCGGGACTAACTACGAGCGAGGGTAACCCCCCCCCTGTGCACTAAAAACGAGGGTTCTGAAGATCTGAGATGCTCAAGACGCCAGAAGCTTGTGGCGCTCTATCGAACGAGATCCCATGGTGGGGAGGAGCTTTGAGGGGCGCGAGATACCGGCGTGCTCATGCAGCGCGTGTACGGCCTTGGCTGCAGAAATAGGAAGAAAAAGCACTGGGCTGTCAGCGTCCCCTCAACGTTCCTTACTCCCCAAGCCTGGAGGGGCACGATCCACACTGCTATGTGTAGTAGCCTTCCAAAGAAATGTAATAGAGAGGAGAGGGCCCTCTGCCGTGTCTCCTACATGGCGCTCTCTTTCGCATACGGCATTTGCAGCCTCTCTACACAAGAGAAGGATCCATTTTCGACACAAAAAAGAACTACTTGAACCTTCGTGCATCCAGTCGCTGGACAGCCTAGCAGTCAACGCCCTTGAGGTTTAAGAGGCAACGCCTTCTTCTACAGATGGCTACTGCTACACCATGTATGGCAAGCAGTCGCGAAAGTCAAAAACCCACACATACACACACACATACACACACACACGTACACACACACATACACACACACACACGTACACACACATGCAAAATTGCACTGGCGAGGCGTTCGAAGGTCTTCTTGCTACGTAGGCGCGCTGGTGTAAACTCTCCAATTCGCGGGGGCGACTATGCATGCGCGGTTGTGTGTCGACACCACGCAGTCTTTTTAGAGTAGTGCTCCGCCCTCCCTTGCTGAAGGCATGCGAAGAGGCGTTTTAAAGGCGAGGCGAAGGCGGCGGCAGGCGCCTCAAGTCCTTCGGGGCCGCATGCAGCCCCAGCGGCAGCTCAGCACGGAGTTCTCCATTGAGGGCCTCCCGCGCAGCAGTGGTGCCTTTTTAAATCAAGACGCGCATATTTCTGGAGGACGAGCAGGAGGAGTCGAAAGAAGACGGGGAAAAACCAGTGGCGGCTTCACCCCTCTAGGGAGGCGCAAGGGGATCCGAGCCGCGCGGCGCTTCGCCCCCTCTTCACCCTCGATCCACCCCTGGTATCATTCAGCATGCAGCAGAGATAAGATGCTGCTCCGTAGAGGGCTGACGCAGCAGCCGTGTCTGCACCCGCAGCGGAGACTCCCACTGCCGCCTCGGCGGCTCTTCCAGCAACAGCCGCACCAGCACGCTACGCCTTCGCTGCAAGGGCGGCTGTCTGTCCGCGTCGCGCGACTGCAGAGGCAGTGGGCTCCTCTGCTGCTGCACCAGGGACTGCCGCGGCATGCGGAAGCTGCTCGACGCGCTGCCTCGCACGAGCAGCCTCCGCAGCAGGAGAAACCTCCGGAAGCCCTCCAGCAGCTGTCGCCTGAGGAGCGAAGGGGCCTTCTGCAGCAGCTGCTGTTGCGGCTAGACGAAAGCTTCAAAGAACACCATGCTTCCTGGCTCCCCATGCAGCAGCAGCGGGGAGGCGGAAGAGCAGCAAAGCGATCTCTGCAGAAAGCGTGGGATCCCCGTAACCACCGGCAGCTCAGAGAGCAGCCGAGGCTGCGTAGTTCCTCCTCCGCAGGGGCTAACCCCAGCGTATCCTCCATCGCAACAGAACCAACAGAACCAACGGCAGCAACGGCAGCTGCTGCTTCCCCAGCTGTGCGGCGTTCAGAGGATCTGAGTGCCCTCGAGTGCTTCTTCGTGCTGCTCCGGCTAGTTCGATCTCGAAGAGATTGGCAGACGGCTCTTCGAGGCTTCCAGCTCCTCAACAACTTTGGGCGGCTTCCCAGCAACAGAGAGCTCAGCGACAGACTTGCGGCTGCTGCTGCACTCTGCGGGCAGCACGCGGAAGCCTGTGCTGTGAGCACTCTTTTGTGCTGCCTGCCCTCCCGTTCGAGTCTGCGATGCCGCTAGCTGCTTGAGGCTTTTTGCGGGCTAAGTGCTGCTGCGTTGTTGGCGTTGCCGGAGCAGCGTCTGCATAGCGCTCGCTCGGGAAATCCTTTGCTGGAGCAGCGTCTGCTCGAAGCGTGGAAGGCCATTGCTTTTTGCGCGCCTTGAGCGATCATTGCCAGCTGCTGCAACACGTGTTTCTAGCCCCCTACGCGGCGCTCTGTGGGGTTTATGTGCAGGTTGCTGAGTGCAGTCGCTTCCTGATGGCGTCGCCACCTTCTGTCGCTCTTTTCTTCGCGCTCCTAGAGGATGCCATAGAAAGACGAGACACTGCCGCAGCCAACCGTCTCTTTGCCTGCCTCAGAGAGGACTGGTGCGTTGCTGCTGCTTGCCGCTGGGGGAGGTACAGCAGATTGTTTTCTTGCTCGAAGAGGGCGAACTTTCCCGTCTTGGACCGGAGTTCGCTCTTCCAGTCGCCGTGCGGCAGCATCAGCAGCAGCGCGACTCACAGCAGCAGGGGCAGCCGAACTGTTTGCAGCCTGTTGCTGCGTGCGCATGTGCTGCTGCTGCGGTGTTTCAGGAGGCTGCATGTCTCCCCAGCCAGCTACGTGCTGATGCTGCGAAGTGCAGTGACACCCGAGTGCGTTCACCTGGATCGCTGCGCTGCGGTGAGCCTCTCCCGCCGTTTCAGTTGCTGCTGCTTCGCCCTCCGGTGCGACGACGGCTTCCGCAGCCACGCGCAGGGACCAGCCAGTCAGTCTGCATGCGTGGGATGGTGAACTCAGCTGTACGACGACGCGATGGCTCTGGGGGTGGCACTGCCCCTAGAAGCCCACGTGTTGCTGCTGGAATTCCTCCTGACGCGTGCGTCTTGTGCCGCCGCTCTGCCTACCCGTCCTGCTGAGGAGGAGACTGACAGAGACTCAGGTGGACTTGAAGTCGCAGACACAGCGAGGCAAGGCTTCGACAGGAGTGCGGCGGAATGCTTGAGGATGGCGCACCGCGTCAGGGTGAGTTGAGCGGAAAAGGAACCCCTTTGCGTCCCCCCACCGCCAAGTGTTTCTCAGGCGAGGTGCTGCTGCTGCTATCAAGGCTCCTCGTGACGCTCTACACCTTGGGTTGCTTCGCTCCTTTCGCAGGTGTACATGCGAGAGGACTCTGCTGCATTTAATGGCCGTCCCCTTCCCCCCAGAGCGCTGCTCCTTCAGGCGTGGCTCTCCCTTTTGGAGTGCAAGTTCGTCTTTTCCTTACTCTGCCCCTGCCGTTGTGCGGCTCAGAAGCGCTCCTGACTTTCTGCTCCTCGCCTTTTCGTGGTGGCATCCTCCCTGGGCACCTGTATCGCTTGCGTTTGCATCCTGTGCCTTGCATTGGAGACTCGACGTCTCTCGCCAGCTCCTTTGCGCAGTCGCCCTATCCGCCTTCTTTCACGGCGACGTGCTTTTACTGCTCGCTGAGGCGTCGCAGGCTGCTGCAAAAACCGTCTGAGGCACCCACTGCATTGGCCATGGGGTTCTCGCTCCTCCAAGCTGCATGCGCAAGGAAGATCGCCTGCTTCCCGAGGTTAGCAGCTCGCCGTGTTCTCGATTTCCTTCTGAAGGCGTTTTCGCGGTCACATTGCATGCCAAATCCGCGGTAGCAGCCCTCTGTGGTCATTCGTCTCCTCCCCCTTTCCCGTCCCGTGCGGTGCCGTGCGCTGAATCTATCTTGTCTGCATGTTGCATGCTCTTTCCTTGGTGCATGCTCTTTCCTTGGTGCTCTCTTTTGTTCTTTTTTTGTTGAGGGTGATGCTTTGTCGGTGCTGCTGACTTCCCGTTGTCGTTGATGCTTTGTCGATGGTGGGATGCATTTTTGTTGCTGCCCCTTCTCGTCGCCTTGCTTCCTCCTGCTCTCCGTTCTAGCGGCTCAATCCGCTATGAGCTGTGGGCTGCTCGCTCCTGTAGAATTTGGACTGAACGGCATCCCTCCTTGTTTTCCTGTTGCTCTATACAGGAATTACGCCGCGTCCTCAGTGTAGTTCGCTCTCCGTGTATGAGTGTATGCATGTGTGTATGTATGTGTACGTATGTGTATGTGTGTGTATGTGTATGTGGGTAGGTGTGCGTGGGTAGGTGTGCGTGGGTAGGTGTGCGTGTTTATCGGTTTGCCTATACTTGGACATATGCCGTCACAGTCGCTGCTTCCGTGCCTCTTCTGTGCGGATGTGTCTGCAGGGAGGCTCCTTGGTCCCCTCCTGCCCCTCTGCTCTCGTTACTGCGCAATGCGCCTTCCAACTTCCCTGGTGTCTCAACAGCCGAGCTGCGCAAACTCGCCCGGGTTCGACCCCCCTCTGACTACATTCCTCGGCAAATGTAGCCGGCTGTGCTGTTGCTTCGCGCTTGCGGTTCTGGTGCTCCCGCTGCCAACAGGCAATTTTCTGAAACGCTGCATGCGTTTCTCTTTCCTCGGTCCCCTAAAGGCCTGCTGCTCTCGCTTTCTTCTTCCTTTCGCCATGTGGCTGCTGCTGCTGTGTATTTTTTGCCGCCGAGTACCGCTGCAGTGTATCATATCTCGTCTGCGTCTGTCCGCGCCCCCGCATGCATGCGCGGGCGATGAGCGACCCCACTCGGATGCTCTATTGCTGCTGAGTCTCTTGAGCCGTACAGCGGAAATGGCCATACACACGCATAGCCGCCACGCAGGCAGGCGTGTCGGTGCGCGTCTGAAGCCGCTGGGGGGCGCAGTCACTTCTCCAAGTGGTCATATGTATGCTCTTTCTGCCCTTCAGGCCGGAAGACGGGTTGCCACTGCCTTCCGCGTGTAAAAAGAGAAGCCTTTCGCAGAGCCTCCCCGCACACAAGCCACAGGGGCAACCCACCGCTGCGCAGCAAATGTCGACTGCCGCCGTGCTGTTGCTGCCGCGGCGTCCATTTCTGTCTTGATGGCTTGGACTCTCCCGCTGTGCCGGGACTGCGTAGTTTCTGTGGTGTATGCCACAAGGAACCAGTTTTTCTTGTCGTCAAAATCCTGCCTCCGCCGACGCGACGCGTTCGTCAAGGGAAATCCGAGGTCTCATAGTCGGGAAACACTTGTTTCCGTTGCCTTCAAAGCAGCCTGCCTCTGAACGGCGACGGCGGCAGCGGCACGCGATAGAAAGGGGCGTAGTTAGTTTCGTTGTTTGCATGCAATGCAACAGAAAATCCTTCCGCCCACCTGGCTCTTAAGTCGTGATTGCGTTTCCAGGGGCTGCGGGTGAGCAATGCAAAGTTCGAGGCAAGAAGATTTACGCTTAGAGATCGAAAGGGCACCACAGGGTGCGCGCAGGAAGAGCTCTTTGACGCATGGCAAACGTGCAGCCAAATACCAGCGCCTCAAAGCGTGTGTCCATGACGGCTCTGCACACAGGGTTGCTACGAGTTACAGATGTTTGCGCCACTGCTGTTATAGAGGACTCTTAATCTTGACGATTTGGGGGCACTGTAGCCCAAGCTATGGACGGTTTGTGCTAAGGAAGGGGGCGAGGGGGGAAGGGGGAATGAGACTTTTTCTCAGCACTTTTCGGATTCACTGCATCCGTCTTGCGGGCAAAAGCGGCGGCTGCCTCGCGTGGGAACCGCTCGCTCTGGGCAGGACGTAGGACCTGTCTTCCTACGGAGTCGAGTTTCATATCCCAGCTGTGTTGGTCTCTCTTCTTTCTCTGCACTGCAGCATTTAGGCATCCTGGAATCACTGCCCTCTCAGCGTTACAAAAGCATGTCTGGCGCTGCCGCTACTGCAGTTTAGCCTCACACCGGTGTAATGTAGCAATTCATTGGGAAAGCATCAACGGCTTGTGCACTTCAGTGAGCCATATAAGCCTATCTGATGGTAAAATGCGCGCACCGGATCTGCCTCACTGGCTGTAAGGGTGAGAGGTAAGGTTCGAACGTTGTGCGTTTCTCCCTGCTTCTAGCCCAAGCTACGGGGATACACTTCGCTCATCTCTTCTTTAGCAAAGGTGGTAAGACGCTTCTTCTGGCAACACGCAAAGGCAACTTGGTTGGCAACGGGGTCTCCTACAGCAGTAAGCAAGTACGCAACTACCAACGCCTGCGTCACCGTTTCCACCAGGGCCTATATAAGGAAACTTAGAGCGCCAAACTCCAGCAGGATTTAAAGAGGGTTATTAGGTGCCTCTGCCGTAGAGATGTCCCCTCCTCTGCCCTCATCACCTCATCGCTGGCTGTTGGTTTTGGGGAAGAGCAAACCCATCGGATTCACGATCTTGCACCTACTACGCGCTGGAGACATTTTCTCGCCGAGCTTCACATATAAACTCGGAGCGTAGGTAGGCAGCGCCCATTCGTTTTCGTGAAGGGCTATTGCCCCCAGCACTGTGCAAACAATATGCGAACAGCCAAGCCAGTCTTCAATTACACCTTAGTGAAAAAGCAAAATAATGTAAGTTAACAACCCAAGTGTATCGTGACCAGCAACAATAACCGCTACCGACTTTTCTCCTGCCTTCTAATGGAGT